ATTATGTTGATACAACTCTAACAAATACTTGGTAAATCCATTAATTTCGACCAAATTTTATTACAATAAAAACGATTCTTGCGATATACTGTCGCGGACATTTTTTAGATAATTTAAAGAGGAATGATTCTATCGTACATATTTTTTTCTATCTTTCCATCGTATTGGTGCGCACACCACGATCGTCCTAAAGTATTATTAATTTTCTAAGTTTTTTCCACACTATCCTCCTTTTCTTCCACTGATATTTTATAGTCTATATCGTTTTTTCGATTAATGGTCTAACCGACACAAAAATAATTTTTCAATTCGAACGAGTAGTTCCTGAGATTAGGGCGTTCAAACAAACAAATTCTTTAGCTTTATAGTGATACTAGTATAAATTCAGCTGAGTAATGACACTTATATTCATCACTAACAAAAACTTAATGAAACATTCATCTTTTAACGGTTATTAGATTTTTATGCACATCATAACACAATAGAAAGCTATAAAATTAAGCTATTAAGGCTTAATTGCGCTCTTTACAAAGAAATCATTACTAAGGAAATTTAGTGTTTACTACTACCAAAATTGCGTAATCTGTTAAATTTTAAATTGATGTTCTTTGTGTCTTGGAGTGTTGGAAATCCCGGTTCTCCCTGGGACATGGGCCGAACACATTTCTGTGTCCGTTTCACTGATTAGTTTTTGCAAAGAAGTGGGCAGTAAGTAAGGTTAACCCCAGGATACGAACCGAAGACCTCTTGCGCTTAGCGCAATGCTAATCAACGCGCTTAACTATTAAGCTACAGAGGCGGTGCTATTATTATAGTTAAAATATACGTGAGAAAGAAAATAATGAATCGAGATACCTGCAATGTAAATTAAAAATATGAACAATCTTTAAATTAGAATAGAATACAACAATAAGTGATTTCTTCCAGGCAACCCAATATGAAAGAGATCTTAGAGAAACATAAGACATCGAAGCGGTGAATATAAAACAAAAAAAGGATAAATAATGCTCGAAAATACTAAAATTTATCAAAAATATTTACTTACTTACAGTATAAGTTAATACTTGTACGCAGTAATGTGATGAAGAAGTAAGTGAATTATAAATATTTCGCGTTTTAAACCGTTAAAAGTTTATTTAAATGTGTAGTACGCGTAATACGCGTTTAAATAAATAAATAAATACCTGATGTTAGCTAATCCTCTAGTTCTGTCGAACATAAGACTACGGTTTAAAAAAGACACGAACGCAATTCCGTGACCGAAAAGCATAACGAACCACTAAAACTAATTACTTTAATCGTCGAATTCTTCTCGTAACATGTGAAACAAATCACAAGCGAGTTCCGGATGAGCCTAATGCATCGCGATCCGATCTACTTCTTCGTAAAAGTTAAATTACGTCTTCATTTCACCTCGAACAATCCAAAGACAATCACGCATAACTTAGTATAACCTCAATTCAACTTTGTAATATATATCTCTATTATATTTATAGGCCACAAATGTTTTCGAAAACTTTTGAATTTAGAATTAGAAGAACGTTACGTGTTCCACAGATCTTGATAGAAGGTGAAAGCCATATTACGCGCTGTCAACCTCTTTTGGCTTTGGATATTCGGAAATCCGGAGATTCAAACCGAAACACGATTAAAAATGATGCTCTTACATCCATGGTCTGTTCGTGACCAGTTACTATCCAGATCCAGACGAAGTCATCACATTCTTGGATCCAGTAGATTTCGACTCATTGATGATTAGTTCCACCATTCCACCAACGGGCCAGTCAAAAGACTGATTGCTTCGCTTAAGATTTGCTAGTAGATCTAGGAATGAAATTATAATAAACCGCATTGATTCTAATTGACCAAATTAAGATCGAATTTTGTGGCAGGAAATTTAAGACAGCGGTCGGGTCGGTTTGTTTTATCACCAGCAATGAATGTCCAGCTCGACGTTTTTGATTTACTTAGCTATTTACGTTGGGCGGAGCTGTTTAACCAAAAGCCGATATCGAATCGACTAACCGGAACGATGGCCTCATCTTACCTTCAGGGACCTCTAAAACATGAAACAGTAAAATTATACCTACATAATGGACTTAGTCTAGAAAGTATGTATACTGAATGGGTAGTAGAAATATCGAGAATGTTGAAATGAGCATGTTTTTTTTATTCGGCATGAGTATCCGTCCTTTTCTATAAACATGCACCGTCTGCAGATGAAGAAGACTACTTTTAAACCGTGAAAAAAAAAGTGTTTTATTTAAATGTGTACTCGCGTAAACTATAGACAGTATTTCATTAACCTGTACGGGCTGGAAAATGCAAACAAAGTTTAACTAATATATCGCGTTTTGAACCGTTAAAGTGTTTTATTTAAATGTGTACTACTCGCGTAAACTATAGACAGTATTTAAGACTTTACTTCTTCATCTGTCAGTTCTATTGCGTTTCAGTTTCAGTCAAATTTGACCCTCCATCGTACCCCGTGCCTGTCTGTCCCCTCTATTATAAAATACTACCTACAGTGGTCTTAGCATTTGTATTATGAATACGCGGTTGTAGTACGTCGTAGGTGGCGCGAAGGGCATTTCTCGTCAATGAATGTCCGCCTACAAGCGGGTTCTCTTCTCGCCTACGTGTGTATAAATTGTTCCCTTAACAACCGACAAATTACCGGTATACAATCGTGATGGCTTTCAAGATATCTAATTGATTGGCTTTCTCGTTATAATTGTGTAGAAATTTCTTAGTACTTGCTCGTAGTGTTGTATTTAAGGGGAAATTGTGTTTTTGGCAACTTATTATGTGACTTTTTGGTGATATAACATCTAGAGTCAGTGAAAATTTGTTTATTAAAAAAAAACACTTTTAACGGTTTAAAACTCGAAACATATTAATTTATTAAACCAGAGCCAATACTTGAATCAATTTATTTATGTAGGGACACTTACTTACCTTTAAAAAAAATTGATTACATTACTGCCAGTTCTTAAATGTGCAAGGGTGTGGAAAGAAGGAAAGTACACCATCTCATATAATATCTAAACTATAATGCTTTAGATATTCGGAGTATTAAAACACTATTACAATTAGGCTTTTCCAACGTGACCCGGATTTAATTTGATTTTCTACCGGCCATTTGATGTTTACTTTGTCCAGACGGGATTTGTTGTTTCAAAAAAAAAAATTCATAAACAATTTGGTCTGGTGAGAATCGAACCCGTACTTCGCTGATTATTAACAATACAATTCTACCACCATTACAACGCCCATCGAACTAACGTGATAACAAATGAACATTGATTTTTAATTCGAATGGTCCTTTCTATCTATATTTAATCGTAGTATAATAGATATAGTATCAAATGTATACTAAGAATCGGTTCTATAAGGCGTCTCCCACAAGTATTTCTTCATCTGTCCGGCCGAGGACCGGAAGTCGAACTTTTAACACCTCATCTATTTCGACTTCCGCAATCATTTATATCCACAGAAACTCACAGTGTATATCGATTCATAACGTACAGTTATTTTCGACAATCATAATTTTAGGATTCAAATTATATTCCGCGAGAGTTGCATGATATTTATTGAACGAATTCCATGTTTTATAAAACCCCTTTCCGGGTTTGAAAAGGGGCGGAAAATTTTTTTTTTCCTTTTTTTTTTTTTTTTTTTTTTTTCCCCCCCCCCCCCCCCCCCCGGGGCCTTCCCCCCCGGGGGGGGGGGGGGGCCACCCCCCCCCCCCCCCCCCCCTTTTCCCCCCTTTTTTTTTTTTTTTTCGCCCCCCCCCCCCCCTTCCCCCCCCCCTTTTTTTTTTTTTGTGTGGTTTTTTTTTTTGCCCCCCCCCCCCCCCCCCCCCCCCCCCCCCCCCCCCCTTTTTTTTTTTTTTTTTTTTTTTTTTTTTTTTTTTTTCCCCCCCCCCCCCCCCCCCCCCCCCCCCCCCCCCCCCCCCCCCCCCCCCCCCCCCCCCCCCCGCGGGGGGCCCCCCCCCCCCCCCCCCCCCCCCCCCCCCCCCCCCCCCCCCCCCCCCCCCCCCCCCCCCCCCCCCCCCCCCCCCCCCCCAAAATATGGTTTATGTTGCAATATGCTCTTTTACATCAGAAGCCGATGATTCGAGGACCCGGACGGTATTATAAGTATGTTATCACTTTAGACGGGAGGAACCTTTATAAAGGCGTATATAGGTTTTTCTTAGAGAGTTGTTGTGTCATCATGAGTTGGTTTAAGGAACCTATTAACCACTCTTACATTGCCGACCTATTGTCCTGCTATAACTAGCGATAAATTTTGTACGTGATGGAATCCCGTTTCCGATCCCTTCACGCCGCGTGCATTATAAAAGAAGTTTAGCATTAATAGGGGCTTAATATCTAGTAACTACTTTATTACTTTTAAATAAAACACTTTAAAACGCGATATATTAGTTAAACTTATTTGAAAATCTTTTTTAACTTTGGCCCGACGTTTCGGATGCTTTGCAGATATTCATAGACGTTTTTTCCTATGCACAGTGGTGGATCTGGACGAAATTTCGACATTCCAATCACACATTTATATCAAGATTTCTCAGACGAACGTGTTTCAGATAAAATATAAATATATTTCAGAAACATTTGGACCCGGAATCGAATCTACGAGCCGTTTTTAAATAATATTATCAGATCTTATAATCCAATGTGCATAAGAGCAAGTAAAAAATGTCGGATATGGTCCATTTTTTCAGAAATATGTCGTACTTCATCTGAAAAATCTAGATATTAAATGGAAAGGGTCTATAAGAGAAAAATCAAGATTTAAATCGAGTTTAGTCTGAAAATTCTGAAAATCCAAATCCAAAGTAGATCGACAGTGCCTGATTTAGATGTCATATGGCCTTATACCAAGTGGAACATATGCTTCTCTGTCGTCCTCTATCACAAAAGTATATAGTTAAGTTATGAAAAAATATCCGCAAGTGTTAAGCTTGTTATTGACCGTTTTATTTCTTATTTCAGTGGAGCGTCGCTTGCGCACGCCGTCCGTCTGCTCCGCGAGCATTCTTGGCATGAGGTGAGTCATCGCACTGCATTTATAAATAATGCTTCTAGCTCGTATGTTTACACTCTTCGTATTGAGTATAGTCGTAGACGATGTTACTAATACATTACAATTACAAATGAATCCTGATTTGATCTTGGTAACGCTACTCTTTTTTGATGTAGGCGATGGTATTACAATAATTTTGTTAGTCCCTTAATATCCTCTATTTTTTAATTAAAATAGGATTGTTTGCGAATAAAAGTTAACCATAGTGTAGTCCACAATTTTTTATTACGCCATCACCTAAAAAGATTTACGAGTTTGAAAAAATACAAAGTGGACCAAGATAAGACAATAATTGATTTGATCAACGATTAAACTATCAGTATCTAAACACTGCAACCACGAAATCTAGGTGTTCCGTGTCTAGAACCATTACCTATAGGTATTTCTAAATAAAAGGTTCATTTTAACGGTTTGAAACGCGCAATATATTAGATAAACATATTTGAAGATTATGTTACCTACGGCCCGACGTTTTAGATGCTTTGCAGCAACCGTGGTCATGGGTAGTGTTTTAAATGTGTACTACTCGGGTAAACTACAGATGGTATTTAATTAATCCTATATGTACCTAATTCAAAAATATATCTCGTCCATATTTGAATTTTTAAATAACGGAATTCGATTCTATATTTTCCATGTTAAACATGCAATGCCATTTGTGTACAGAGCATCGGTTCTTAGAAACCCCAGTACTAGTATCTCGGTTCGTGAGTTGGTTATTAGTAAAGAACACTCGTGCTTGGGTATATTAGCAACGCACCTGCCCCACGAGCCGCGTTTCGATGTCAATGCCCGTCAAATGCGGCACTAGTTGCGTACACATTGCCATTAAAATGTACACAAACAAAGCTTCTGAACAATAAAATGTAACATGTATTAGGTAGAGTTTACACGTCGCAAGAATCGAAATATCTTTATCAGCTTAATAATACACTAATTACCTAGGATCCTTATTTCTTCCTTCGGATAAGTGATACGCATGTAAACTAAGAGATAAAATTAGAAGACACTATAAAGAAGAGACTAAATTATTAAAACGATTCCCCACACTCGAAATCGTTACATTTTTAATAAAACAAGATTTTCTTAAGAATTCTATGGAACATAATTTGGTCAGAGTTCGCTCTAGAAGAAAGTTATGTAAAAATTAACCTAACTAATATAGTTCAAGTGTAGGAACATTTATTTACTAATAATTATATAATATATGTCGCGGTCTAGACCGTTAAATGTTTTCTTTAATGCGCACCAATCTTCTCTACTCGCCACAAATTAGTTGTGGTTAGAATCATTTTAGTTCCCACTGCATCATTATAAATGCATCTAATTACATAACTTTGAGAATTTTGAAAGGACACACGGTAAACGAGGGTAGATGGTTTTCGTTAGAAATGTATCTTAAAAAAAACTAAATGCCAAATGATTTCCAGTTTTAAAGGAAAAAAATTAATGAACCGTGTTTTAAGAAAAAGACTAGAGAGTCTGCTGCAAAGCATCCGACACGTCGGGACGTAGTGAAAAATATTTAAAAATAAGTTTGTCTAATATACATACATGCGTTTTAAACCGTTCAAGTGTTTTCTTTAAAAAATAGTATACTTAAGATGTTTAACAATAGTTTTCTTAATTATTCATATACCATATAACACTCCGTAAACTAGACAAAGAACACAAATAAAACACTTTAAGGTTTAAAAGGATATATTAGTTAAACTTATTTGAAAATTATTTTTAACTTCGGCCGACGTTTCGGCTGCTGGTTAAAGTGTTTTATTTAAATAGTTTTCTTTTTAATTGGTTATATACAGCTAGCCTAGCTTTGTATTAATCACGCAGTCGCGGGTTCGACTCCCGGGAAAACAATGAACCGTTTCACTCAATCACAGTTGTCTTATCAACTATTTGTCTGGAAATAAAAACCAGCAGTGAAACGGATATAGAAATGTGTTAGATCTTCATAGAAACGGGATTCTACGAGCATATAGGAAAATTCAAGGTGTTTATACTAAATAAGCTGCTGCAACACAAAAAAGTAGCGGGAAAAATTAAAAATCTTTTTAGATTAAACAAAAAAATTGCTACACAGGCAGAACTTGAACCGGCATCTACAGCGTTCCTAGCTGCTGCTCTAACCAGTTGAGCTAGCGTAACCCACACGTCATCGTCGAATTTCTTCCACGCGTTCGTACATATGCGTCTCTCGCAAAATATTATTTCAACCATCACCCTTCCAAAAATTTTATAAAAAAAATTTTTATTTAAAAAACTATAACAAAAAAATTTTTTTTTTTCCCTTTTTTTTTTTTTTTTTTTTTTAGAACACCGAAAAAGGGCCGGGGTGGGGAAAAAACCCCCCATCTGTTTTCATCCATTTCCCCTTTCCAAGTACTTTAATAAGATGGTTGGTATTATTGTGCTGCAGAAGCTAAAGTTGCTTCACAATTTTTTATCCCAAAATTTTTTTTTGGCCCCTTTTTTTTGTGGGGTGGTTTTCCCCTGCCCCCCCCCCCCCCCCCCCAAGGGTCCCCCCCCTTTTTAATTTTTTTTTTTTTTTTTTTTTTTTTTTTTTTTTTTTTTTTTTTTTTTTTCTTCCCTTTGTTGGGGGGGGGGGCCCCAATTTTAAGAGTTTGTATTATTGTGCAGTAGAAGCTAAAGTATTTGCTTTCAATTTGTCCAACATCATAAAATGTTTCATAGTTCAGTTAAATATGACGGTTGGTATTTTAGTGTCAGTAATGTAGGGTATGAATGCAAGAGCATAATAAGCCCTAGTGTAATTACACAATATTATAAACTGCACGATGCGACGGTAGCACATTCTTCATCCAACATAGTTTATGTGGAAGAACTGCATTCCTCATCGTTCTTGCATTAGCAGATTATATATGGTAGGGTAGCAAGGCCCGTTGCGACTCCTTAATTTTCTGGAATTACAAAGTAGCACTTATCTTTCAATTTCATCTAGTTCAAGAACAACTTAATGAAAATAGCAGTATATAAGTTTATTAGCTTCAATTTTTGGACATTTGACTTCCGTTTGTCTGTCTACCTCTTGTGCATAAACAAGTGTTTGAATTAACATATTATTTTATGTAAAGGTTAACTAATATATTTTGCATATTGAACCGTTAAAAGTGTTTTAATTAAATACTATTAAGTCATGTTTACAAGCAGACGAAGTCACGGTAACTAGTATAAGTCGAAATCGCGTTTCAACTCGTTGAAAATTAATCCTTGGCGCCCACAATCCACCTACTTGGTTCGATTTCAATGCTCGACGGGTAAAGATAAGCGGTAATGCATTAGTCATTAAAATTTTTATTCCGACTCGCGCAGGAACAACCCACTTCCTTCATACGACTTGACATAATAATTTTATCAATTCATCTTGGTTTTCTACTGTAGTCTACAAGTTTTTATTTTTTTCTGTCACACTATTTTGGTGTTGGAGGCATTGAATGGCTAGCGCCGCCAGAGTGCAGCAACCTAAAAAGTAAAATATATATAATATAGTTTGTATTATGATATAGGAAGACAGACAACCGTAGAGTTCACTCGATGTTAGGTAACTAGCACTGTAGACATATTTCGGCTTTGGATATTCGGAAATCCACAGACTGAAATCGAAACGCGATTAAGCTTAACGGCTTTGTCATCTGTGGACGATGGTTCGAATAGACTTTCGATAATGCTACCACCCGTTTAATATCCGATTTCCAGACGAAGTCAGTGTTTCAGAAAAATTGTAAAGTGATTAGAAAAATGTTCGACCCGGTGGAGATCCCGACCCGTTGATTATTAACCATTACTACCACACCAACGAGCCGTCCGTCAGTGTTTAGCTGATAGGCATTCTAAAAATACAAAAATAGCGGAAGCGGAGATAATACCTATTGCTCCAGATTGATACTAGAATGTTTCAAAGACTTCAAACGGCGAAGCGACTTTTGAGTCTGTTACCACTATACTCTGTAGAATCACGACAAACAGACAGACAAACAAAAAAAAAATTGACGAATCTAAATATTTTTATAATTTTAAAGAGAATGAACTAGACCAACGGGGCAATTAACCAATGCCCATCCTGATGTGAATATTACGATTCTTCGTATAGCTTTTTAATGACATTATCTGCACTTATTAATAAAGTCAGGTTTTATGAAGCTACGAACGCTCATAAAATTTGCATCTTGGCGATATTGCGTATAAATAAATGCAATATTAACTTGTATGTATGCGTGTTGTACTGTGAAATTGCAGTTATTTCTAATTTCCACATAGAATTTGAATATAGCAATGTTACGTCCATTTAATACTTGTAAAAATCCTACGGTTTCAAAACATAATTTATTACGAGTATATGTTTTTACATATAAGGAATCTTGTAGACGGTCTTTCTGACTCAATGGTTATACGCATCGCTTGTGTCTAGCGCGTCGTATAACCATTCAAGGACCCTGGACTCAAGTCTAAATTTAAAAAATCATTTCAACAGTTTAAAACGCGAAATATATAAGTAATCTTATTTACAAATCATTTTAACTACGGCTCGACGTTTCAGATGCTTTGCAGCAGTCGTGGTGTGTTTAAGTAGTTAAAACATTTTGTACATAAGTTTTAGTAATACATTTCTTGTTTTAAAACGTTATAATGTTTTATTATTTATATATTTCCTTGTGGTACAAGATAGTTTTTGTTATGCAAGGGCAGACTACAAATTTACTTGCTTGTAACTAATATCGATACGGAAATTAATATATTCATATAATATATACCTCGGTTGTTATCAAAAACAGAAGGAGTGAGGTCTTAAATCGCAAAGTCAAGCCTAACACGTATTTTTAACAACTACTTTAGTACAATAATTTTTTTATTTAAACAAAAAAATTAAAGATTTTTAATCTTTCGTTAATTTTACTAAACTACATTATTAAATTACTACATAATAAGCAACCGAATTATTTTTCCCGGTATTTTTTTCATAGGTAAAGCCTAATTCATCAAAGATATCCTAATAGATACGAAGATAAACAATTCATTTAACCCTTTTCCGTTTAAATAAACGCGTGCGCAATTAATATATCCTTCCGTATCACTTCGTGTGGTTATGAAACTCGAAAGTCGGTCTTTAATCATAATTATATTCTGTCAATTAATTAAAATCGTAATGTTAAAACATGTGAAACGGGTCAAAAAAATAACGGATTCATTCTTAGTGCCTATGTAGAATATTATACTCAGAAGTATATATGTAAAAATGACAAATACGTGTATATGTGTCGTCTTTAAGATAGAGTAGGACAAACAAGCATCTGGTTAACTTGATGGTAGGTGACCTATTTTTGGATCTGGATATTTGGAAATTCGCAGACAAACAATATCCAGGTTTCCAAACGAGGTCCAACAAGATTAATAAAAATTACGGACCGGTGAGGATCCCACCCAACACCACTAACGTACCCGGCAAATGTAACTCCATTCTTATAACTACCTTATTACTTAGATAAAAACATCGCTTAACTTAAAACTGACCATCCTATTCTAGAAATATTCTATCTAATCTTATTCCAAATGATAAACATAGACATCGTAACAGAACTAAAAGACATTCTAGACTAGAACGGGGCCGTCTTCCGTTCGTACCGACGGCTATCATTATAAGCGACACGACATTTCCGATAAGTTAACATAAATATACTCTTAGATCATAATTATTGTCTCATCTAATTATAGATGCAGCGTTTACCCGTCATGCTATCGTAACGACACCAGCCGACAATCCTAGGTTACCGCTTCAAGACTAACTGTAAAAATAATTTCCATCAGACTCCTACTAAAAAATAGACGCGAATGTTTGTAATGTTTGTTCCTGCTTCACGCACAAACTACTGAATGAAATTTGATGAAACTTTGCTTAAATATAGTTTATACATACATACAGTAATATTATATAGGAAATAATTTTTATAAACAATCGCGAATTATAAGAACAAAACCGCTATAAGTGACAATACGTATAAGACTACATCTGCGTGGTATTCTGATTTCAAATTATATTTTGTGATAAATATTCAATCGGCTTGACTGATTTTGATAAGATTCGATGTCAATGTTAGCTATCATCCTGGAAGAATTGATGGTTATTTTTCAGGATGTCTACACACATGAGGATGTATATAACCTAATTGTTATTTTCTTAAATAAATCGGTGAAAATTAACTTACTAAATGTAGTGCGAAAACTATTAATTATTGATATATTAATACATATTCTATACTAGCTGTGCCAATGACTTTATCCGCGTAGAATACTTATTTTGGGCATCAAATTTTGTTTTTCTATACCTGCTTCTTTTATAGATTATAGCTGTTACCCACGACATCGTCTGTGTCCCGTTGTTCTTGCCAGTTGATCTTAAAACATAGACTTTGACATTTCTTTACATCATCATTCTTTCATACATATTTTTTGGATATCTTGAACCGATTTCGCAGCGCACGTAACGGAAACCTTCAACGATGAATATTTATACATTTTCTCTTATTTCCCATTGTTTCTTTGCTCCGATCGCTGGGTGAAGTTTCATAGCCTTAAAGCCTCCCTCAGCCAAAACAGTTTCTCAATTCGAGCCAGTAGTTCCTGAAATAAATGCATTCAAACAAACAAAGGAACTCTTCAGCTTTGTAATAACATAATAGATTGTCTAATAAGCAAGCATTTAATGAAGGTTGTAGATCATTCAGACGTTTGAATATCTAGATTCCAATTTCGTAGCCATAATTAAAAATTACCATATTAATACAATTTCTTGCGTGCAAACAAGTTCACTATCCCCTCTGCACCTTGCAAAACTTAACATAATGTGCGCGTACGCATTGAGTAATCCTCGATAACTAGATTTTGCATAATTGCGATAAACATAACCATCTAAATACCGAACGAATACTATGTAACTTTGATGTCTACGTAATTTCAAATATGCGATAATTTATTTAGGCTCATTGGCCTAATGAAAGCAGTGTATGGCTTGTAATCAGCGGGTCATGCAATCCCCACCGGGTCTAATATATTTTAGTCAATGTAATATCATTTTCGCCAATATGTTGTACTTATGAAAATTCCGTCCGGGTCACGAACGACCGTCCACAGATAACAAATACGTTTAATCGCCTGTGAGTCTCAGTGAGTGGATGTCCAAATATCTAAAGCCAAAATAGGTCGATAACGCATCTTCTTTAAATGTTACATGGCTGGTTTATTGTAGCTCCCATTATGTGAGCTCCATGCTTATTTCATGCGGTCCTCCTATGTTTTAAAAAAGCCGACCGCAATGGCGTCGAAACAAAGATTTTTAACATAATAATATGCTCTACTTGCAACTATCGATTATTATGATGCGAAAAATATATGAAACTCGAATTCGACTTCACATTACACATTATATATTTAAAAAACTATTTAGATTTTTAAAAAAATATGAAGACACAGGCAGGACTCGAACCAACGATGATATAGTAGCTAAGTGGTAACAGCAGTAGCACGGATGAAACGATACGTTAAAAATGTTGCTGCGCAGTTGTGTAGTCGTACTATAGCTTGCTAATCGGTTGGTGTTATTGCAGAGCAACAAGCGCGTGCGCTGTGACGCCATGGATGCGTGATCGGTCATCATGCGCCTCTTCCGAGGGCCGAAGCGCAGGGAAGTGACCGGCCCGCAGGCTGCTCCGACGCCGTCTCCCCGCCGAGACATCTCTACCGGGCCTCCAGCCACACAAGACTACACGCTCGTTACCGCACTCCCAGCCATGGTCATGGAGGACGATGTGAAGGAGATGAAGAAAGGTAACAGCAACTTGTAAAATATGAGGTTTCTCTCGGGCACGATATATTATTTCTATAAAACTATAATAGAGGTTATCATCAGCTAATAGTTCATAAACGGGACGGGCATCTCCATGATAAGGAAACACATCAATATGAATTTCCAATTAGTAAGAGTATTTTTCTGTACTTTCAGTATTTGCAACGTGGGGTCGGCGAATGGGAAAGAAACTCGATATGTTAAAGAAAGATCCCAAAGATGCTCAGGATTCCAGCGCAAATGAAATCTCAAATCGAGATTCATCACCTGCAATGGGACAGTATAAGAAGAAACAAAATTGGAAAATGGGCCGCAGCACATCCGACTCAGCGTCAATAAAGAAGGATAACGATACGGATTCTATAAGAAGTGGTTCGAGAGACAGATCACCGAGCCCTTTCAAATCTTTCTTCCATCGTATGGGTTCAACTGGCATGTTGAACACAAAAACACAATCGCTAAATACACACAAGCCCCCTGAGAATTACACTAATGGATCGACACTTTATAGGAGCTGCTCCACTTCTCATTTATCTACATACATAAAAGCTGACGACCCGTCCGATGATATAGATCTACAAAATACAAATAATGAAAATAAAAAATCCCCAACGAAAAAAGTCCTCAATTCAATAAACGACGAAAAGATCGGTAATTCAACGACTAAAGCTGTCAGTTGTGATAATATACCTAAGTTGGACGGACAGCAAAACAATTCCTCTAACAAAAAACCCAATTTCCCATATGCGTTTTTAAGGTCAAAGCTTTCTGTTTTGCCCGAAGAGAACAGTATATCGTCACAACACAGATCGATATCAATGAGACAGAGCTTCTCAGAACGAATAGATCGAAAATCACCAAAATTCCGAAAGGAAAGAATGTACTATACTAATTCACGATCCGAGGAACGATACAGGAGCAGTGATAATATCTCCGTCCATGAAGGCAGCGTATACGATACCAGTTTCGCTCTGCGAAATGACATAGATTCGTCCAGAAATTCTATTCGAAGTATCAACGAAATCGACGGTACTCCTTATCCATACCGAAGAATAGATGACGTACCTCGTAGGTCGTCTATGATATCACATAGGCCTCCTATAGACTATGATCCAATGCTTATGCCACGGAATAGAAACAGCCTTCCTGTCTACGAATACAACTCAGCTCTCGGTTCCATTCAGGATTTAAAGTCTGATTTAGCATCTTCAAGTCAAAGTATACACCGTGAGTTTCTCCAAGCTCACAGACTTAGTAACTACATAAGTTCCAATGAATCGGGTTACGATAGTGACGGTAGACCGACTGATGAGCATAGTAATCATTCCCCGCCTGGATACAGCCACTTCACCAGCGGATCTGGTACACTGAGCAGAGACGGAAATTATAGTAATTTTACAAGGCAGCTAAGTTTAAATCATAAAATAAATGTGAGTAGAGTTCAAATTCCAACGAGAAGAAGCTCCACACCGTGCGCATTGTTTCCAATAGAAAAAAATGTTACATATGATAGAGAAAATGAGAATAAACCTCCTACAAAGTACACGAAGAATATTTCTAATCAACAAATGACGATCGATTATAGCGATGCTAAGCCACCACCTCTCCCAAAAAAGAATATAAGTAAGAAAGTGCCTTTTATTTACAAAACAATCACACTGGATGAACGGGTTCAAACCAGAAAAATAAACTTTTTGCAATCTCAATTGGCATCGTACGAACATTCATCAACTCCAAATCTTTGTGACAATATCACTTCGGGTCGAGAGTCGGATATTAAAGTTTTGGAAAAGGATTTACTTGGAAGAGGACCATGCACGAAGCGTTTTAGAAAATTAAGACTGATCAAAACAAGGTTAGACGAAAGTTTAGGTGTTTACCTCGCTCAGCATAGAGTGGATTTTGACAAAAGTGGCTCCAACTTTGAAATTCGTTACATTGTCGTGAAGCTTGATTTCGATGGAATAGCCCACAGAGATGGTAGACTGCGAATAGGAGATGAAATTGTCAGTGTAAACGGTAAAGTACTTCGAGGCTTGGCATCATTGAAGGAGGTACAACACATTGTCAATTCATGTTCTACAGAAGCTGCACTCGAAGAAGGAGCATTGTTTCAAAGATATGAAGTCGATTTAGTGATGGCACACGATGAAATAAACCCTATTACACTAGGACGTATAATAAACAACCATCCGTTAGAGAACAATGCGGTTCAACAAAACAATATGTCAAATGTACCGCCTGATATCATTTCTCAAACGATCCATAAACCTACGCCTTCAAATCAAATTACGATAGAAACTCACTTCCCGAGTGAAAACACCTTCTTCGTAGAAAATGAAATAGACGAAATATCGAAGGAACTACACGAGATTCATAATAATAGATGTGAAGTCGGCGTTCAAGTAACTAAACGCATCCAGCTATCAAATCAGAAGAGCGACGACGAGAAGTTATTAGAGCGAAACTGCTTCACACCTGTTCATCCATCATTACACAATATAACGAATATCGAGGTTTCAATGCGATCATCGCCTACGCCTAAAAACAACGTGAACTATAGACCCATTTCTTTACACGGTTCCAGAACACCTTTATCTGTTTGTGCAGACAATGATACGAACGAGATAAAAGAATCATCCCATTACATAAAGAATGTGCCGAGGCTTTACCAGAATAGATCGTTTGAAAGCATTCCGGAACAGCTAAGAAGCAGCAACCGCAGCAGATATTTCAACCGAGCTGGTTCACAGAGATCGCCTATTTGCAACGGATCGCATGTATCTCGTCAGCAAGAATATAACGGCGCAGCTGCTCAACCAGAAACGTTGAATTTTTCTAATAGCACGGTACATAAAGTGCAGTTTTGGAAAGGCCCGGGTCACAAGAGCCTCGGTTTCAGTATTGTAGGAGGGACGGATTCGCCAAAGGGACAAATGGGAATTTTCGTTAAAACAGTCTTCCCAAATGGCCAAGCTGCAGATAAAGGGAATGTGTATGAAGGTAAGAGATTACTATTGAAAATCCTACTATATAAAGACTTTTAATGGCTGTATATAAATGTGTATATATTTTTTCAGGCGATGAGATAATATCAGTGAACAATGCGCCTACGCGTGGCTTGAGTCACGCTGGGGCTATATCACTTTTTAAACAAGTAAAGGAAGGGAAAATCGAATTGACGCTTTCACGAAGAAGGTTGGTTCACACAAAAATTTAGTACGTAATTAGTCAAAAAAACAAAGCATAAAAATACGTTTTATCGTACTTTATCTGAAATGGTGAAGAGTGAGTATGCTTAGCTACGCCCTACGTTCATGTAGGTTTTATCTCAGTACAAAAATTATTAAATTGTCAATTTGTGTTAAATATATGAAAGCTATTTCAAAAAAATTAGACACTGCATTCCATTTTAAAATGGCGAAGGTTTAGAAGATTAATTTTATATCTATTATTTCTTTCAGAGCTCCTAGGTCAAGATCTGTCGAGCCTCTTGGTCATTTTCGCGGCAACAACAAATGATTCTCCATCGTATTCGTGACGAGACCTCCAAAGAAAACCTTTTCAAGTGCAATACTGTTCTCTTATCGTTATGCCAAAGGCGTCGAACTTAGTTATATTATAAAGTACTAAGTACTATGTTTTTATTCGTTGCTACAACGACTAGCTTGCGAAGTATATGTATATCTTTTGCATAGTATATTACAATGCTTTACATAGTATATCTGTAATAAGACTATTGTATCGTTTAGCCTTAAAATGTGAATAAGACTGTATCTAACGCTACGTTTAAGAATATTCATAGATCATATATGAACTTTACAGATTCAAGTAGAATTGCTAGATCTCGTTTCCATTTTGTACATATTGTTTTAACTTCTATGAACTTAGGCCTCATTTATAGACTGAAAATTCGCTAATTTGTACCTACAGATACTGCCAAAGTCTTAGTGATAATGCGAGTAATATAACAAACGAATGTAAAATACACACTGCCACATATAAATACTACAGTAATAATTTTGTCAGATTTTAGAAGTAATGCCATCGGTTGGTTTCGCAAAATGTAATTTCAAGAGAATCATGACATTTCTCAACCCTTTTGAATATACAATGTAACGGTCTCGTTAATGTAATGGTGGCAAAGTAAAGACAATAATCAAGGGTTCATGCGTTCGATCTTCCACGGGTCACGGGTAGACCCCTCGTCACCCCGTGACCACCATGTTTCTATAAAATTTATATTCTTCTGAAACACGTTGGACTTCCACTGAAGATATTTGGTTATTTAAGGGGGTGGTAGGAATATCGAATTTCGAACCACCGTCCACAGAAAAGCCCTAAAGTTAAATCGATCATGCGTCGATGGTTGGTGTACTTCATCCTCTATCAAGCGAACCACTTGCTTGTATGATTGCCTCTACCATAAAAAAGGATTGAGGAATGTAATTGATCAGTAATGAATCATCGAACGAGTGACATCTCGAAACCTTGCGGTTTTGGGTTTGATTCACGCCCCCTACATTTCAGAATCTACAATTTAATTATACTATAGTAACATTATGTAATTACGGACTATTCGAATGTAACATGTTTAAAATAGCTAGATAATGTTCTCAAATATTATAACTACATAAAATAATATAAACTCTGAAACAGCGATCTGGCTCCGTCCATAGGAAATATGTCAATTACGTACTGAACATTGTTGAAACAATCCTTCAACACAAAATCAGATTAGACAACTGGCGATTGTATAAAATTGTATATACTCAACTACAGTATTGTTATTTATAAAGGAATTGTATATAATATAATACGATACCTCTCAACGCTTCCATAATCTTTAAATATTAAAATAAAAACTGAATAAATAGCTTTTATTTCATTAAAATACTAAACTAATAATATAAGATACGAAAAACAATAAAAATTATTCTCAAAACAGTCTACTCCTGAAGCTGAAACTTCTTCATTGATATTCGTCTTGTCCAGTTCACTGATACAAAAGGAGGTAAATCTATTTAATATCACAGAGTATTGCTACGCCGCGAAGAATCCAATGATCAGGATTTTTTATCGTGGTCAGCCATAGTGGTGTGATGAAGGTCAACCCGGTTCGGCGAGGTTTCTTGTATACAGGACACTGGAAGACACGAAAAATAGGTTTCAGTAAGCGGTCATAGAATTTTAAATAACTATAGGTCTATAAAAATTTAAAGATACACATTTTTTTACACTTTAGACTTTATTCTCTATAATACAGAAGCTGGATAATCTAATGGTAGCTGTATATGGCTAATAACCACCGGGTGAGGGTTCGACCCCCATCGGGTCTCACACGTTTGTGATAAAATTATAATTTCTCTGAATCGTGTTGGTCCGGTTTGGAAAGTTCGATATGTAAGTGGGTAGTAGAAATATCAAAAACTCAAGTTTAACCACGTGTCGGTTTCAGTCTATGGAGTCCCGAATACTCAAAGCCAAAATAGGCCAGCACATCGTGTTAGATGTTACATGGCTGGAGCATTTTACCCTTTATCAACTCTATATTGGTCTGCTTTAGCGTAAAAAAATAATTTAGTATGTAAAAATCTATTTTATTAAATACATGAAATGTTTATATGTAGCCACACGGTCTTGTAGGTAACGTCTTCGCCCGTAGTCTCAACTTTTCATAACCACCAGTGAATGGCGTCATGGAGACTCTAAATAACGACGGCCTATTAGCTTACAAACCCCAAAAAATACAGCCTAACCCAATTTTACTCTGATTCAAAACGCTAAAGTTACCTGGTATAGTTTTGGATCTTTGGGAGCAGTCGAGTTGATAGCGTACACGTGCACGACCGGGAGCGCAGTGTACAGCACTTTCAGTGTGGACTCGCAGAGACGCATATTCCGTCGGTCCCATCCAGCACCGTCTAGGAACAAGCCGTGTACGAAGACACCCTCCTGCAACACGCGGAAGACCAGAATGATAAGACGTCATAATTGTGAAAGTAAAATAAAGAAAAAAAAAACAATGTCTGGAGAAAGGGAATTACTTAAAATCGATTTTACATTGTAAAAATAATACTACAAGGACATGACTTGAACTGGCATTCACAGCGTTCCATGCTGTTGCTTTTACCAATTGAGCAACCGCCGATGACGTCGTGTTCTTTAACCTTTTGAAACATCCACCATTACTAGGTGTATATAACTAGTCTATTTTCATGAAAATATAATTACCGGCGGTGGAGCCTTAATTTCTTCATAAATGAATTTAGTCACATCATTATGCAGGGCCACCATGTCCAACGCCCACCCTTTATGTGCTCGAGTCACCTCCTGTCGCATGGCCGTCAGAAAACCTTGAAGAATCAAAACAATCATTAGAAGAAGGAAAATTCTGACTATACAATTATTAATATACGACACGACACACTCGATACATACCTTGTGGATTGAAAAATCCGGTCATCCAGAATGAGAACGGTCTGCCTTGGAAGCACCAAGTTGAGAACTGAATGTTCCGCTCCAAAAACTCGGTGAACCAAAAACCTAACGTGGAGGAAGACCAGGAGCTCTTTAACCAGATATTGGGCACTTTGGCATCGTAAATATTGTCCAAGGAGTCACGGAGGGCCTAAAGCAAAAAACATACATATTCAGTCAGTGTGTGTGTGTTTTTGTAGTACATTTAACTATTGTTCAGATATTATCGTGCCACGTGTGTGCATATGATGTATAATAACGATAGGGTGTGTATGTTTACAAGATAAATTAATTTAAGTTACTAAGATGCCTCTTTCGTTTCATAAATATTATAAAGGAAAAACTTATTTTACTTACTTCATTCATAATAATAGTTCCATCAATAGCAAGTAACAGATCTTTCAGCGTTGTCCTCACTAAAGATATTACTTTCTGCATTCGATCAATTTCTTGACGCAAAAATATGACCATGGAATTGAGAATACCGTAGTGCCTTAATCTGGAATGATTTGATAAATTTGTTATAGAATATACAGAAAAATATTGGGTCTATAAATAAAGTAAATTTATATGCAAGCACACTGTCTGTAGTTTACGCGAGTTTAAATAAAACACTTTAAAGGTTTCAAAACGCGATGTATTTTAGTTAATTTACAAACAAGTTACGAAAATATATCGCGTTTTAAACCATTAAAGTGTTTTATCTAAGAAGTTGATCAGACTTCTGTGACCCACTCCACCGAATTCAATTTATTAATTCGAACACAGGACTTTTTTGCGTAACGACACGGATGCGGTCGCACAAACCAACAGACAGGCAATTAGAACATGCCCAAAAACAGACAAAAAAATTAAGTCTGCTTGCTACAAACGGTTCCTTATTTTTCACCCAAATCTATACCAGAGTCACCAAGCAACGAGCTCACCTTTCCAGCACCTCATGGGGATCAAAATTAGGTGGCACCTTCTCCAACATTTCTTTGCTCTGCCTATACACAGACGCCTCGCGGGTTTCACCACCTCCTGAACTAGACTCTTTGGGCTGGATCGAGAGTATTGTATCGAGAAGTTCTTGCGTTACGCTACGTTGGTATCTGTAATATTAGCCGATAGTTAAAAACTTTTGGCTAAATGAAGCAACATACGAATTTGAATCTCATGGCAATACAGCTCAATATAAATACTGTAAAAGGCTTGAAACTTTGTTTTTCACATGTTATATGTGACACGAGCGGGACTCGAACCGGCATGCATGTACCACGATCCTCTATCTAGGATCCTGTTGCTCTAAATTGGGCCCCTGGCTTCAGAAAAGTACGGCTAATAATCAACGGGTCGTGGGTTCGACCAACATTTTTCTAATCAATTTATAATTTTTGTGAAACATGTTGGATTTCGTCTGGAAACCTGGATATTAAATGGGTTGTACAAATAAAAATCCAAATAATGATTTCCAAATATCCAAAGCCAAAATAGGCTGGAGTATTTCACCTACGATCAAATGATCTCCATGCTTGTCTGTACTCGTCTATCATTAAAAGGAAACTCGATTATAGCTTCAACACGGATTGCTGTGGATGTCGGTTCAACTCCCTGCGATTCATCAACCTTTCCAACCTAAATAGATTTTTAATATATTGTAATAGGCTAATACAATATAGTTACGTAATATCAGCATTAGTGTGCAAGCCATATGCCTGTGGTGGATCCACCGTTTTCATCTTATCGATCTCCTCTATATATTCGGGAATGTTCTTAAACTTCATGATGCCATAACTCTTGTAGAACTGGAACTCTTCATCAAACAACTGGTCCGAGAACCAGACGCGCGTGAACGTGCTCAACAAGCGATTATCGTAGTCGTCTGTCACACGGCCGCCATATTGCACAGCTGATATCATATACCTGGAAGCCAGAATTCAACATTTTTAATATTTAAAAGACAGAAAGACGTATTTTAATAATTTTAAGAAATATTTTAATGACCTACAAATAAAACACTTCAACAGTTTAAAACGCGAATTATATTAGTTAAACGTATTTGACGCTGCAAAATATATATAGCATTTTAAACCGTTGGAGTGTACCGTGTTTTATTTAGGCGTACTACGCACGTAAACTACAGACAGTATTTGATCTATTATTCTTCTCACTTCTAAAATCTACAGCGACAATGCCAAGAGTTGGTAATTTATTGACATCAAGCTTGCAAGCAAGTTGACAATCAAAAATCCCGAATACATCCTGGATTTCCGTCTGAAGAGTCATTCTCTTTCCTTAGTCATGAAATGCGCAACGTCTGCTGACGGTGTCAACTCGTGGTAGCCCGAAATAAATATAATTCATTTAAATAGTTCACTTTAACGGTTTAAAACGCGATATATTAGTTAAACTTATTTGAAAATGATTTTCCAAAGCATCCGAAACGTCGGGCCGAAGTTAAAAATCATTTTCAAATAAGTTTAACTAATATATCGCGTTTTAAACCGTTAAAGTGTTTTATTTAAATGTGTACTACTCGCGTAAACTATAGACAGTACCAGATATAATTCACCTAAGCTGTGATTGCTTTACATATCTATAATTGGTTCATTACGACGGCCTGAGCTTAGACACCAAAATGGCCACGAAAGCCTTATGCAATTGGACTATATAGGAAGACTAGCTGACCCGCACCCACTTCGTTGGGTGGTAAATAGCCCATTCTTCCTTTTTATTTAACTATCTCCATTTAAAAAAAAAAATCAATTCTCACTCCGTTTTGCCGCGAAAGATCGACAAACACTCATCATTATCCACAGGCTGCATAGTTGTCTTTATAAGGATGTTAAAGTTGTTAATGATGAAAATTTTAAATGTAATTAATCTAAGTTTTCACTTCTGCCGGGAGTCCCGAAGTGAACCCGGTTTTTTAGTTAAAAAACGATTATTGTAGACTTCTCTAAAAATGACGTTAAATTATTTTCTGGTAAAAATACTGGTCGGGAGCCCCGACCGTATAGGGCAACAAAGTTGCCCCGTAAAACATTCTTTTCGTAAATCAATTCCACTAATTTGAATGTTTGGCCCTGGGATTTGTTTATCGAGTGCGAAAAAATTTTACTGGAAATTGGAGCCTTTTGAAGGGTATAGGCAAATCGTAGGAATCATGGGTATTCTTGGTATATGAGCTAATTCACACTCAGGGCCGGTATAATCTTCGCACTTAAATTTCTTTTAGCTCCTTTATAAGAATCTCGCCCACTTTAGGGGGGTTTAAATTTCTGAGAAGCATTATCGGCGTGCCTACTTTTAACGACAGTTCATGAGGTGGTAGCCCAGCGGGGTTCAGAGAATTTAAAAATTCCTGGGGATAGTGTACTGCGTCCTCGATGTTAGTGACGGTGTCTATGGATTTATAGCACTTAACTTCACCCGGTACTTTCTGCATAATTAAATTGTTTATTTCGTTGACTTTTCATTCCTGGGAAAACTATTGCTCTACAACACAGCCAACGAAAATCATTTTGGTTAAGTTTTCGATGCAGGAACATTCAACTCAAATATGGACTGGCCTAAGCTCTCTAAAGTAACTGCATAATTGGTGCCCAAATTTAAAAATGGAAAATTCCTTCTCCAAGTTTCAGCACTGTTGTGGAAAATTGCTTCCTTCCATGTAAGTGAGCCTCATGTTGGTGCCAAATACAATGTTGAACATGTCCAAAGTTGAGACGATTTTAAACATGCCTTCAAATTCTGCTCGCTCCTCTGTGACCGGACGTTTGTCGGAAATTCCAGCAAAGTGATCCACCTAACTTACAGAGCTTCGGAGGTCTTTTAAAGTACGGTCCACGGCCTCCACAGAGCTCTATACTCATGGTGCATTCATCCCATATCCACGGTCTTGCAGTAACTTACCAAGAGGCCCATTTTTCCGAATAGAGCACGTAGACCGTTGACAAAAACGATAGCGGGAGTTTAAACGTAGAGTAGCAGTTTTTCCTTCGTTCAAGAGAGTTGCAGCTTCCAGCCTCATCGCTATCTTCCTGTTGCCGTATCTTAGCAAGTATCAAATTTGCGAGAAAAGTCTTTCCGTCCTCTGTGCGTCCAAAAAAATAATCTCCCCATGTTATTGTTCACGCATCCACAATAGTCTCATAACTTCTTGGTCTGGTCTAATTTTGGCACATTTAATTTACAAACTGTTAGATCATTTCTGTTATACTGTTGTACCATTGTGTCAATTTATTCTGGGTCGAACGGGAGAAGGTAATCCAAAATCACTTAAATTTTTGTCGTTTAATTCTAAAGTTTGTTTTCTATTTCAATTAATCCTTCATTATAAATTACTTCAGTAAAGGGTAAAGTGTTATCCTGTTTGTTGTCTGCTGTCAATTCTTCACAGACTATCTTTGAAAGTATGCCATAACTTCAATGGTTCCGATGGTTGACAAAATAAAAGTATGACTACGAATAACTCCCTAGTTTTGGACAATTGATAAGAAGCTTCGCTAAAGTATTACCCCAATGGTCATCGTTTTCAAGAAACCTCGGACCAGCCTGACGTCTCTGACAACGACGTTTGAGGTATGCAAATGAGGCCTTCAACCAAGTAAAAAACTCGATTGTATGGATGTTCCGTAGACTCTACCTAAACGGCATCTTTTTTTATCCCCGGATGTCCAACTACATCTTCACCACGCCTCTTCTAGTGAATTTATTATTTGCCATGTATAGTACTGCGGGACTCATGATACAGAAGAGTTTTCGCAATTCATCTTCATTACAGAGAGCAAAAAATGCCATAATTGGTTTGCGTGGGTTGGATAACTTGATGAGCTGTCCCTGGTGAAAATACACCCTTTGACCGTTCCAACAGCCAAATGCACTAGTAGGATCCGGTCGTGAATGGGAAATTCAAATAAGCGCCAGAACTTCAGATGTGCTTATGTACCTGCCATTTAAATAGTTTTCGACCTCATCTTGTGGGTTCCTAAGGCTAAAAGTTGCCTTCTGAGCCTTTATTATATATTTACATATACATGGCTTGGACAGGGCAATACTCACGTTTATATGAGCGTTAAAAGTCTTACATAGTCGGGGAGTATGGAACAATCCACCTAGTTGCCCCTAATTTTAGCGTAGTGCTCCGACCGCCATTTTCTGTATGGCCTCGATAAACTGGATACCCATCCTCTCCGGTTTGGGTATCGTTCATGAAACGGCGAGGGTATTTTTTTGTGCAGACACCGTCCATCATGGTGCAGCTAAATTATGCCCTCCGCAGGGTCCATGCACCATATTTTTAGTTATAATATTGTGTAGTACCGGATCAATGTCTTGATCGGGTAGCTCCGCAACTTGACGCTGTCTCTCGTCTGGTTGTATTTTACTTTCTACCACAGCAAATGACATGAGGTAAACCGCGCTTTTGCCATTCCACACTTGCCATATAACATTTTGTTTTACCGAATATCTGTTCTTTGACAAAATTGATGAATTTCTTCATCTTTAAATGAAAGACACGGGAAATTATATCATGACGGTCGAAAGACCGTTGTCCTGGTAGTAGCTCCGCCTTAATCTCAGGCCATTCAGGGTCATGTAAAAGTGAAGTCAGGTCTACCATAATTTCGGACGTACGTCATGCGTCCTGCGTTTTCTCGTCATGAAACGCGGAGACGTAAATACGATGGCAATATGACATGTTGACCGATGTTTGATGGGTCAACATTTGCGTCATGATTTAAGCTCTCTGAGATGAATGTAGTCATCAGCCCTCAGTCTTGTTGTCCGGGAAATATAATTTAATCTTTCAATTCTTTTCGCTTCAACATTTGACTAAATAAGTCTCTGTAATGTAACGATAAAAGAGTTAGTTCTAAACTTAATCAAATGCAAAAATTGACTGAAACGTCTTTACCAGAACTCTGAGAGATAGTCAAATAATAACCGTCTTCTCCTACAAATATGGGATACTGTAGTGGATCATAGGACCGATGTAGCTCAAGAAACTCTCTTGAGCTGTCCGTCTCTCCTTAAGACTATATCCCTGGGACCTTTGTCTTCATCGACTAAGAGAACGGCTACCTCGTTTACAGTAGGAGCATTATATCTGCCTCTGTGTCTGTCTGTGGAGTCATCTGATGAATAATTAACTTTAAATTATCTGAGGAGTTGATTCTAAATTTTGTTTAAAACTTTGTACTACGCGTTATGATTATTCAGAACGGTCTGTAATTCGCGAATAAATCCATTTAAGGTTGGTGCGATGCTTGACGCACGAAATTGGTCTGCTCCGAAATATTTGCAAACGTGGGTTTTGGCCTGATGGTGGTAAAAGGCTACCAATGAGATGATACACCTGTCCTTCAATTTTAAAAGTGGGCATAAAATGACCTTCCCTGATTTCTTTAGCCCCAAAAGAAGTCATTTGAAAAAGACTATTGTATTTACGTGTATTTGTTAAAAAATGACCAGATAATGGATGGTTATTAGTTAAAAGATTTTTTATTGGTTGTGGCGCTCCTGAAGGTTAGGAACAAACTTTACCTGAACACAGCACATACCATTAGGTTCATCCGCCCATTTCTTGGCAAACAGTTAGAGCAATCTTATTCATGACTCCGATTTGGACGACGCTTGTTGTGCATAATCAACCTGCGGATCATATCTGAAAGCCAGTCTGTTCTGTTAGCTAAACTCGTTGAACTCTTTTGTGGACAACTGCTGTCTCTTCCTGAGCTCTAAGTCGCTGCAAACGCTCGACATTCGACTCGCTTTCGCGCAACTGAGAGGTCCTTACATTTTGTTCACGAAGACGTTGGGAACGCTCCAGCCTCGACTCTCGTGCACGTAACTCAGAGGTTCTCAGTTTTGTTGTGCAAGCGTTGCGAACGTTCGACACTCGACTCTCGTCGCGAGCCTGAGAGTTTCTCTGATTTTGTTCAGCAAGGCTTGTGAACGTTCAGGTGAAGATTCTCCCATACGACGTATTCTTGCTGCCGTCTTGAGACTTGGTTAGAAAGTTGGGACCTGGCTCTCTTAGGCATTTTCAAATGTTAGGAAAGTGTTAATACCTGTAATATTCTAGCTCTGAAAAGAACTGTTGTTTAGTCCTGAAAAGAAATGTTTTTTAGTCCTGAAAAGAACTGTTGATTAGCTCTGAGAAGAACTGTTGTTTAGCTCTGAGAAGAACTTTTGCGTAGGTGTAGTTTTAAGAATGAAGTCTAATAAAAATCGAACGAAAATGATTAGACTTCCGCACGACCCTCTACGGAGCCGACCCGCGTTTGAGCCGCGCGGGTACCTACTCATAGATCTAAACTCCCCTCCCGCACTCGCACCCCCGCCTTGGTGACCCAACTTCGCAACGCAGAAATAGTAATATTTTAATTTCGCCATAACTTCAAAACCAAACGTCCAATTTTAATCTTTTACATACCAAATATTATCTACATAAACTGTACTTAGTGATGAAATAATTTATTTTGATAAGGATTAATAGCATGAGTAAAATAAATGCGTTTAAATGTAGTCCAAAAAAAATTAAGATTTTTAAATAAAAAAATGGTTGTTGTGCCTCACTCGACATAGATAGGTATAGTGTGTCGCGGACTTTTTTGTAGATATTTATAAGATCTCCAATTAATTAGAACATTTTATGCTTCTATCTTTTATAGTTTAGGCAGCGTACGCAAAATAAGTAAATTTTCTGGTTGATTTTTTACACTTTGTGTCCGAAAAACCCAAATATTTTAAGGAACCCTATTTTTTTCCAAAATAAAATTTTGCCTATGTTACTCGTAGATAATGTAGCTTTCGAATGGTGAAAAAATTTTTAAAAACGGTCCAGTAGTTTTTGAGCCTATTCATTACAACCAAACAAACAAAGTTTTCCTCTTTATAATATTAGTGTAGATTATTTTGCTCAATAAAATTAGTTAACTTATAAAATACTGTTTATAAAAGTTACTTACCGCACAGTGGTCCAGCTAACTGTCTGTCCAGGTTCCAAAATATCCAGATGATTTTGGACAAACATGCAGGACGCGAGCCAATCCGCGGAATTAAATTCATAGGGGATGTTCCAACCTAGAGGACCAAACTTTCGCCTCTCCTGTACTACGGTGTGGAGGAAAGATATCGTGTATATCAAAGGTAGGTAGAACGGGCTGTCGCTGTAGTCTAGAAAATCTTGACTCATAGAATCGTACGTTCTCATTAGACCAGCTTTGATACCTGAAAGTTAAAAAGATATAATAGCTATTTCATTCGTTATAGTAAGGTTAAAATATGCTTTATTTTGTATAATCTATTAAAATACATGTTAATTATATTTTCGCTGGAATTAGAGCATTAATGTATCATGTAAGACGATATAGAGGGGGGGAATGTTATTTTTAGGGTTTAACAGTCTTAATAGTTCTTATGTAAGATCCCAAATGCGCAATGTTACAATTATATTAGTGAGATAGAGAGATTTTTACCATTATGATATTAACTAATATTACTTGATGATTTTAACTAAAGTTACTATTAGCACCTTTGTATGTACAAATAAACATTTCTTAAACCTTTTACTATTTGTCTTTGGATTCTTACATAATAAATATTGAAAAGGGTAGGGGTCTACTCAATTTTTTTTTAAATATAATCAAAAAGTAGCGAAAATTTTACTTATGGGATAAAAACATTGTTACTGGTTTTCTATTAAATATGTACAGTATACGTAAATATTACAACTTAACTTGTCGGTTAATATTTTGAATAGCTACAAAATATTTGTTTACTAACCTGATGGCGGCTCGCAAGTATACTTGATAGCCATTTGAAGGAAGGTAATTGGGAATCGGTCGTGAGGTTCCGTCGTTACCCACAACCTACCAAAACAGATAATATAAGAAAATATAATCTATAGTTACAACCCCACATACAACTGTTAAGGATTATCATACCTAAACATTTCATGGACCTTCTCTGGTTCCTTTTCTAGTTCAGCGAATTGTTCCATAATCTCAACCATATACTCCAAACCCAAATGGCAGTTTTGAAGTAATACCCAAAGGCCCTGGTGTAGAAATTATGAAAAAAAAGAGACAATAACATAACATAACAACAAGGTATACAAAATTTGAAGGACTCGTTGGTGTAGTGGTATCAATGTATAGCTAATAATTAACGGTATAAAACATGTTTCTAATTTATATTTTTCTGAAACATGTTCGACTTCGTTTGGAAATCAGGCGATTAAATGTGTGGTGGGAATATCGAAATTCCGTCCGTGTCACGGACTACTTCCGAATATCCAAAGCCAAAATAGGGGGACTGCAAACCTTGTTTAAATGCTATATGACTAGGGTATTTTAATTACCGCCAAATGTACCCCAAGCCTGGCTGTCCTCTTTTGAAAAAAAAAAACAAAAATAAAGGTCCTTTTACAGCTCTGTATGAAAGTACCTCCCATATTTACCTCTTTTAAACCTCTATCAATAAGCTTCCTGGCATGAACCTCCTGCCCTTGTCCCATAGAGATGGAAGAGCACAAAATCTCCATTCTCTTTGCTGTAGTCTCTATGGAGGGTGTAGGATCTGACCCCATAGCCAAGAAACCAATAAGTGGAACTAACGGTCGCGACTCTAACACCATGTTCTGAAATTTGTTTTTATTATCAGATTTGAGCTACTTCCTTTTTGAGCTGTTCTGTTGAGAAATGGTTCTTAATTACGGTCGAAAAGGTTTTAAAAATGACGGCGAAAGACATTTAGAGTTAGTATGTTTAAATTTAAGTCACTTTTACACAATCTATATTTTTAAGGGTATAAATTCAAAAAATTGTGGGAATATACCTCATAATTAACGATCACAGCTTCCGAAAACTTTGCGCCCATAGAGAACATCACATATTTCCTGTAATATAAAACAAATTCAAATTAATATGATGGCTAGGAACAATCTTTAAAAAGTTATTTTGTACTTCATAGACTTACAGACTCTGTGCCAAAGTTCTGTCTGGACACCAAGCCCGAACAACTAGCAGTTTCCTAAACACGTCTAACGTGTGGTAGCCGTCTGGAAGGGGCTCGTCTTCGGGGGCTTCTTTGTCGAACCTGAGATAAAACTTTGTATAAAAAATAAAGTACATGGATACATAATGCAATTACTGAGTTAATGAAGTATTGTGTTTTGCCCACAATTGCCTACAAAAAAAGACACAAAAGTAAAAAAAAAAACCCTATTTTCTTTGTATTTTTGTAGAGAGTCTACGCAAAAATTGTCAAGGTATTAAGTTACTGGGTGTCGTATAAAATAATTTTGTAATATAATGTAGCTAATTAAAATAATCACAAACATTACTAAGTTAGAGACAAAGAGTGTATTACGTAAATGTATTGTTATAATGTCCTTTTAATTATACCTTGTCTAAAGTTTACGCGTTGAATTTGAAATATATATAAATTAAACACTTCAAAACTTATTTTAAATTTAATTTTACTACGAGCGAACATTTCGGATGCTTTGCAGCAGTCTTAGTCACAGGACAATGCTGCAATGTTGCAAAGTTAACTATTTCGCATTTTAAACCGTTAAAAGTGTTTATTGAAATATGTACTACTTGCGTAAACAGTTAACTTTCGTTTTAAGTAAAGAAGATATAAATTAGTCTAGAAATATTATTATTTCGGTACCAGTTCTTCCAGCCCTTTTCATTATTAGAGACTTGATTCAAAATATTGGTGTATTGCCTCAAGCCGGACAACTGCACTAAATTAAGCCAAGACATATCAGTCACCCATTTGAATGGTTTTGGCGGGCAGGCGTTTAGATCTAATGCAGCGCCACCTGGTGTCATTATTTAAATGAGTGTAAGAGTCATGTACTGCCATACTTTTACTTTTATTTTTTTAATATGGCCGGTTTTAAAACATAGACAACTGTAATGACCTTTATAGGGTAAAGTTATTGCCACAGAGGACAAGGGGATAAGAAACAATATTTAAAATCACCGTTATGATTGTGGTCGCATCAATACGAAATTGTGGTTTTGAGGTAGAGGTATTTTCATTTCTAGTACACTAATGAGTAAGTAATTTACCTTTTATGAATGTCTGGAATTCGTCATAAGTTATGTATTCCTTTTGTAGATCAATTTTCAGGGTTAAAAGTAAAGTGAAGAGATACTTGTGCTTTTCGTAAAAGCCACGACTTATGTATTTCCAAACATCGAACGTCTAAAATCAATAAGGACTTAATTATTATTATTGTAACATATTACATAGGTACATAATAACTTTTGATGATGAAGCCTGATTTCTAAACAAATGTCTACATTATTATTAAAATCTTCATGTTTAAATACGTTTTGACCGAACTGAAGCATTTTAAGACTATATCGCCTCTAAATGACATTAACATAACTTATTAATATTATATAAATGAAATACTGTTCAATTAGTGTGACATGAGCTAAACACAATGACCGTTTCACTCATCGATTTTATTTAGACAATTAATTAGACTGTGTCCAGCTCAATTGAAAGATCTCGTTCTACTATTGAGCTACTATGTCGGGTAGTAAATAATAGAATCAAATTACCAAATACTCAATAATGAAGGCGATTCTTTTGAACGTGATAGGACTGGGCGTCGATCTCTCCATGGATATGTCGAACCGCTCCAAGAACTGCGCCAAGGAAGTCTGGTACATATTGCACACGAGCGACATGTTGCAGATGAGGAAATACAAGACCGATCCTCGTGTTGCCACAGGTCTGAACTCCTCTCGCGCTGCGTTAATCTTTATTTCCGTTTCCTTCGCGACATCTAATTTTTCTCTAACCTAAAATATTAGCATATAAATTTAAAATATAGAGGATATATGTTAAAGGGAAGGAGAGAGTGAGATCTAAGATAGCGAATTAAGACGTAGAATGTAAAGAGCTAAGACGTATTGTTTATAGACAAGACTAAATTAAAAGATTTACCTATATTTTACTATTCTATTTAAGTACTCGCATGATTCCCTACATTTAAATATATATGAATTTAAAAAAAAAAGGTCACAGCGTTTCGTTCAGTTGCTCTAAACAAATGAGCTACCATGTTCCGAATTGAGTTGTTAATTAATTTATACTTCCGTGCGTGCAAGCATCTTAAAAGTAACCTTGAACCTTAACACATAAATATTAAGGTTAAAATTACATTGCACGTTTTCGATATGATAGCAAAATAGTTCGATATGGTTCCTATACCTCAGTTGCAGTAGCCTTGGTGATATTAAGCACTTGAATAAGAGACACATCTTCCACCAAGGACCCTTGTATCGTAGTCAGCTTATGAAGTAAATTCGCTTCCAACTCTTGCATCTTTCGCCTGTTGGCAGTTACATCCATGATTAGCTGGGTTCGCTCGGCTTCCATCTCAGCTTTTTCCGTTAAAATGACACGACCCAACAGCTGGTCTTCCAAACCTGTTATCAACAAATGTTTATTAAACTCAGGTTGAGGTTAAACGAAACCAAAGGTCGCAAATAGTGCAATTTTGAGCCCCCTGCTTGTACGCATAACATTAAGAAAACTGTTGGACCAGATGGGCATCGATCCCACGACCAGCCGATTGTTAGCTATACGTTTCCACGCTTGCATTAACCAGCTCCTCATTTTACCTTGCATAGTGACGGTAAAGTCAATAATGGAGGTTCGAGCTGATATTTCAGGCGTGTACGCTGGGTTTGGCAATTTTGTCGTTATGTAGATCTTGTGTCCAGCCATGACATCTATTTCCTTGTCTCCCAGTTTTACCTACAACATTAAATATTTTTAGATGCGTAGAGTTCTTGAAAATGAATATTAGAATCGTTTTACTAAGTATTGTATTTTATGACAATTAAAAAAAAAAAAAAAAAAATGTCTGTGCTGTGTTAAGACATGCAAAACAGACATATTAAGAACATACATAGTAACAACATACATGATTTTACATATAATTTGAATAAGGAATTTTTAGTACGCATTCTTTTGTAAGTAAGGTTTGAGTTAACATGTAAAGAAGATACGTCTACCTTGTACGAAGATCCAATTTTGATATAATTCCTCTCCAAAATATTGTCTAGAGCCGGATCTAATTCCTCCGCTACATCTTCTATAAGTAAAGGCCTGGCTAGAGATACACAATCCTCTATATGGTTCCTAAAATATAGTGAGCATTAAAGTTAGATAATTTATAATATGTGCCTTTTTATTTTAACCTAATTTACATCTTTATAACATATAAAAGGGTTAAACGTCAAAAAATATACAATTATTTGAAAACATTAATATTTTTTACATGTTATTGCACATGAAGGCACTATATAATTTAAAAATCGAAAATAATTGCTAGTGCTAGCAACAGCACGGAACGCTGACGATGCCGGTTCAAGTCCTGCCCGAGTCGAACATTTTTTTCAATTTATTTTCGATTTTTAAATAATATATATTCATTTTAAGTACCACTGAAGTCTACAATAAATATGTACTTAAATAAATATTTTTGATGGTTTAAATAAATTAAGTGTTTATATATCTACCTAAAGTATTTGTGATTCAAAGTTGTAACAATAAGATCATTGAACTTCTCCATGTTCTTTATCCAAATCTTCCCCTGAGTTTGGGGGTCTATCAGCAGCGGGAAACGAGAGGCCTTCGTCACTATGATACCATTTTGAATGGAAAGCTCATCTGTGGGCAGACCGCACAGGTTCCAGTCGCCGATCTGTAACAAAATATAGAAACATTGAAAGTTGGTTATTTTCGTTTGTTAAAGCACATGTCAACTTCACTTCTAAAATATGTTTTTATTTAATATAAAAAATATTCAATTATGTAAAGTTACACGACTTTATTGTTTGCATCTTTATAAAGTTTTTTTTTTATTATTATTTATTAAAACACACCACAGAAAATACATATAAATGAGAAAAAATCTTACGTGCTAACAATAAAAGGCGGCCTTATCGCTAAGTAGCGATCTCTTCCAGGCAACCTGAAGTACAGGAGAAAAGAAATAGAAAATAATTTATTTAGTGGTTAGGTGTAAGAAATAACAACGAATATTAAAGGTACATAGTGAAAGTACACACAAACTAACTTAAATATTGGAAACGTAAAACTTAAAGAGCAAACTCTTGAAGGATCGGAGTGATTGAGCTTTTCTGATATTAGTGGGAAGAGAGTTCCAAAGACGGATGGATAGCTTTGACTGTGACGGAATTAATGAAGAAAGAGCCATTATGTTCGGGAACAAAAGATGACCAAATAAATTAAAATCTAACGGTTTAAACACGATGTGGGTAAAATGACGGGTCATGATTTAAAATAAATGTTAGAAGAGTTTAATATTTTTACTATATTAAAATGCACATTTAGCTAAATTATTTAACTCGTGATAACTCAACTATTGACTACAAAACCCTACATAATTATTTCAACGCATTAATGTTAAGACCCGCCTGGTTATCACTTCAGATAAATCAGGGGTGATAACCAGGACTTACTACCAAACCGCGAGCTGGTACAACTTACTTCGAAAATGTTCAAATAACAAAGTATCATTTCGCAGAACCCGGGTATCGAAGTTAGTGCACTGACCATTAGGTCAACAAAGCAGTTCACTATATGTCATTTGATTAGTACCGTAGCAGTATCCGTTAGTTGGTCTGTAATATTGAGATTCATCGAAACAGGTATCTTTCTTCTAAGTAACTCGGCCAACCAATTGCTGTTCAAAAGTGACCGGAATTCTTGATTGAAAGGCCCAGAATACGAGAGGAACCTGTAAAGAAGAAAAAAGACACGTAAGGAGTAAAAAAAAACAATAACCGTTTTATATAGAACACGATTAATAAGTAAGTAAATAAGTTAGTTGAGATAATTCGCGTTTATAAGCCGTTAAAATTGTTTTTTTGTTAATATTTAGATAATTTGTTAATGTAGGACGACCGGTAATACGGTGCACTGATTACCTGAAAAAAGTAGCCGGCAGCAAATGAATAAATAAAAAATCAAGTGAGGGCCGAGTAGCATGCTTTGGGTCGTTACGCCAGTGGTGGACCAAACGGGCCGATAACATTCGGAGATAGTTACCCAGTTAATAGCAATATATCGCCAACCAATCTTTCAATCTCCGATTTGAATAGAGCCGACTGTTCAGTCCATCTCACTCTCTCTCCACTCAGGCCGTTAATAAGGGCTGTAGCCGCGTCCATTTTTTGCTGGCACTTTGCGGCATCGTCCAGTACCGCTTGCTTCAAGGACATCGCTTCATCAAATTTCCTTTGTACATCTCTCAACTCCCGCTATTGAAAATAATTAAACAAGATTAATAAAATATGAACGCATAAACAAGATTTTACGCATAATCGCAATGTCTTGAAACTTAAAAAACCTAAAGTATGTTATTTGGAATCAAACGATAACAATTAAATGGTATAAATAAAATATATGAGAAGGAATTTGTAAGTCAAGATCATAGATCACAGAATTTTTGATTAAAGAAAATTGCCAAATTTGGTCATGGGTAAGGACGAATTAATTTACTGAAGTCGAAATCTGTTGTTTTTTGAAAGGAATAACGTGGAATTCACTTAATAGTGGGTGAAATACTCCAGCCCTATAACATTTAAACAAATGCGGTGTCGACCTATTTTGGCTTAGAATTTTCGTGTAATGTAAATACTTAGCTTTCACTTTTATATGAAGCCATTATATAATCAAAGATTGTCAAAGCAAGGAATACCGGTTTCACTCCCACCTCGAATTTTTTCAATTGAATTTCCTTAGATACTTACTTCTTTAGCTTCAAGCTGAGCTTCAGCAGTCTCCAACTCTTTCTTGGCTGCCTGGTACTTGCCCTGCATTATAGCCAGATTGGCTTTCAACGGCAGTACGTCCTTATTGACGGAATAGAATTGTGCCATAGCGATGGTCCAGGAGATCAAACCGGCAACGTTACCGCAAGCTATTTTAGCAGCTTCGAACGTGTACTGACTGCAAGATACAAGAACTTACAATCATTAGGTCGTTTGAAGGCATTAATACCCCAAAACTGGGCAGAGGTTTCTGGGAGCGAAGGAAATAAAGAGCTTAGACCCACCATATCCAGGACTACCGCCACTAAACTATTAGTGATAACAAGAATCAATGGTTTGACATGCTCTTCGAGGGACGTCGCTATGAAAATACTTTGACAATCCAATAACTTAAATTTGTTTAGCACAATTTCAAATACCGACCTTCATTTATTTTGATCAGTTTTTTGAAAGACTTAATTTTCCTATAACATAGTAAGGCTTAAGTGAAAATTAAATTATTGAAAACATACGGGAAATTAAAGTACGGCTGCAACAAATCAACCATTTCAGCGTTGATTTCGTCCTTGGGATAGAATTTCAAGTTGTTTAAGAACCTTGAATCGGCCATAACCTACAATAAGTGAATATGAAATCAAAAAAATTAAAAACTAGAACAACAAAATGTGGGTACTTGTGAAAAATTCGATGTTAATGTACCTTCAAGGATTCCGCCCAAGACGACATTAAAAATTCCTTTTCTGGGTCCGGTCTTATAGGGTCAATCTTTTTTCTAAATAATATGATTACAGCATCCATAATGAGAGTAATAAGGTATGGAGGTTTTCCCAGTTTCCTCACTGTTGCTATATCAGCCGCGTTGATGGTCTGAAATAGTGGTCATTACTTTTAATATAAGCTTACATCAAGAACATGGGGTTCGATTATCTGCCTACCTCTATCATAAAAAAAAATATTTTCTTGAATTGTTTATGTTAAGATACTCCGAATTTCGAGCCTTTGGGTCACAGTTGAACGTTCCCCGACCAAAAGTCAGAGGGAGTTAATACTAAACACCCAAATAACTACAAAAATGTCCGCGAAAGCATTAATTCAGATCGAGCCAACGCAAGACTATAATTGCACCTGGTCCATGTAATTTTGTCAAGCTTTAGTTAAAAAAAAGTAATTATAAAGAATTGAATGAAACCCATCCATTTCGTATAATTTCACATGTTCATTTATCTACTAAAAGCCACGTCCACATACTTACTAGTAAAGCAGCTTCAGCAGCATCAAGCGCAGGTTTTGCAGCTGCCAGCTTCTCCTCAGCTATAGCCGTCTCGGCAGCGATTACACTCACAAGTTTCACGGCTCTATCTTTGACAGCTAGTACCTCGGCCTTCACCACTTCAGCTGCAGCTTGAGACTCCGCTACTGCTGCTAAAACCTTTATGATAAAAACATTCGTTATTACTGAAGAACTCATCAAACATAATAACATATTTCTTTAAGTGAAAACTTAGAGAAGTTTCACACTGTTCTACTTTTCCTGTTCTAAATATTTATTATTTTTAGCTGATAAGTGTTAAATAATAGATTAGTAATAGTAATTATAATAATAGTAGTAGTAGAAGCACTGAATAGTTTCAAAAGTATTTGCTGACATATACAACATACATAACATAATATATTGTTTGAGTATCTTGAACTGGATTGGCAGTGAACGCATCCAAAACTCTAAGATATTAATAATTTTCTTCGTTTGTTCCACATTTCCCATCGTTTCTTCGCTCAAGCCTTTCTCGATAAATGCTAACTAACTAAACTAACACAAGATTTTTTCATTACGAACCAGTAGTTCCTAAGATGGCGCGTCTAATCAAACAAAAAAACTAACTTTTGTAATGGTAATTACTATTAGTCTCATTTCATTTTATTCATTCATTATTATGTTTAACACGATTTACCTCTTCTGCTGCAGCGGTAGCTTCTTTGATCTCTTGATCCTTAACTTCCAACTCCTTTTTAAGCTCATCAACACTAGCTGCAGCTTCTACCAATTTATCTAGGCCAGTAGTCATTCTGAAATATTAAGTTTCTATAGCCCGTTGCAAAAAAGCATTAAATTACTTTATCTGACTTTGTAACCTTCGCGCCATTTCAGCAATATTCTCATGTTTTTCCTTGTACAGCACTTTGTATCCCTCCAGGAAAGACAGATACGATTTAGGAGTGACGTGCGTTTGCCGTCTAAACCTGTCATAGTACATACTGCAGGTATCCGCTACATTGTCCTGGACCATTCCCATAATTTCTATAAGTTGCTGCTTTGTGTCCGTTGTGCAAACCACCTGAAAATATTTGTCAAGGAAATTAAATACATACCTACTTGGTTTGACTCGTGAACTATGAGTGTGTAAAGCTTCTAACCTTAAATTCCGATAGGAAGTGATGTGCCACTTCTATCAACGCACTCCTTGGCCATTTTTGGAACCAGTCCATCGTCGATCCAGAAATCAGACCGGGAAACTTCAGCGCTCTACTGCGGAACTTTTCACCTACCTGAAAAGGTTTTTTTTTTGAAGACTGACAAGCATTGTGTTCACTAAATAGAACTTGAAATACCCCAGCCATATAACATCTAAGTAAAATGTGCTGTCAACTTATTTTGGCTTTGGATACATGGAAATCCACAGACTGAAACTGAAAGGCGGTTAGCGGTGGATAGTGGTTCGCGACCCAGTCGTAATTTCGATATTCTTTCCACCCATTTAATACATTTCCAGACGACAAATTCCAGAAAAATAAATTTATCAGATATATGTTGAACCCGATTAGGATCAAACCCACGACACTAACTGCTACCATTACCACCAACGAGCAACCAAGATAAACCTTATAAGCCAAATTATGGTGGGAAAAGTGAGTAAATAATATGACAGAGTTTACCGGCGAAAAGCACAGCACAACGTGTAAATTAGATCGAGAACGCATTATGAAGTATTCATAGAGAACGTCTGGTACAGGGATTCTCTTCGGAGCGTACTTCTTCATTATAGGCGTCAATTCGTTTAAGATTTCATCTGTGTTAAAATATTATAGAACTTAAGATCGAGTAAATACGTCATACGTAAAGGAGAGGGGTGAGGGGGGTCAAACATTATTACAAGAGGATAGAAGCGGTTCTATACTATGTAATAGTACAATACACAAGCGGGGGAGGGGGGCGTCTGAATTAAGGTTAAGGGAGACATGAACTGCAACAATATTAAAAATTGAAGCGACAATAAACATACCCATTTCATCCTTTGGGAATAAATTGGCGATTTCCCCCGAACTCAAAATATTGTTTAAGAACTCAAGAAATTGCTCATCCTTAATATCGTTATCAGTGAAGATGAAGGTAATGCCCTGGCCTTGAAGACCAGCAATGCGATACAGGACTTTGATATCGTCACAGAAGTTGTTTACGTTGTATGACCTGAAATAAAAGTCATCAATATTTAATTTTGAACTTAACACCTAAAGCTTAACACAAGCCTAAGAAACGCGTCTTAATATAGAGCTTTATAGGAATTTAAGCTCTTTTGATGTTTTATAAAAATGGGTGACCGAAAGTGAAAAAAATCGACGATGAGGTGTAGGACTCGGTTGCTCGATTGGTAGAGCAACAGCACGGAACGCTGACGATGCCGGTTCAAGTCCTGCCCGAGTCGAAAATTTTTTCAATGTATTTTTGATTTTTAAATTATATAGTGCCTTCCTGTAAAAAAAAAAAGTTTTCAGAAGTAACTAAATAAAAATAAATACAAAAATGATGTTACCGTAAGTTAACATATGTAACATAATTCCTCTATTATTATTTTATATAATTACATACCAACCTATGTATTATTTTTGATAACAGTACGATTTAGTTTCTCCGTGTACGTATGTTAATTGAGATATAAACTTAATTTATCACAATTATAGTTCTTTAAGACTTATTGTTTATAATAGTTGAGTTTTGTTTGTTTACCTTATGAATAAAATGAAATGACCTCGTACCTTGTTAAAGTAATTTGATAGAAAGAAAAATTCGCTATATACGACGCCAATTTCGTTAAACTCTGTTTACCAGAACCACCCACGCCTACGAGCAGAGCGTTTCCTCTGAAAAAGAAAACAATGTTTACGTTTAGTATCCTCAACGTTTTGTCTTCACCAGTAGATGATATAATTAAGTGGCGTTAAGGATTCCTCGACAAGCGAAATCGTGACGTCATAACGTCCATCTCTTAATTGTGACGATCTAACAGCTCGTCCTAGCATACTAACAGCTAAATAACAGCAAAACGTTTTTTGCAAATCCTATTAAAATAATCAATAAAAGTAAAGACTTAAATACTGTCTGTAGTTTACGCGAATAGTACGCATATAACAAAAGACGGTAAAAAAAGTGCCGGTTTTAACGAAATATATCTTAGTTAAACGAAATAAATAATTGAAATAATTTCCAAATAAGTTTAACTAATATATATCGAATTAAACCGTAAAAATGCCTTATTTAAATGAATGAGTTACCTAGGAGTATTAATAATTCTGGATATAATGAATAAATGGACCATAGCGTCATGGAAAAACACCAAATCCAAATGAGCGCCTCGAATTTGATCGTTAAATTGCTCTTGGAATTGTCCCAGTTTGAATAACACGAACTCCCAACTGAAAAGTGTTTATTAAATTATTGAAATATAATTAAACAATTGCAAAATAATTAAATAAATGTATTTATACAACGGTACGTTTCGTTATAATTTAACAAAATATGCGATCGGATTCAAATATACTTAGTTAATTAATCTATCGAATTATACTCGTAATTAATTCATTTTTAATTTTTTAAAAGAAAAAATACCAATCACAGCGCGTGACGTCATTCATGGGCAATCATTGAGTGTAAATTAGTAACCGACACGTATTGTCACATTTCACAACATTATGTTTTAACGGAATTTTTAACCAAACAAACACAGTTGTAAGTACTACGCCTAACCAAAGACTATGGTTGAATATTATGTTTTATTTATAAAGTTTTTTTTTAAACATTATAAAAATTAAACCAATCTCCAGCAATTGTTTACGCAAACTCACGATGGTAGTTCCTCATAAATTTTAGGTGCATCGGTGCTAAAGTCTTCGTCTTCATCTCCAGTAGGATCCACAGCCTCTCGTAGGAAATTAACAAAGAACGTCTCCTCTTCGGGAAACTCGCTGACAACATCCGGCAACTCTTGCGCAGCTGTCTTCCAAAATGTGGCGACAAACCAATCTTTGTCGTCAAATGTTGTAAACCTAGAAATAAAGATGCAATATGAAATAAATAAACTCCGAATGAAAATTTTGTTCGATGTGATGTGATTTTGTTGGGCCACAAAAATAAACCATAAATTATGATAATAAATCACAGTTCATATAATACATTCTTATGATTAACGTCTAACGTAACGTAACATAGTCTGACTGAATCAGAGAAATAACATAATACATATAAAAACAACATAATATTGACAAAGAACTAAAAATACTAAAATTTAAAAATATACCGGGTCATTATTAAAATCCACTAACCTATCTGAAATAACCCTCAAACACTCGTGGAACCATAACTTGAGAGCCGTTTTAATGTTTGTCAACTCCTCCCTCTTGATAAACAGGACACCTTCCCAAATACGCGACAAGTCACGAAGGTTGAACACATAGTGAAACTTGGCGGGCGTTGGCAACATTTTTATCTGAAAACATTTATTTTAAAATTTTAAATTTAACTCTCATGTCTTGAAAGAAAAAAAATCTGTAAATGGAGGTCAGTCAGTCTGTGTAGTAGCGTCAGTATATAAAATACCATTCACGTTTCGGCTATATAATAGTCATATTTTAAAAAACTAAGCATGAAATTAAATCTTCTTTACAGGGTATCAACAATACAGACTAACAATGAAAACAGCGCGTCGAGACAGTATGAACACATTTTTCGAGATACAGACAAAGTGATCTTATGAGTGCGATAGCATGCGACGGTCCACCATTTAGATAGTAGTTAGTTGATGTATAAACAGCCCATATAACACTTAAAAAACATACAGTGTCAACCTATTTTGGCTCCAATTTATTTTATATGAAGTCCTGAGAGAAGAAAGTTGATAAAGTAAACGAATATATACCTTTGTTTGTTGCCAAATCAAACGCGTTATTGGCACAAGCCTGGGCATAAAATCGACGATTTTCTTATCAAATCTCGCCTTGCAGAAGTATCCGGAGCTTATGGTTTCTGAAAAAAGAAAAAATATTTGTTTAAATATTATACAACTTAACTAATATACATAGTGCGAAAATTGGATCCAATAAAACAGTATTAGCGGTTTTAAAAGCCAAAGTAAACCACGGGCTCTCTAAAAATTCTTACCAAAGATTTTATCCATGGAAACGTTACTCGGCAGTGTACAATTGAATATGTTAAATTGTCTCTTTAATCTGGGTGGAATATCGTTTCTACCGCCACCTGAAAAAATAATATTCATATATGTGTTAGCATGCATCAAAAGGAAAAATTGATAACAACCTATTTACACACCATCTAGTGAGTAAGTAAGACTGGAAGTAAACTAACAATGTAATGGACAGTTGATATGTAGGATGTAGGGCTTGTTGTGAATATACATCATTTTTTTTATAGATATACACCATAGATCAGCTATTAAATTTTTATATTTCCCCAAATAAGTTCGGAAACTTAATATAATTGGTTTTAATTGTTTGTATTTTATTTAAGTGTATGTACTACCGAGTAAACTACAGACAGTAGTTATATTATTTTTCCGTAATCTTACCAGGATGAATCATAGCGCCAAACATTTGAATATCAGCAATGATAATAAAATCTCCGGGTTTTTCGAGGGAATAAAACCCTCCGCATTCCATCATCTGCCTTACTATTTCATTTGTTACCTAATAGAAACGATAAGAAATTGCAATATTCATCATTAATATAACTAATAGAAATTAGAAAATGTTAAAACCGTACGAAAACACAAAAACATGTTTCATATCTTTTGTCTTTAACTACGTGTATATCTCTAATACTACACGAATCCTTCTTCCGCCTTTATCGATTAAATAAGCTGTTTTATTAAAAGCAAATCAATCAGACAATACAGTCAGTAATAAAATTGTGATCGTAATTTTGTCACGGCCAAATGCACTACTTTTAAAATCCGTTATATGCAATGATGTGAAACGTCGTACGGTACGCTTTTTTTTCTTGTATCCGTAATTTAGTTCTACTAAAAGTCAAGTGCGTTACGCACTCACAAATGTGCGATATCTATATATAACGCTATACCTTCCTGTTGCTTGTTTAAAATACATTAAAATGTCCTATTTTACTGTATATACGACCTGTTTATTTACAAAAAAAGATGACATCCTGCCTCTAGTCATCAACGAAATACCTAGTCCATAAATAAAGTCGGCATAGTACTTCTCATACCTGATCTCCCCACTCATTGACAACTGGCATGTTGATATCATCAACGAAGACTGTCATTCCCCTTCCACCAGGTGGCCCGTACGTCATACCAACTCTCTTCTCTACGTACGATTCGATAATTCTCTGTAAACATGTAAATTAATTATGTAACAATACATATAAAAACAATATATGGCATAATTGCAGTCTGTAGTTAACGCGAGTAGTAGCCATATAAATAAAACACTAACGGTTTAAAACGCGAAATATACAAATTATTGTAACTAAGGCCCGACGTGTCGGATTCTCGCAGCAGCCGTGACCCCGAGAAGATTAAAGTTGGAAGGTATCTGTAAGGTCAAAGTAAAAACTACTACGCTAGCGCCATGTGGTCTGCCCTAGTTGTTATTGAGCGGAACTGACCGGGTCCTTACAGAACCTCGAGCCGTAAATAAAATAATTTGTAAAGCTAGATAGGCATTTTGGCCAGAACGTTTACGAACGAAATTGTTAAACTACCCACATATTCATCAAGTTGTATTAATCATGAAGGAACACTAGTTAATAAATGATGTATTTAAAACCAGTTCCAATTTCTTACCTGGAACATATTGGGTGTCGTAGCAGACGAAAAATTGATCATCTTAAACAGTTTAACTTCGTTATCATATTTCATCATGTAGCTCTTGAGCATCACAGTTTTCGCTGTTCCCTGTTCGCCAATCAGGAGAACGGCCTTATTTTGCTTTGCAATAGTTTCAATTAAGAACGATATGCAAACATTGTCAATATTGGGAACTAAGATCGACGCGTATTCGGGCACACTGTCTGATGGATAAATATAATCTTCCACAATCTCTGCCCTGGACAAAATAAAATGTATTATTTATTATCATTGAATAACCAATAATTTCTTTAAAATAATATATACTAATATAGAAAGCAGAAGAGTTTGTTAGTTTGTTTGTTTGAACGCCCTGTGACTAAAAGAAGTGAAAATACATCGGGAAATGTGAAATAAACGACGGAATATTATCATCTTTCCGAGTTTCAGGTCCGTACGCTGCGAAAACGGTTCAGGACACCTACTAAATATATATGAAAGAATGATCTTTTTAAATAATCTATAAAAAATGCACGGGACACTATCTGTCTATCTATTAAGATTAACTTGCAAGAACGACGGGTCGCCACCGATGTCATGGGCGGCTTAAATTTATAAAGATGTAGAGGTTTGCAAAAACAAATTTGAATGCCCCAAATTCTATGCGGACGAAGACTACTACAGCTAGACTGTCAATATGGCGAGGACATAATGACGTAGAACGTTCTGTCAATCAAATGCAACGGTGGCGCCGTCATATACGGTTTTGCAGTTGCATGTAAAAAATGTGAAATATAAATTTTATCAGTATAGTAATTGCTATGGAAGTATTTTTTGTTATATGAATTATTTGAATGAACCTATAACTACTTGTTTATGTGTGTTTTTGTAGTAGTATGTAATGTTTTTATGTAGTTAATGGCGCTATAATATAAGACGATATGGATTTTTGTTGCACTGGATTATTATGACAGTGGATGTTACTATTATATAAATATATATCAATCTTACCAGTGTTGCCATACCCCAGTTTCATTCACCATATACTCAAAAGGCATCACCCACTCTTTAGACTTGGCACCGGGCCAATCAATTTTCACGGGCAACTTGGTCATGTATTCCGCCATACGCGTACGAGCGTCCAACTCGAGAACGGCTCCCAAGGACCACATCATGGAAAAAACGAAGAGCCTTTCCAAATGTCGGTCGGTGTGCAGCTCTAGAAAAAAAATCTGGCTGTTTTTCATGCAATAGGCATGGGTATAATGCGCATGCACATATCTAAATAAGATGCGCTGTCGCCCTTTTCTAGCTTTGGACATTTGGCCAAATACACAAACTAAACAACTTCTTGATCTAAATAGAATTTCCAGACTAATTCTATCGTGATCAAAAATCGATTTTAGAAATACGATGGATCCAGTTGAATTCCCCTTATATTAAAATTCCTTAAATTAATCTCTTGTACTATTGTACCAAAATTTGGATAAAACTTACTTCCACCGGGCACTTCTATCTGCAGTAGGCCAATAAGTACATCTATGCATTGTCTGAAACGAAAATGTTGTTATATATACAGTACAAGAATAACGTTAGTACAACATTTCACGGATTCGTTGGTCCAACGGTGGCGATATATGGCCAATAATCAACGGGTTAGCTTTTATTCCCAATGGGACCAACAGGTTTTTAAAATCGATGTATAATTTTTCAAAGACTTCGCCTAGGAAATCTGGATAGTAAATAGAATACAAAATCCCGTCCAAGGTCTACGAACCACCATTACCCATAGAATTAATTGTGCTATGGTTTGGAGTCTGTAGATTTCCATATTTTATCGTTTTAGCTGCTATATGACTGCGGTATTGTTATTTTACCTTTCATTAAACACAGGCTTCCATTGCTTGTCTGTCCTCCATAAGTAACATTAGCGCATTAACTTAATTATTTACATACCTAATATATATAGCTTCAAGTAATTTCATCTTCGCCGGTAGCTTCTGTTGCACAAACATGTGTACGTCATTGTAGACTTTATTAAATACTGAACGGAACGCGTCACTTTCTTTTGGCGATCGTTTCTTTAACCATCCCTAGAAAAAGGAAAAAAATATATATAAATGCTTTTTCTATCCATAATTTTGAGTGTCTTGTACGAGACAAGGGTTTCTCATCTCGCCTTTCAGCTATTTCCTTTCGCAAGCAAGCTAAGCTCAATTGAACTTAATACTTAGTTTAAAATACTTATCCCTTTAAATAAAACACTTTAACTTTTACAGCAGCCCTCAGCCCCGGCCAGGGGTAGACGTTAAAAAGCATCCGTAACGTCGGGCCTAAGTTAAATACAGATCGCGTTTTAACCCGTAAAGTGTTTAATTTCAATGTGTACTACTCGCGTAAACTACAGACAATAAAACAATCAAAATCACAGGTACAGAAAGTAACAAAGTTCTCATACCTCTAATATAGGTTGCCACTTCAAAACAGAAGAAGACAAGAACACCATCCCCATTCTGCTGACGGTAGCGGGAGATGCATTATCCACATTATCCGGTTCAAACACCAGCTTGCTGTTCTGAGCCATGGTGATACGGTCACCATTAGCCAGGGTCAATGTCTTATTATCATCGAGTACAGAGTTCAAATTCTCAATCCACACCGCATCTACCGGACCATCTGAAAAAGAAAGAAAAAGTAGAAAGAAAAAAAAAAAAATTAAATTTAGAAAGTATATTGATTTTAGTTTGGGTCCATTCCTCCAATCCTTATATATAAAAATCCTTGTATCTAAACCTTACAGAAGTGCGGAATCCCGTTTTTCGTGGGGCGAAAACATTTCTGTGTCGGTTTTATTTACAGGCATGTTGTATCGGACGCAGCAGGGCACAGATCAGGTGTTATGTGCCCTGCCCTACCAAAACAATCTATTGCTTCCCCGTTCGAATCCAGGGCCTCTCGCCATAAACATTTAGCTGCAGAAGCTAACAGAGGTACCTACAAGTAAACTATAACTATTTTTTTCAAACGCGATTTTTTTACCTACCAACCAAACGTACGTTTACGTTTACCTTTCATGACCTATGAATAAAAATATACAAAAATAAAGTGAAAAAAAAATTAATAATTTCGGATTAAAATTCCTTCCGAAATTAATAGGAATAAAATATAAAGGATAACCTAAAGGTTATTATTTAAATTAGATTCCGTTTCCACTTGTTACATTGATATCTAGGATTTTTGTCACTCATATAAATTAAACTTGCCTAATACAATCCACGTAGTATCTGACTTCTTTACTTTCAAAGCACGACGCCATAGAGTAGAGAAAATTCCGTCCGTCCAGTCGTTGGTCGCTACGTCCAAACGACCGAACATTTGCGGTGCAGTTATAGCCTATTAAAATATAAAACAGAATTTAGTTCCATCTTTTAGGACTTCAGCAAAGAGTTATTTGTATAACTTCACTAGCTGTGCCGGCGAATTCATCCGCGTGGAATAGCGACTTGGGGGAGAATTTTCAACCCTTTTTTGTCATTAAACAGTAGCCTATGTTCTTTCTCAGGCTTTAAAATATCCGTGTACCAAATTTCACTTAACTTTAGTTCAGTAGTTTCGGAGTTAAAGCCGGACAGACAGACAGAGTTATTATCGCATTTATAATATTAGTATAGATGTTGATGTACATTGGTATATATAGGTAGCAAGTTTTCTGAACATTGATTTCGTCTGAATAATCTATATATTAAATGGTTGGAATATCAGAATCCCATCCAGGTCACAAGCCACTGTCCACAGACGAAAAAGCGTGAAGGTTAATCGCGTTTTAGATTCAGTCTGTGGTTTTTCGGATATCCGTGCTTCTTTTCCATTATGCTTGTGCGAAGCTCTATACTTTCTCCATCTCTCAGAAGAAGTGACGGTCCTATAATTCCTACTCCCATAAAACAAATAGTTGATCAACCTCTACCTTTGGATTCATTCTCATCTCCTTGTGCGGTTTGCCTACTTCAGTCAAAGCGAACATGAGGGTGTGAATGCAAGTCGTCTTCCCCGAACCAGTCGGTCCCATAGTCATCAAGCCGTGGCGTACAAGGGACGTCTCATACAACTGGATAATCTTCAAATTCCAATCTGGGTGGTTGACTAGGCCTGTTCTGTCTGTCACTAATGCAATTGCGCGTTGCATCTCTCTGTGGATAAAGGTTTTTTGTATCTACATCAGTTCGAAGCTTAATTCTTGATTGATATAACAATTTTATGTAATCTCCACCTTAGCAAATACATTTAAAGATTTAATGTGTCAAATTATTGAAGATATAATAAATTAAGTATTGTCTGTAGTTTACGCGAGTGTTTGAAATGTTTTATTCAAATGTATGCTACATTTGAATAAAACATTTCAAACGGTTTTAAACGCGCAATTTATTAGCTAAGTTATTATTAAATTGTTTTCACTTTCACATTCAGCCCCACTTTTACATTCTTTGCGGTAGCCGTGGCCAGTTTCTAATATCGACGATGACGAAACAGATGGCGCTAACGTAGCAGATTTAACTTTGACTTTAGGGACATGCTCTATCTTTACTTTCCCCGTGATCGTGGCTGCTGCAAAGCATCCTAAACGTCGGAGCTTAGTTAAAATAAAAAAAAAATTAACCAATATCTTTTGCGAATTAAACCCTTAAAAGAACTTTTAAAAGTTATGGGTATGTATAAGGGTCATTCATATCTACGCTACGCACTATTCCTATAACACCAATTTATTAATATGGCAATACTTACCTCTGAACAGTCTGAGTGAGCTTAATACCGGGGAAAAGATCTTCTATCAAGGACACGAATAATGGTTCATCTTCATCTACCAGCTTTGATACATTCATTTCCCTATGAAAGTTTTGGTTTACATATAAAGTAGGACGGTTCTGGTTGCCAAAGAAGTTTTTTTTATTTTATAATTCAAACATACTAACTTCAATACTCTCATCATGATATTCTCTTCAGTGCTGTCTGGATTCGCTCGTTTTTGCGAACCCATAGTTCTCAAAACTGACAGAATATTGCGAAGCCCAAAATCGTAGTGCACCTGCTTGGAAAGTTGTTCTTCGCAAAGCTTGTACAGGGTGAAGAATTTACGTGCTGTAAATAATTTACATAGTTACATCAAAACTACCCTCAAAAATGTATAATAGCGTTTTTTTTGAGGGTAGTGTCAATAATGGATTTACCCAATAGGATATTTTCTTTGAAGCCGCAACTGGCCAACTTCACTCTGATAATGATCTGCCTGTCCGGCACCATCATTGCGACGGAACGGAATTGGATCTTTAAATTTTCTGGCAATTCTTGTCTTCCGGCATATCCAGGATTCATTGTAATAATGAATGCAAACTCTGGATTCAAACTCACTACATCGCCATCGCTATGAAAAAAAATTAAGACACAGTAAAACTTGTTTAAAACGATCACGTTTAATACGATTTCTCATCCCAATTAATTGGTAATGTCATCGATGTCTTGCTGCTTCTACCTACCTAAAGATAAAGAACTCTTTCTTTTCCCTTCGCGCGGTGAGGCAAATATAAATCTGCTGAGCAGCCACAGATAACACGGGAAGTTCAATTCTATTGAACTCATCAAAGCAGCCCCATGTACCAGATTGGGCCAGTCCTTTGTAAATACGGCCCAAACCTGTAACACATTATTCAGTACATATTTCTCGCAAGTATTGAAAAGATATTGCAATTAGCTGTGCTCAAAATCTCACCTCTAAAGTCCATCTGATCAGAACAATTAAAGACAATGACCAGTTTCCCTAGAGTTCTTGCCATATCCTTGGTGGTTTCAGTCTTGCCAGTGCCAGCTGGACCGGCGGGCGCGCCGCCCATGCTCATACCGATCGCTTGTGATAGCGTTATATAACATCTGTCCGTTAGAGGCGTGATTACGAGACGTTCTGTGATACCAAGGTATTCGTTCTGAAACGGAAATAGCATATAATATTGCTACTGTTGAATCTACGTATGGTCAAGGAACGCGCAGTATCTGCGCGTCTTGTCAATAATGACAACCACTCGTGAAGGCAAAATTTTTCAAAACCTCGCTTTGGGTTGTAAAGTTATGGATAAGCGCAGTAAAATAACAAATAACATTTACAGAATAAGGTTAAATACAATATAAAAAGCAAACGACAAGTAGACAGTCAATGACAATGTCGATACGTTGAAAATATTAAGCACAGTGACAAATAAATGAAAAGACAAAGGAGAATAAGATTCGCTGGATGCCTGATGGGAGGTTAAAAAGTCTCAGTCATATCACATCTAATTAAATGCTGAGAATTTTTTTTTTTTTTTGGATACCCATATGATGCATCTGAACCGCGAATTTGCACTTGACGGCTTTACCATTGATGATGGTGGCCCAGAATATTTAAATTCCTACCGCATTTAAATATATTTGTACGAGCCTGAATTAATATCTGACCGTTACCTGATATAAGAAGTCAACGTCGGTAATCGACACGATACAGTCATCGCTGTCCTCGAAGTAATAGAACCTGGCTTGTTTCTGCCATTCGAAGTCGGTTGGAGTCTTGATTCTCATTCTCACTAAATCGTCGAATATATCCCTGCGAAATGAAACTCTTTAATTAATGGAAGTGACCACGATTTTGTGTAAATGTTGTTTGTAGGAGATGTATAAAATATTGTTTGGGGAGTGAATAGAATATTATTTGACCACTTCTATAATCATTTTGGTCACGAACACTTGAAAAAAATTAACCATATCGTTTTGATGTTATGGGAGCTTAACATCAAACCGATGTGTAAATTTTGACGTGTATGGTGCTTTTGTGTTATATTACAATTTTTGTAAACAATTTCTCGTCTTCAATTTCATTTTAGACACCTACCGTTGATGCACGTGAATAGTGATCATCGTCTCAACCCTCGTTCTGTCCAAAGGCACAAGATCTGTCACAGTTTGATCAATGAGACCGTTCAATAAATCCAAATTCTTCTGATTCGTCAGTCGCATTATAAATCGGTCTACCCTAGCTTTCTTCAAGGCATACTCCGCGTCGCTTGTCCATAATATTTGCATGCCTAGCAGACCAGCCTATAACAAGTATATAAAATATATATACTATAGATAATATACTAATATATAAAGCTGAAGAGTTTGTTCGTTTAAATGCGCTAATCTCAAGGAGGACAGATTCGATTGAGATTTATTTTTTTTGGAGTGCATTAATTGAGGACGCTTTAAGCTATAAAACACCTGGCTGCGACTAATTCGTGGTAAATATGGTTCTCCATATGAATGGGTTTCTAACCATTCATATTTGATTGTTTTCGTAGCGTGCGTTGCAAAAAAGGTTAAGCTAGCTAAATAATTATGGAAAAATGATTCTTCTTTCAATTTTATTTCTTTAATTTCAAATAATGTCAGCGACAGTATATGCCTATCTTTTAAAATTAATTTGCAAGAAGGACGGGGCGCGTTTATGGTTTTATTTTTTGTTTATGGTAAAAAAAAATTGTCGAGATACTACATATGGTAAAAGAACGTTTACCAGGACAGTACGAAGGCAGCCTACCATGCTGCCATTTGATTACCGTGTCCCGTATGTTACCGCACATTCTTCACAATTTCTTGAATACATGCACCACTCGCGTAATTAGGTAAACCTTAAATACGTACCTGTCCAGGAAAGTGCCAGAACCCGGATAAGAATTCAAACTCTGGATCACCTGCCATAGTCTGCGCAATATTTGCTATGAAATTGCGCACTGTATCCTTCATTGTATCTAGTAAAGTGTTCAGCCAGATCTAACAATAATAATTGGATTTTAAATTTAAAATAAGATATAAACTAAATTAAGAGACTAAAGAGCTATAATTAGCTAATTTGATTAGCTCCTGAGGTTCTTGAGGTGTTCCGCCGTCGTAATTAAAAAATTGTTGTAGTTCCACTAAATCAAACTCATCAGAAGATGTGCGAGTGGAAGTAATGGATTCTCTCTAGAATCTTGTGTTTCTAATGAAAAAGAGATACCTCAACGCCACCAATACACGTCACTGGACGATCCAACGGAATATTCTCGCCGTTATCAGAATTCATTCCCACGATTCTGTCTTTATCGTCAAAGTCTACCATGTACATTGCGTCGAAAATACTTAGTAGATGTGGCTACAAAAATGTTTTATATTTTATTACTAGATATTTTAAACGCGAAATACATTAGCAGCCGTGTTCACGGTGAGACAGCCCTCGTAACCACGGCTGCTGCAAAGAATCCGAAACGTCGGGCCGAAATAAAATAAATTTTGAAATAACTAATACTAATATATTTCGCATTTTAAACCGTTTAAGTGTTTTATTTAAATTCAATTCTTCAATAAATAAATTACATCTGATAAGGTATGCGGCAAAGCCTGAAACCATAAAATATCTACGTATTGATTTTATGGTCAAGTAGCTTTGATCAGACTTCTATGACCTGCTTACGTAAACTAGTTTATTAATTTTCGAGAATTCAAACCCTTGACGTCTTAGCGTTCTTAACTTGTACATAAAGTAGGGAACAATAATTATAAGACATTATCTGAATCTCCATAGCTAATATTTGAATATGAGCCTAGCATTGCGTTAAGCACGAGAGGTCCTGGGTTCAAATTTTATCAGATACATTTTATTAACTACTTAATTACAAGTAAAATCGATCAGTGAAACAGACACAGACAAGGGTTTGCCTCATGCCTCACGTGGACTTCATACACACACTCTTACCTGAATGGAATGAGGATCTGAAGCTTGACCGAGGATCTCCAGCAATACAGGATCCGAAACGAAGAAGAATCTTGGGAAGATCAACCGCTTCATTTCCAGATATCCAGTCAGCGATTTCTGGCAAGCTTCCAGCTGTTCGAAGAGATGCGGAAGCAGCTGTTTCAGTGTATCGTCAGACACGCACGTCTCCACGCAATTGACTATGTCGCGAGCGCGGTACATAATCTTCACGTACGTCTTATCAATGGTCTGTAAATTGTAACCAGAACAAGATGTCAGCTTTTACTTTGACACTAGAAGCAACCTCCATCTTTAGTGACCCATCTTTTGAGTCCCCGTGACCATGGCTGCTGTGAAGTATCCGCAATGTCGGGCCGAACTAATATATTTTGCTTTTTAAACCGTTGAAGTGTTTTATTTAAATGTGTACTACTCGCGTAAATAAACAGTAGTTATATTTGCTTTTTTTTTATTGATTTCCAAGCTTTATAAATTAAATCTTAAATAGAATTTTAAGCACGTATATTTTTTTGTAATATATTAATTATACCAAAAATAATAACAAAGCCGATCTAAATCACAAACTGATTCATCTATTTGTACTCTAAATTCTCATAATCATTAAATTATGATAAAAATTCAATACATCTATAATAGTATGTATATAATCACTTTTGGATGATATCATCTTACACTTACAGCAAATCTCTTAGCCTCAGCGGGAAGCTGCTTAGCGATGTCACCACCCACGAAGACAGCCTCCAGGTACATCCACAAGTTCTGCACTGCGAGCCACTTCTCCAAAATCTCCGTCGTACCAACCAATTTGTTAATCCAGAGCAAGATGTCTTTTTTAAACGGTGCGTTGTATCTTTTAAATAAATTTATAGATAACTATAAATTGAAACTCGATTTTAGATTTTAAAAAATACGACACAGGCAACACTTGAAACGGCATCATAGCGTTCGATCCCATTGCTGTAACCAATTGACTCGGTACTAAATCACGGTCCTGCCCGTGTCGTAATTTTTTTTCTATCAAAAATTGATTTTTCACTTCGAATTCCCTAAAGTATAAGGCTTTAAAACACACTTTCAAATTGAGAAACACGACAGCATATCCTAATTTTAACTAAACAATTTAACACTCTAATTAAATTAAAGAATAGATTGATGGTGTAATTGTAGCAATGTACAGCTAATAAGCAATGGGTTCGATTCCCACCGGTACCACATATTTCTAATCAATTTATAATGTTGTTGAAACATGTTGGATTTCGTCTGGAAATCTGGATATTGAATGGGTGGTAGGAATATCGACATTTCCGTCCGGCTCACCAACTACCGTCCATAGATGACAAAGCCGTAATTTTAATCATGTTTGCGTTTCAGTATGAGGGTTTCCGAACATCCAAGACATCGCATCTTGTTTAGATGGCTGGGGTATTCACGTATCAAGTCGTGTCTGTCCCCCTATAACATAGAAACTTACCTATTAGACGCCAGTGAGTTCAAGATCATCAAAGAATCTTCCAGCATCGTAATAATATCCAGTGTCTCTTGTGGCTTAATAAGCAATTCTCCCCTATTCTTAAATGGAGCGAACGTTAGATCCACAACCGCCCAATCGGCGATCACTTGTTTCAATTTCGCTTCGATATCTTTTTCTTTCACCGCACTGATACAAATATCCTTAAAAGATTTATTTCTTACTTATAACCCCGTAAATACACTAATAATAGTGTACTGTCACTCTCGGTCTTGCGTGTTTATTAAACGTAAACAAACAATAAGTAGATCTATAAAATCGACTTGATTTATAAAATGTATAAGCGTATTTAGTAAGTATGTTCATACACCTTATAATGGTAAACCATACATTTTTTTCTAAATTAAAATTGAAAAAAAAAATCGACTCGGGCATGACCTGCACCGGCATCGTCAGCATTCCGTGCTGTTGCTTTAGTTACCGAGTCTATACTTCATCGTCGAATTTTTTCAAAATATCGATACATGCACCTCTCGCGCAATGTATTTTCAACCTTAGCACTTGCGTATTGAGGTAAATATTCTTAATACCGGTAATATTTTCTCTTGGTATTGTCAATTGTCAACCAATCGCGGTGGTGAAAGCGCAGGCTGCAGAAGGTTACAATTACAATCCAAAATTATACAAAACTCATTATACTAACTTCGACATCTTCTTTATTTTTCAAGAGGGGTGCTTCCATGACATTAGCTAGAGTAAACGTTTCGGATTCTACGTCCAATATGCAATCTGCAACCAAAACAAAAATTATAATTCTATTTTGGTATTAAAGAATTATTCACAGCCATCGTAATTGAGAAAAAATTCTCAAAATAGCTTCTAAAAATTTTAAAATGTTTCTACCATTAAATTTTAATGTTTATAGACTAAAATACTCACTCATCAATTTTTCCAGTCTCCTCCAGTGCCGGTCTTTCATGGACTTGTCCGCCATAAGCTCTAGCAAAGGACACGTCTCATTGAAGTCATCAATCTTAGTCTTCAATTCTATGAACGCTGGCCAATCTTTCATACCCTTTGGTAGCTTACGGCATCTGAAGATCGGGGTTTAAAATGTTAAAAAGAAAAATCTAAAACACGTTGCAATTCATTCAGAATATCTCCATATTAAATGTTCCAAAATTCCTTCTAGGTTCCAGGTCCCGGATCACAGTCCACAGATTAAAAAGCTGTAAAATTTTATCGCGTTTCGGTTTCAGTCTGCGATTTTCTGAATATCAAAATTCCATAACACAACAGCGTATCGTTTTGATGTTATAGGACTGGAACATTTTATCTACAATTTGTCTTTGGCTTATGCCTTTTGTTGTAAAAAAAAACAAACCTTATATCGAAGTCTGCTAATTGGGACACAATTTGTTCGATATCGATCTCGACCCAGGGTGTTTCAAAGTATCCGTCTATTGAATTCATCACAGATAGATACAAACTGTATCTGTGGGACACGAGAAAATATATGTAATGCCGTACTATTAATAATACAAAAATATTTCAATTCAACTTATAAAGTCCCACATCGGGGCATAGGTTTGCTCTCCCATCGAAGAGAATTTACAGAGCTTAGACCCACCATCCTGCTTCAAAGCGGATAGATGGGCTTAAATTACTACCTCACTTAAGCGGCAATAAAAAATGCTCTTTTAGGTACAGATAATAACACCTATTTCCAAACTGCGAACTGGCACTAAAGACTATCCAAATACCAAAGTACCATTTCTGATGCCCCAGGATTTGAACCCAAGACTTGTGATCTGCCCTTATGATTAGACAAAGAATGCAGTAATATGATATTTATATCATACAACTCTAAGTGAAGAATAGTATACAAATAGAAGACACGGTTCAAAACGGGAAAAGGAATAATGATAACTAATAGTCAAATCTGATAGGCTAGCGCCATCTGTTTCATAGTTGGCAATAGCTTTTACTAATACATTTCTCGTTGTAAGACGATAATTTTTTATTTAAATATACGCTACTTGCGCAAACTACAGACGTATAGTTAGTGTTATTAGTGGCATAAATATATGTAAGACTAACAATTTGCTTAGCAGGTTGAACTCCTTCTTCTTTTGATGGAGTATAGGGTAGTCCTTGACTTCCATACCAAAAAGCTTCTCACCATTGGAATACATTTCGAATCGCCTCCAGAGCTCGTCGAATCTCGACTGGAACATGATAACTCTGAAACATTTTATAAAACTCTATTATTATGGTATTCTAATTGGCTCATTGATTTAATAGATGTAAATGACTCATAATCAATAGGACGGAAGTTAAATTCCCACCAGGGTTCACCACCTCCAGGGAAGGTTTTGCATGAATTTAGGACTTTTCTTAAGGTTTAAACATTGGAAAATAATTTCAAATGGGTGGAAGGAATATCACAATTCCGGCCGGAACACGAAGCGCCACCCACAGACCGTTTTTGGTTTCAATCTGTGAATTTCTGAATCTTGGAAGCAGATATAGGTCTACGACTTGATACAATTAAGAAGAAAGTATTAATTGAAAAAAATTTCCACTCGGGCAGGACTTGAACCGGCGTCATCGCCGTTCCGTGCTCTTGTTCTAACCAATTGAGCTACCGAGTCTCACATCTCATCGTCGAATTTTTTTAACTTCCTCTTGCGCAATACAATCACTGTGTTTTTAATGTATATAATTGTATGTGCAATATAACAAGTAAAAAATATTAAAGTTTTCAAACGATTTGATTAAATGTCTTATGACTTTTTTATTGAGAGTATTTGGGAGTTTTGTAGGTATTTTACTTTCCTTCAAGAAAACCAATAAAAAGAAGTACATTTCTGACGAATTATTTTTTTTATATAGAAATAACAATTATACGGAATAATAAATTACATATCTTTTACATTTTTTCTTTACCTGTCACTAGCTTCTCGAGCCGACAGCCCTGGCGTCATAGGTCCGAAGGCGTCGTAATCAGCATCAAATTTAAGTACGTCCTCGTTAAATGAGGCGACACCTTCAGTCAATTCTTTTTGCAGCGGACCTTGCATGTCTACGATGCGTTGCTGGACTTGTTGCGACTGTAAATAGCAAAGAAAATATAAGTACAAAGGCCAAGCTGTGCAATTTTTTATTTAATCAACATGATTAATTGTATATAGTCTATGCTTTCCAAATTGGCTGTATTATGTGACGGCCACGTTGCTGTACGAATGTTTGTGACAGTAACTGAACTTAAAAGGAATTAATAAAGCAACCAATCAGAGAATTCATGTAGGAAATTAACAAACTAGTTTTCCAAAGAAAAACAGGAAGATCTCGGAAAATATGGAACGACAACATTCGGCAAGTGGCCGGAGTCACGTGGAATAGAGTTGCCCTAAATAGAAAGAAGTGGATTCGGCACACGGATCTAAGACTACTATAACTGTCACGAATCTAAGCGCCTTCCTTATACTGTCTATAGTTTACGCGAGTAGTACACATTTAAATAAAACACTTGGTTTAAACAGCCGTGGTCACAGGGAGTCTCCCCGTGACCACGGCTGCTGCAAAGCATCCGAAACGTCGGGCCGAAGTTAAAAATAATTTTCAAATAAGTTTAACTAATATATCGCGTTTTAAACCGTTAGTGTTTTATTTAAAAGCCTTCCTTATTCCGTAACGTGTGTAATATATGAACGGTCTGGATAAATACGTAACTTACCGTGAGCAACATGTTCTGGAAAGCATATCTCAGTCCGTACACCATGTCAATGTCGTCCTTGGGAATATCGATGTTAAACTGTCCAAATAATGTATAGCTCTCTTCGATTAGATCCAATTCCATGTCCATTCTGTAAAAATAATAAAGCAATAAATACTAAAACAGAACGAAAATAAACTTTATCGTTAACGTTTGCAATAAAATTAACCAATTAGGATAATTAATTTACGGCCAAAAAATTGTCCCTATCACTGCCTCATCATAATCATCATCACCATCATCTCTTTATCTTCTCTATATGCGTGTGTATACGAGTTCGTGTGTGTGTAAGAGAGAGAGAGAGAGTGTGTCACACCCTCGTAGTCTTCTTAAATTTCTTACTTTCATGACAAATAAAACACGACGATATATACAATTAATTTTAGGATTAACTTTTATATCATTCATTGTTTGTAATTTTTACAAGGGCTTGATAATAACGGGGACGGACGGTAAAGAATCCCACAAACGCAAACAATATGATTTCGTAGTTGCATAATCCTTTACACATTATATAAAAAAAATGTATAATAATCACCCAATAAACTCCTCCCGTATTGATTCCAGGCACAGCATCGCGACTCTGACGTCGTCCAAATCTTTAATCTTCTTGCTCATAACTTTCATTTTGTCCTTTATAAACGTCATAAGTCTATCCACGCGCTCTTTGTACGCGTGGCTCAATAGCTTACCGAGAATCCTTTTCCATTCGATTGATTCTACGTGTAATGCCAACTTCAAATTGTCTGTGAAAAAAAAAAATCTTTTAAGGGACTATACATCGAACGTCATTGCTATAATGGATCTAGGTAATAGGAAATAGCTAAATTTAAACAACACCCAAGTCAAAAAGTACAGTTGGTTGAATACCAACAACTTTTTTTTGAAGAACTTTAAGTAAATAAAACACTTAAGGGTCAGTCCCTCCGCGACCGCGGGTGCTGCAAACCAAGTCATATATTTCGCGTTTTAAACCGTTAAGTCTCTAATTTAAATATTGACTACTCGGATAAACTATAGACGAGCATTTACTTAGGGGTTTAGTTAACTTTTTCCCTTTTTTTAACAAATTTGCCCCGGGGGGGGCCCCCGGAAAAACCCCCCCCCAACCAATTACTATTTATAAAAATGGAAATTGTCTAGATGTGTGTTTTAATAAAAAAAATATAGATTAATTTTACAAAGTTTCGAATATCCAAAGCCATCGAGTGAACTTCATGCCTGTCTATCCTCCTCTATAATTCAAAAGTTTCATATAGATTAGATGATCATATTGTATACCCATATTAATTTGAATCGACCCCACAATATGCCTTTCTGGCAGATTGAGCACTTCCTCAGTTTGTCCTTCGTACTTCTTCAACATATCTCGAATGATGACGTTAAGTGGATTTGAGTCGACGAAGGCCTGCACTTGCTGTACTCGGTCTTCAGCCCACAGGTGAGAGAATTTACCGTATATCTGTAATACAAGTTACAAAACGTTACTACTAATTTTCGAATATTTAAATTAGTAAAAAAAAACAAAGTAAGCTTGGAATATAACTGAAGCAAGAAAAAAGTAGATATTTTTATATTTAGTTTTAAGTAGTAGTAAGAATTTAATAATATAAAATGTGAAACGATTAAGTAGGTTGAATGATTAAGTATTATAGAGATTTAAAATTTTGACTTACAGCTCGGATTCACGAAGTTGTATTACAAAGAGATTAAATTTTATTTAAACGAGTTAAAACGCGTTTTATTACATTAATTTATTTTAACTTTAGCACATTACAGGTCACAGCAGCCATGGTCAAGGAAGTGTATGTAGCTCAATGGAAAAAAGGTCTTGAGTTCGAATACCGTAACGATAAAACCATTCATTGGGGGTAGGCACAGAATTCCGATAATAACTTTAATGTAACTTTCATTTATGGCGTTATATAAAATAAAAATCTTAAAAAAACGCGATATATATTAGCTAGACTTTTTAATTTTATAACTACGGTCCTACATTTAAGATGCTTTGCAGCAGCTGTGGTCGCGGGGGGGCCACGTGTCTATCTATATATCACTACATATTGCGTTTTAAACCGTAAGAGTGTTTTATTTCAATGTGTATCTACTACTCGCGTAAACCACAGACAGGACTGAAGTAAACTCCATTTCGATAGATTTTTGGTTTACCAAAATACTCACGACAAGCAATTTCTGGATATCGGGCTTGAACATGTACATCATTCCTTGCAATGCCATTACAGCCCGTACTATATCTTTGTGTTCTGACACCATTCGGAAGTAGTTCCTTATACCCGTCATACTGGAACCCGACCTAGACCCGGCTACGAAAAAAGTTTAAAGTAAATTCAATCAAATCTACTTCCTGTACTAGAAAAAAAGTCTACAGGTTTTGATTTTATTGGTATGCCTAATAAACAACGGGCCGCGGATTCGATCCCTAATCAGCTTACATTTTTAACCTTATTTTATAATTATACATGAAGCATGTAAAAAAAGCCTAAGTACCTTGGTTTTAGTCTTATTTCCTATTAACCCAAACCAAATATTCCATCAATAGATCTTTTTTTTTCATAAGTGTAACCATTATCTAATATTTAAACTAGTTATTTGATGGATTTTCATAATGATTTCATTAAACTTTCCAAAATTAGCTTATACATCAGAATAACACATAGGCTACAATTTTTTAAAGATATTGTGTGAGCTGTCTAAAATATGACATTAAGTGTCAAGTAACTAGGAAAAAACCTACCTTTCTGCGAGTTATTCTGGCGTGCGCTGCCATAAACGTTAGTTACACATATTTATGTCATAATGTTAGTTCTTTTCTACGCCACGCTAGTAGAAGCTACTCCATATACTAGTCCTGCATAGACGAAGTCGCGGGCACCAGCTAGTTATTAATATTTAGAAATATGTACCGCTATAACTCCTCGTTGTAGACAGACTGGACATGCCCATTTTCTCCTTTTTGATCAACTCTTGTTGGCCCCACATAAACACGTTGCGATGTATATCCATTATACAGTTTAAGACAACCTAACGCAACATATATATTGAATATAATAAAAAAACACGTCCTTTAATAACTAATTAAATAATTTCTATTTTTTTAGTTTTTCGTTTTTATTACTTTGAGGACTAAAGATGAATCCCTTAATGTCAAAGTAAAAATGCGACGCTAGAGCAATTTGTGTCGTCATATTTGGTATTTGGTGAAACTGGTTCGATCCTAGCAGTACTCACGAGCGGTAAGCTGTTTTTTTTTAATGAATCAAAAATTATATTCACGACTTCCCATCTCAATTACGATGATAGAAAATCTCGAAAACTCAAACATCTTATTCTTTTAAGTCTAGTTGACTTCTGAGTGCGCAACATTAGAATTTACCTGCGAAAAGGCCGATTGAATTTCTTCTAACGTCGGTTTGATCAAAATTCTCGGTATTTGAAGGAACATCATTGTTAGCATTAGGGGCTTCAGCTTTTTCTGCTCTTCGGGATCCGTGGTCATGGTAAGGAAACTGAAAGCATGTTAAGTGACGTTGAAACATAAGCACTACACATACTGTAACGGTAGACAATGGAATTATTTTAGGCAGTATGTCAAAAAGCCACCTCTGAAGTTAAATGGTTAAGCGTGTAGCGGATTCTCGGAGAAACAATCGTTGTTTCCGTCGGGCAGAGCAGCAGTCTAACCCAACTTCTTGTAAAAAGTCGATCAGTAAAACAGACCCGAAAATGTGTTCGGCCCATGCCCCAAAGGGGGAAGTGAGATTCCTTAGGTTTCAAAAAGAAAGGATTAAAAATTTTACATAATGGCATAAATGTATTACAAATTCTATTGAGCTGCTGAGCTTCGGCCGACGGCAGTGAGAGGTTTGTCGACGTTTGACATTATCAGGCGACGTTGCGCGTTCTTCGACTAAGTTAAGACTATCCATTTCTCAAAACGACAGCCAAACGGCTCGAAAAACAAGTATTTTGAAAAATATATCCTTTACTATATTAAAATATCTTTGATAAGATAACTTCGAGTTAAGAATAAACTATTTGTCATTGATAAATTAAAGAAAATCAACGGTGCGTATACAAAAGAAGATCAACTATTACCTAGATACAGAAGCTCTTTTCCTCAACACATCCAAACTCGTACGTGTACACTTTATGAGAGCTTCCAGACATTTCGTAGCAAAGTACGCGAATAATTCGTTGCATTCGTTGATGGCGTTCGTGGGCTCGAAACGATCCGGATTTTCGATTTCCATAAACGCTATAATACAATAAATTAAAAATACAAATTATCACACGAATTTGAAGGAAACATCATTGCTTATGTATAGTATTAGTCCGTTTTAGATAAATGAAGTAAAAAATATACTCTGATAGTACCAGCGGAAGTTAAATCTGAGATATCAATATTGTGCATTTTTGATTTTGGAATGGTTAGTGAATAACTTTGCACGAATTTGCTTTAAAAGCAACATTTTTCACATGATTGCGCTATATAGAACAAAATCTGCTTAGAATGAAAACATTTGATACACGGTCGAGGACTTGAACTAAGATCCACTCCGTGTTGCTGCTCTAAGCAAGTGAGCTATAGTGTCCAAATTGGTTTAGCAGTATGGAAATGTTATCGTTTTTTGGTACACATTTTAGATTAACTGTCTAATTTTAAAAAAAAAAAGTGCTCATCAGCGCTTAAGACGTTTTTCACTTTAAAAAATGCTGTTTACTTTCTTTTTGGTATTATTCCGCGTTTTGTATTTCAAACAAGTTGCAATTGCAGTGCAAGGCATAAAAATAAAATTTTAATCGTCGATATTTTACAATAACACGTTAAGATTACGGCCCTTGTCCGGCTGTATATGGCAAATATTCCTAAAAAGGGCACGCGAAAGTCTCTTTCTTACCTGCGTCTTCTGGGAAAACGCGAGTCGCCGAAGTTACCTGCTTCAACGCCTTATCTATATCCAACCTGAAACATTTACGGATTATACCATCAATTTCTTTTCGATTTATATTATTCAATTGTTTTACTTACCAGTTATTCTTTAAGTCTTGTATTTGCTTTGACGGTACACTGTCGAGAAACTTATTGATAAGTTCGATTACTGCTAACTCAGCGTTCCAGGATTTTTGCTGAAGGTCCGTAGCTAGGAGATGGATAAATGAAATTTCATTCCACGCAGAGAAACAACACATGTAGTCAACGTCGGGCCATAGTTAAAATAATTTAACTAACATATTTCCCGTTTTTAAGCCGTTAAGTGTTAAATATATTTAAAGGTTTAGTCCACCTTATGGTTCAACGTACCACCTTCTAGTTCATAATGAGAGGACCTGAGTTCAAATCCAGAGGAAAATATAAATTTGTTTCAGTCGAGTACTTGCCTGTTAATAAAGAACAGTAAAACGGACACAGAAATATGTTCATGCCATGTTCCAAAGGGGGCAAAAGGGGATTTCACTTATACACTACTTAAGCGTGTGTTGCTATGATATATAACCTTGTTTCTATGCTAATATGTTATATATACTAAAGGTACTAAGTATGTTTCTTACCAATTTCATCGCGTCTAACCAGGTTTTCTTCGTAAAATATATTAGGATCCACTGCCTGTTCCGGTAAATGGACTAGAAGGGATTTCGTTATCGATTGCAAGATGGCGTCTATTCGAGCCTCCTTCATATCTACAACCTGAAAGTGTATACAGGAAAAAATAGAATACTTTGTAACTTTAGTTTTGAAGCTTAATTAAAAAATGTGATGACTGTGATGAGAACGTTATGAGTCGATGACATCATTAAATGTTGAGCATTCCTCGACTATTTAAGTAAAACACTTTTAACAGTTTAAAATGCGAAATATTTATTGATTTTAAGTACGGCCCGAGATTTCGGATGCTTTGCAGCAGTCTCGGTCACGGGGTAGAATGAATGATATCCCGAATGTCAAAATAAAATCTGCTACATTATTAATACATTTGCGGTCTAAAACCGTTAAAAGGGTTTTATTTATTTCGTATAGAAACTATAGCTACATACTTATTCATCGAGTAAAGTCAAAGTTCGTGCACTACAATCTGTAAGCCATACACAAATGAACATCACTCAAATATTAATTTACCTCCTTCACAAAAAGATCGACCTCATCCAAAACAGATTCAATATTATCACAATAAGCGGGTATTTCGAGTGCGGTCCATGTTATAGTCGAAAATCCAGCTTGAAAAGCTTTCTCCAATTTGACCAGCTGTGCCCGAAGCAACGGTAGATATAGTTTTGGCATGCTCCTGGAATGTAAATGGTTTTTTTTAAGTGTCCAACCGAACATATACTTTTTACTTAAATTAACTTACAAACAACCAACACTGTTGATAAAAAAATAAATGACATGTAAGGCAATTGTAAGAGCAAGGGAGCAAGGTCTCTATTCTAGGAAAATTTCGCCATGTTATTTTTGGCGTTGGTGGGGTATTCCTTAAGTATTAAAAAAAAACTCCACCACACAAAGTGCAATGGGAAGTGGGATGAGTGACTCCCACTCATTCCTATTGCACGTTATAGGTTTTCAACTATACTGGTTTTTCTTTTAGTTCGTGCGAAAGTATTTAAGAATACTTTGAAGCACATGCAGACCTAAAGCAGAATAGTATTATACCTTCGTATTTGATCATTCCTTTCAACCAAATACATTATTCTTTCGTAGTTGCTAAATATCTTTTCTTTGCAATAAGCTACAATCTGGGCAGCATCTGGTACACCTGATTCAAATAAGGGTAATATTAACAGATCTATACTTTTAAATAAAACACTTTAACGGTTTAAAACGCGTTATATTAGTTAAACTTATTTGAAAATTATTTTTAACTTCTGCCCGACGTTTCGGATGCTTTGCAGCAGCTGTGGTCACGGGGCGACAGTTTTAAACTTAAAGTGTTTTCTTTGAATGTGAACTACTCCCGTAAACTATAGACAGTATTTAGATATATATTTAATAATGATACAAAATAATAATCATAGCATTGATTGATTGTTACTCCACGGGTATGATTTCTCTACAACTTTATTTTAATCATTATAAATTCCTAACCACAATTTTCAAACAATCAAAAAATAATTTATTGCGCAAAACAAAGTTTGGGGTGTTATGTGGTAGCTTTATACTTACTTAAACCTAACTGCCACATATACTCGACTTCCCTTATACACTCCGGTATGTACACGCTGAAGTTGACAATGTACCGATTGGTTACAGGGTGACGAATTAACAATGGTGCAATTAGACCAAGACGAACCTAAAGACAGCGGTTTAGCTACTTTGATTACACTATAAACTTCTAATTTGTTTTAAGGTCCCACCCCTGGGAAACGATAAGTGGTGATAATCGGGAATGATGGCTTAATGGAAATGATTTCCCCTACTTTACATTTTTCGAAAAAAATAAAAAATATTCCACATAACATTTTGCTCAACCCAGGGATTCGAACCTAGGCCTAGTAATCTGCAGTTAGTGCAAAGATTAGAACAAAGAATGAGTTTGTTGCATACTCAATAAAAACTATAATGTTGCACTTATACCTGTCCAACATTTTCGGCCCAAGCACTGTGGTATATAAGTTCAAATTCCGTGAAAACAATAGTCATTACATTGTACAGCTTTATACAGCGTTGTGTATTCTGTAAAGTGAAAATAATGAAATATTTAAAAAAGTACATTCTTAGACACCATCCGGCTCAAAGGACCATTTTCATAACACATATACAATAGTTTATATGAAGATAATAATATTTACCATATGTGTTATAACTTCGTGGTGCTGCATAAATTCCCTCATAGGAGCTTTTATGTTCTTATGGTAGAACCTAATCCACATGACTCTACCAGCTACAGGCGGCATGTTTCTTGGTAACTCCGGATTTTCTCGTTCCTCATTGTACCTTTATTCCAAACATTTCTATTGACATCTTTCAACGTGAAATATTTTTGTTTGAGTGTGTGTTTTAAACCAATCATCTCATTTAAATAAATAAAGGTACTTTATTCTCTTAAAAAATATTAAGATTCCTCAAAAAATGTTTGTCTGTCTGTTTGTTGTGATTCTACAGATTTATTAATATTATTATTTCCAGGCAAGTAATTTTTTTGTTGTGCTTTGCACGATCGAAACAATGTATTCTTTTCCCGAGGTTCGAACCCAGAACATTGAAGGGAGGAATAATCATTACAAGAATAATACCGGTCACGTAAAGCTTCTATTTCTCCAGTATAATTGCTTATCAAGTCATAATATTGATCTTCCAAATAAAGGCAATCTAGTTTAAGCTTTTGGAACCTTTTAAGAAGATTTAATGCTATTTCCGTTGTCGGACATTTGTTTACGCTCTAAAAAATGAAGTGAATTAAAAAAATGTGTAAAAACTTCATTTAAAAAAATAAGGATTTTGACACAGGTAAAGTATTTGGTTCACGTAATGGAAGGTAAAATATCCCAGCCATATAACATCTAACCAAAATACGCTATGGCCCTATTTTGGTAACGACAATTCAGAAATCCAGAATTGAAACCGAAGCCGAAATTTCGGGTTCGGTTTCAATTCACGGCTTCTCCGCCAATGGACCAGATGAAGACATGTTTCAGAAAAAATATAAATTGATAATAGAATTACGTCGGAACTATTGGAAATTGTTTTTTTTTATCTTTATTATTTGAATTGGTAAACTGTAGGATAATATTAATAAAACTAACAGAAATCATAAAGTTTTCCAACAGTATTTCTTGCGTTGCTACGGCATCTTTATAAATTTTATAGTCCTTATCGAAATCGGGACGCCTGGAAAAATATTATGTTTGTAACACTGTGTAAATAATACTACCGTTAGTTATATTGGTAGTTAAAAAATAATAAAGCTTAAAGCTCCAAAAATACCTATGGTCCAGTCCATCATATGTCTTCGATGAGATTGTCTTGAAGAATTTGTTAAAATTAGCAGCATATTCTTCAATACCCTCTAGGGTTGTTTTATTCAAAACATAGTAAATTATGTATGTTTGGAAGAGGTCTATTATCTATGAGAATAAGAAGAAGATATAACATTTAATAAAATAAAAAAGACTAATAAAGGTAATTTTTTTATAGCTTCATAATAAAAAAAATAAAACAAAATGTAATTCAAAATATCGACCTCTTAGTTTTGGTCTACTCACTCACTACTGTCTCAAAAAAGCATAAACACTCGTACATTACCTTCAATAGTCGCCTACGAAATGTTTCGAATTTGCCAAAAATATACATCTCAGAGCAGTCGAAGGGTCTCTCGTCAGCGGCCTCCATCATCTCTTGCTGAGTCTCGTTATAACATTCTCGGTAAAAGCTATATAAACCTAAACACAGCTGAAAAACAAACACAATGTAATGTATCCAGAAAAAGAGGAAAAAAAAAAGAAATAAATTAATATTTCGAAAAGAATTTAGTACTTTTCTTAATATAGAGGAGTGCAGACAAGCCGGGATTCACTTGATCCGAGGTGAAATACCCCAGCCAAAGAACATTCGACCTTTTTTGGCTTTGGATGTTCCGAAATTGAAACAGACTGAAACGCGAAACTTCACAGCATTTCCATCTGTGGACGGTGGTTCGTGACCCGGATGGAATTTTTGATATTCCTACCACACATTTGATATGCAGATTTCCAGATGAAGTCCGACATGTTTAAAAAATATTATAAATTGAAAATTAGAAACATCTTGGAACCGGTAAGGATCGCAGTCACGAACTGTCGATTATTAGCTTTAGGAAGTAGCATGCGTATTGACATAATACTATACTTACTTTTGCCTTCTTAATAAAATTGAGCTTATCCTGATTCCAAATAGTCTTTCTACCATTGTTAGTCAAATAATCCATACACATGTTTAGTATTTGGTTTGTGACTTTAACGAGAAGTGTCGAAATCTGTTTGGTCGTATTGTAATATCTGGACGTTGCGAAAATCATACGAACTGTGTATAATAGTCCAGGTATAAATTGTTGCATTGTGAGTGGATCACAACTGAAAATTACAAGGATCGGGAATAAATGTTCAAGGAACTCCAACTAACCCATTTCGGCGAACCACGCCCAGGCTCAAGATACCCTCAGGCGAAACCAAACTCACCGATACAATGGTTCGCAGTATTTCTCCAAAGCATACAAATACTTCACATTATCGTATGCTTCATTGTAAAAATCTGTCACTTGGTTATCTAAGAGCCGCCATTTCTAAAAATCATATGCCGTTATCATCTAAGTATTAGCACCGAGACGAGGGTAGTTTTACAAACCCTCAATTCCTATCCTGTGGACTTTCGAAGATTTTATATTATACTTTAAACTGTGAAATTTATAGTATGTACAAAGGATGCTTTTTTGAAACATAACTAAATTTAATAACGGCTTGAACGTCATAAATTATTATATATTGATTTAATCTTTATAGATTATAAAATATACCTTAATTAATTTTGATTTAGCCCTGATTAGGGTGTGGATATACATTTGACAGGGTTCGCTCTTGATGTGTTCAATAATCGAGGTGAATGTGGTGAGTTGACGTCGCCAGTGGTCCAACTCTGCCAGCGGCCCTATATTAGAAGGTTCTCGGCGCAATTGCTGGCTTTGTACTAGGACCTGGATATTATAGCAAAATTCTCAGTGAAACAAACTTAGCTCTTATGCTAAACCTAATTTTAAAGAATTCATTCTACAGAAGGAAGCCATTCTTGAAAGCCAAAAGCAAAGTTAGTATTGGTTGGTGGGTAGTTTGAAATTCTTATATACCATTGTTATTTGCTTATTCCACTGCTTCACGTACGAACATATTTCTTCCAATACATGAGTTTTAGTTATGGCCAATTTCATTTTTTCTGCATCAGCTAACTCTTCCTCGTACAAAGAGAAGTTTATTTTGAACTTGGTACAACAATCAAGATCAATTTTAGTCTCTGAAAAAAAAAGAAAAATTTTATAGCCTGTATAAAACTTACTGGCATTGGCAAAATATAAAATGACAAATTCTGTATCCACCATAAGGGTCCTCGATGTGTCTTACTAATTGTATGCCTAATTTTTACTTTTTATAGGGATTTTAGCCTTGGGCAAGTGGATCTTTTTTGGAATCTTTTTTAGTGGAACAGGAAAAAATAACATAATAAGTAGGTACATTGCTTGGCATATTAAGTGTTACATGTTAACTTACTTTCAAGATAATCACTGAAGAGCATTATTTTAGAGATATAAGTGTTAATAATTTCAGCGCTTCTGGGATTAGGTGGGTTTATATCGCCCCACGCCTTACACATATTAAGTGCTGGGACATAAACGCGTTTCATGGTCCTATAGATGCCTGACACAACATTCTCGGTTTCTTGATTCATGTCAAAGAATACCAGATAATAGTCCTGAAATGGATGTAAAAATTAAATAAGGGGCTTTTACTGAAAGCTTTGTTTAAACCAGCTTAATTCTTAAGTCTTGTTTAACAACTATTCCAATATTTGGATTCAATGCACAAACAAAAGTTTTAAAAATATACACAAAAAATAATCTTACATCTGCAACATTCTTAGTATCAATAGCCTTATTCTTGATTCTATACATTCCGACACACATCCCCTCTGTGCCTATAGTTGACCCATCAGATATATATGTCCTTTCCATTCTACCCTTTTGATTTGGTATAAAACGTCCAGATTCTGAAAAATATATCATCATTTATAAGTATACAATTCAAACACAATCATTTTCAAAATAATTTCTATTTAGTATAAATTTTACCCATTTTTAAAGGAGGAAGCCATGCATCACAGAGCACAATACAGTTTCTCCCACCATCGACTACTGCACTATCTAAGAGGTCAATATGAATGTCTGCATCATAAACTCCCTCCTAAAATAGATTTCATGATTGTTATTAATAAGAAAATAATTGATATACCTTTTAAATTAGCAAATTTTTATCAATATTTTGTTAAATGTTCAGACTATTTCCTATTTTTTTTCTAAGAAATAAATCAATGTGCTTACTAATATATTAAATGAAACTTTGAACCTAAGAGAAATACTAAATACTTTCTAAGCGAGTAAAACTTTTTAAGTAGTACATTTACCAAAACATATTCAATAGACTTATTTAAAATAGATGCAGCATTTTCCAACAAAAACCTATGTTGAGTCTTCAAACCGCCCACTCTATTATTACGAGCCTCTTTGGCCTTTGCCTAGAAAAGAAAAAAAATCTCAATAATAGTACAAATAAAACAAATACATGAGACATTATGTGGATTTATTTACTTGTTTATCTTTGTAAGACTCATGCGCTAAGGCTAAAGTACTCATAGATATCTTGCTTTTCTTCTGAATGTCTTTTAAGCGTGCGCTGACATCTAGAATAGCTTCTAAGGCGGTTCTATCAATATCTAATATTTCCTCGGCACTTCCAGTCGGTTGATATACTGATTGCTTTCTTGATGCTCTTCTTGCTATCTCTTCTATTTTCACAGCAGTTTTCTCAACATCTTCATCCTTATCGTCACCACCTCCAGCTGTGTCAGCAGCACCGGCTTCAGCATTTGCAGCTTCAGGAGCAGTTTCTGGTGGTACTTCACCACCCCCGTCAGCCATTATTCGCTAGCAATTACTTGCCTTACTAAAATAGTTATTAAAATATCTCAATACTATAAACTAAAAATCACCTTCAACGTAACAACAATGAAACAATTCTGAAATCTTAGTGCTTTTGATTGACCAATTCGAAATAATAATAATCTAAATTTGAATTTCGTTCCAATTTTTTTTTTGTTTATGATAATATAAGCTGTAGCTCATCACAGTTACTTAACCTCGACCTTGTTATTCGTCTAATTTACTTTTAACTAATTAAAACAAATAAATAACGACTGACTATTGTGACTAATGATATAAAATTTAAGTAGGTAATTTAATCTTAACATCTAACAGCCTTGTCCTTTAATATACAATTGTAATTTTTTTTTGGAAATAAGTGGTAATTGTCATGACACTGACAATTAACATTTTTCAATAACTTTGTTTTGAAAAAGTTTTACCGGGCTTTAGAAACTAAAATAAAAATAAATCAATTTTGTGTTTTTATTGAAAAAAGTTTTAAAAAACGTACACAATGCGAAGGAGTTGGAGGGGAAGATATAAAAACAATTGGAATCGTAATAAGACAAATAAGACAAGAACCTCTACCGATAATAGAAGTCATAACAATTCCTCTGTCTCAACTGATCCTGCTTCTGTATCTGCAAATTCGGTTAGAGCACCTGCAAACCAAGCACCGATAGTATTTTCAGTAAATTCAGAGACTAGTGCCTGGAAATTGTATTTTCCTACACAAGGTAAGTTATAATCATTCATTTAATTTCTTGATATTTAATTAACTTCTATAGTATTATCTCATTAATTTTGCAACTTTAAAATTTTTCAGATTTCTCACCGGCCCCTGACATAATTACTCAAATTGATTGTTTCAAGAACTATATCAATAAAAACAAGGCCTTTTTAGATCTTGAGAAGATTGATCAAACTAGAAGTGTTCCACTAGATATTCAAAATCTTATTAACGATGAAGACTTTAACAATAGCTGGTCAAGTTTCCAGACAGATCTGTTTGAGAAACCGGAAACAACACTACGACTCTTAGAATATTGCCTACATGAAGTAATTTATTTATTGATCAGGACATAATTTGTATATTGTCAAATTTTTTATGAAGGATATATTTTACAGAGCTTGAAATTTGAATCAAGAATTAAAGTAAGGGTTTTAAATCACCAGCCAGTTATTCCTATTGCTAATTTGAAAGTTAACTATTTTGGTAAGTATTGATATAAATAAGATAAGTATTTAAATTATATGCAAGAAAATTAGTCTAAAAGTATTAATTAATATTTGCGTCTCAATAAGAGACAAAGCTATACTGAACTGACAACACCACAAATTCTTCATCTGCACATCCAATCTTCAATTTTAACATTTTTCTAGGTAAACTAGTCACAATTAAAGGAACAGTAATAAGAGTTGGGAGTGTAGGATTAATTTGCACATCAATGGCGTTTGAGTGTTCCAGTTGTCACAGCATACAGGCTGTGATGCAGCCCCAGGGTGTGTTTACAGGTAACGAAACATAAAACTTCTATGACTATTTTACAGGTCATTCGATCAGCCTCCATAGCCCCATTGTTAAATATGTTTTCTAACATTGTGCTAAGCTAGAAAGGTTATTTGGTTCAGATAATAAATAGTTTTGGTCAAGCAGGACATAAAGTCAGGTTTTGCATTGCCTGTAACTGAAATAAAGACAAATGAGTTTGGAGTATGCCCCATACCCCACAGATCAGACCTGATCAGATTCTGCCAGATATATTATTTAAAATGATTAATTAGTAATCGTTTTAAATAATATATAGAATCCTTTTATGAAGGGGAAATTGTTGTCTTTAAAAACATACAATTAACACAATGCAGAAATACGTTTTCAGCTCCAAATTTTTGCCAGAGTTGCCGGAGCGGACATAAATTTGAACCTCTGCAATCATCGCCGTTCACGAGTACTACTGATTGGCAAGTGGCTAAGATACAAGAAATACAATCACAGGTTTTTTAGCTATGTTTAACTTTAAAGTCCCATTGAACTTGGTCTGGCTGCAGAAGTCGTCTTCTTCTTGTCACAGAGGCAACACTACTATTTAAAATGCGTAAAATATTAATTTACTTATTGCTCATTGTGACCCGACGATAACTAATATTTTTTCTTTTTAAAACTGTTAAAAAGTGGAATACATTGTCTGATTGATTATTAAAAATAAAATGGAGCGCATTTTTAAAGTCATTATTGAAGTCATATTCACACACTTTCAGAGTCTATCAGGGACAATTCCCAGGAGTGTCGAGATTGATCTTCAAGGTGATCTCGTAGGAACAGCCTGTCCTGGCGATGTCCTATCTGTTACGGGAATTGTGCAAGTGAGTGATAATTATATTAGATTATTTCATTAAAAAGTCATTAACTTTAAAACTACACATACAGTTTTAATACTATAGGCAAAATGTAAAGCAAATATCCCATAATATTGATAGATTTAAGATTGTTTGGGACCACCCAAACAATCTTAACGAGGCACGAAAGTTTTATTTACTTGTCTATATATACATTTGTTTCCCCAAAAAAACATATAAAGGTTATTTTACTCTATGCTTATGGCACATATAGCAATTTTGAAGTAAGAGTATTTAATCAAATCAAAAAAAGTAAGGGCTGTCTCTTTCTTACAATCTCCCACAAAAAACAGGGACACAAAATGTGGGCGTCAACTAAAACGAAAACATGGCCGCTAAATCATACTTATTACTTGGATTCTGAATAGATGAAGCTAGACTCGCATGCCAATAAATTTATAACAACTGAACAAGATGTGCTGTTGGCCTTTGGCTTTTGATTATTCGGAAAATCCATAGATTGAAATCGAAACGCAAAATTACACTCCACGGAAGGTGACTCGCACGGAATTTAGACACAATAATAGTCGAAATTTCAGATGGACGTTTCTGAAAACATATTAATAAATTTTAGAAACATTTTGGACTACGTGGGAATCGAATCTACGACCCGTTGTTAAATAACCTAACATTGCTATCACTGAACTTACAAATGGTTTTCTTTAAATAGACTACATTTTTTGATCTTGTGCCGTTAAACCTAACCAGGTATAAATTACCAGTATTAATAATAGTGATAGTTAAAATAATGTAATTATATTATATATAGGTTCGCGGGGAAAGCAAAGGAGGTGAAGATGGCAAACGAGCAGCAAGACTCCTCCAGCTGTACGTAGAAGCAGTTTCTATACACAGTCAAAGGAATCTGAGCAATCCGACGTTGTCTTTTACGTTGAAAGATTATTACGCTATACAGGTTTATTTACTTATGTATTTTCTATTGGGGACGCGGATATAAGGATGACCAGATCACACTAACCATTTCACCCATTTCCCCTTTCCGGGGGGATATTGGGTTATCTCTCATTCATCTGGTTCTTAGTAATTTTATGCGATTATTTATAAATGGATATAATTAACGTTTGTTTTATATTTAAGGCGGGCCTATATAAGAATGCTATATCTGTGTGTAACTATTAGCCCATGGTTTAAAAAGTTTCATTTAGTAAATGGACGAAACCCGCGAGACCGGCTCGCACTATATTTCCTTAGATCTATATACATATCTTGTTTTATAAAATGTACACTTCTAGAGGAAATAAATGTCTTGAACCAAAAAATAATAATAATAAACGTGTTTTGTTTTTATATACGTAAATTATAATTTATATACACATATTTGTAAACCGTTAAAAAGAGTCTACTTAATCGGTTAAGACAGGTTGTACTTTACTATTTTCAGGAAATCCACGCAACGGAAGACGTGTTTAAACTTCTTGTACATTCGCTGTGCCCAACTATATTCGGGCACGAAGCGGTCAAGGCAGGCCTCATTCTAGGGCTCTTTGGAGGTACAGAGAACGAGACAAACGCCAGAACCAATCCCCATGTTCTGGTTGTGGGGGATCCAGGGCTGGGCAAATCTCAACTGTTACAGGCTGCAGCCCACGCCGCTCCAAGAGGTATGATTTATTTTAATATAGAGGCGGACAGACAAGCGTTGGGTTTACTTGACGTGAGGAATAATACCCCAGCGATATAATATCTAAACAAAATGTGCTATCGACCTATTTTGGCTTATTGTGGTATTTAATAAGTGAATTTTTTGAATATTCGGAATTCCACGGACTGAAACCGAAACGCGATTAAACTTCACGGCTTCTGCGGTGGTTCCAGATAGTTCCGTGACCCGGATGGCAATTTGATATACCCATTCATTCATTGATATAGATCCAGATTCCTAGACGAAGATTGAAGTTTTATAAAAAATATAGTTTTAAATAATTACAACCAGTTAATAACTATTGTCTTTTTTTATTGTATTCCGCACTTGGTCTTTAAAAATATCACAATTTCTAAACCTAACTTTTCAACGCGATAAGCAAGGGTCCTAGGTTCAAATGCCAGAAAACGTAAAAAAAATCTGTCGAACAGAACTGAAGTCTGGCTAACTACTTGCCTGTGAATAAGATCTATCGTCATTTTTTTATTCCAGGAGTATATGTATGTGGGGCATCTGCGTCGGCTGGAGGTCTGACGGTGGCTTTAGGACGCGAAGCTGGTGGGGATTTCGCCTTAGAAGCCGGTGCTCTAGTATTAGCTGATAAGGGGGTCTGTTGTGTGGATGAACTGGATAAGGTATATAGATTAATAATTCGTGAAATCGAATCGAGTTCCTTTCTCTGGATCGTTGTGCTAACTTTGTTTCCCCGTCAAATGATTGTACTTAACTAATAAGACACACAGGTTCTACATAAATTCTAATTCTTTAGCCTTTTTAATTATGTCAATAATAAAGGACGCATTTCTCCTTTACCAGAAAGCTAGCGTAGAGATCATCATGTTTAACTATAACTTATTTTAAGTGATCTTAGGCTATGTTCATACAGTCACATCACAGTTGTAAAAAAAATGTTATGTTAGTAAAAATAAACCAAACAAAAACCAAAATATAAATTATAAGAAAAAACTGTTCTCTGAATCCATATTGAGTACACTAAAGCTAACTAGGATCCATCGCTACTGTTGGCAGTATTCACAATATGACAGTTTTCCTATGTTTTTTTTTTGTTGGAAAGAATTTTAGCGGTTCCTTCTTTGTTATATGAGTCTCATTGACAGATGCCAGCACATCACAGCAGTCTGCTAGAAGCAATGGAACAGGGCCGGGTGAGTGTCGCAAAAGGGGGCGTGGTCTGCGCACTGCCCGCGCGAGCTACTGTACTGGCCGCTGCTAACCCTTCTGCCGGGAGTTACAATAGGTGTGTTATATTTTTCCCTTAGATAATAATAAATTTATCAGAAGTCATAGACAAAAGTATTGCTTTCATAAACCTTAAAAATGTTTGCACTATATGGAACAGGACGATTAATAAATATATAACACTTATATGTGTCTGTTTTATAAATTAAGTATATTTACAGCCTGGATCAGGCGTCTGTAGCTTGCCCTATTAAAACTATGAATGTGTGTGTCCCTAGGATTAGAATCTAGAATTACTTGTGCTTGATACATTGACCTGCCCTGAGACATGCTATTGAGTTACCAATGTGGTCCTAAACTGTTCAAATTGTTTATAAAAAACTTAATGTTTTTGTTGTGTGTTTTACTGTGCATTTTGTTCCAGGGCTAAGACAGTAGCAGAAAATCTAAAATTGAATTCGGCGCTTTTATCTCGCTTCGACTTGGTTTTCATATTGCTGGATCAGCCGGATGAGGTATTTTTGATTTGATTACAAGTTACCGCATTGCGTCAAACGGTAAGAGGTCCTGTGTTCAATTCCAGTCATGAAGAAGTATAAGGAAAGTTTTTATGACACTAGACACAAAAATTACTTGATAGCAGAAGAGATCTGTCGAAAAAAACACCGTTTCGGCAAGACAGACATAGGTAGTTTATAGTTTTATAGTAACAACAGTAACAATTTATAAAAATTTTATCATCATCGTTATTTTCTCCCCCCGTTTGCATCTACTGCAGCCATTTGCCGCTCTTTAGCTATATTGATCCATTTGCTGGTGGCTGTTGCTAAAAAACTTAACACCTCGTCTTTTTCAGAAAACAGATGCTTTGCTGTCAGAGCACGTACTAGCCCTCCACTCCGGGTCGAAGGGAAAGAAGAAAGTTGGTGCTGGGACAAGCTTCATGAATACTTCTAGTGCTAGTCAGAGTCGTGATGAAAATTTAAGGTGAGCCATTTTATATATACATAAAGTACCTACTCATGTTTGTTATTACATTGTGAATTTTCAAGATTGTAAAATTTTGAAAACGGTTTAACCTGTCTTGCATATCAAGTTTTGGAAAATATACAAATGACTAAGTCTTCTTATATAATATGGTGTTTATGATAGAAGAATACAGACAAGCATGGTTCTCTTGTTGAATGATATCTTGCCATAGAAAATCAAACCAATCTTTAAATCATTAAACCTGTTCACAAAAAAAAATCAGTTTCCACCTGTGGGAAAGGGGCGAACACAATTCTGTACGTTTCACTGACCTATTTTCTGTATCGTTAAGAATATGTTTAATGAAACTTCTTTCTAGGACCATTGCTTAATACACAAAGACATTTTAACGGTTTTAACACTTTAACGGTTTAAAACGCGATATATATTTGTTAACATTATTTTTAAGTATGCTCCGACGTTTCGGATGCTTTACAGCAAGCGTGGTCACGGGGAGACTAAAGATGGAGGATGTCTCTGACGTCAAAGTAAAAACCGCTAAGCTAGCGCCATCTGTTCTGTCGAAGTTGGCTGAAACTGGCCGGGTCCTTGCAGAGCGGAAAGGACCTTTCGGCAAGAACCCGGCCAGTTTCGCCAAATGTGTACTACTCGTGTAAACTACAGACAGCATTTTTATGTAGTCAGAGATTAAAACTAAAACCGGGAGAAACGATAGACACATTGCCGCTAGTACTTCTACGCAAGTACATCGCGTACGCAAGAAGGTACGTCCACCCGAAGCTAAGTTCAGAGGCCGCCAACGTCTTACAGAGTTTCTACTTGGAGCTACGACACAACCACCAGACGTCTGGTGATGGTACACCTATTACTACGCGACAATTGGAAGCTTGCATACGACTTAGTCAGGTACCTTTTATTAAGTGATGATCGATATTGGGAAAACATGGAATCAGAACTATCGATACGATAAATACCGATTCAAAAACATCGATATTTTCAGTAGAAATAAATCTTGTCTTCATTTTAATAAACATTGATGTGTTGATGATATTGAAATCATAATATTTTTTCAGGCTCGCGCAAGAGTTGATTTAAGAGAAGAAGCTACCTTACAAGACGCCAAAGACGTTATAGATCTTGTTAAGCACAGTTTGTTGGACACGTTTAGTGATGAATTTGGCAATATACAGCTCTCTAGATCTATCAATGGTTCCGGAGTCAGCTCAAGAAATAAGGTAAAGAACCTAATCCTCGCGTATACACCAATAAGTAGGATACCGTACCACTAGTCATAAGTAAATCCTACTTAACTCCTACTTTTGAAAAAAAGAATATAAGAGAAGAACTTTTTATGTGCATAGCCCTAAAACCACTAATTGATTAAATTTAATTAAAAATGTACATTTTATCAAATTTCAATTTATTTCTAATCAACAATAGACATCGTGGTAGAGCCTTGTCAAATTGACGTTAAATCTATTTTACACTTTTATTACTTGAACACGCAAATGTAATTACTGATTGTGACTGCTCTATCTTCTAAATAACGATATAAATAACTGCATAAACGTGATTTTTATGTACCATGTCCTTTGTCTATATAATAACGAAACTTTGTTAAAAAGGCAAGAAGGCTGCATTTCTTCAAAAATGCCTTTGTCTGATGGCGAGCATGGCGCCACCTATGGGTTATGTGGTGCAACAACAGAGTACATTTAATTGTATAAGTCTTTCGAGATCTGTTAGTAAAGCTAAGTAAGGTCGCCGCAAACCATTTCTCAATTACGACGGTAGTAGACCTGGATAAGCTACTAGCAGAGTAGATAACTAAAACTATAATAATTCGTGTCGTTATATACAGTATCAATTATTTGTATTCCAGCTAAAGAAGTTTTTGGACGCTCTAACAAGAAGATCGCATCAACTTAATAAGGATGTGTTCACAAGACAGGAACTAATTCAAATCCACAAGGCGGCCGGCGTAGTGGGCGACCCAACTGATCTCATTGAAGCTATGCATGTACATTCGTATTTATTGCTGAAAGCATCTAATACATATCAGTTGATAGCCATTTAATTTTAAGGAATTCTTCCATAAGTATAAAGTTGTTAATATAAATTTCAATCTTTTATTTTCTTCTGCTGGGAGACCTATACTCCTGTCTATAGTTTACGCGAGTAGTACACATTTAAATAAAACACTTTAACGGTTTAAAACGCGATATATTAGATAAACTTATTTGAAAATGTCTCCCCGTGGCCACGGCTGCTGCAAAGCATCCGAAACGTCGGGCCGAAGTTAAAAATCATTTCCAAATAAGTTTAACTAATATATCGCGTTTTAAACCGTTAAAGTGTTTTATTTAAAAGACTTATACTCCCTTTATCTGACGGCATAAAATGTTAAATCCCACCGTCCATTAAGGTTGATAATTGTACCGATGCCTTAACCTGCTCTATAAAGAGAAATGATATCGCTTCTTGAAGGCTTCAGGCTAATTCTAGAAATATCAAAAAACCCTGGACCTCGTTTTCTGCAGTCAAGTGCATTAACCAGTTATTTCAAAATTTAAGAAATATCCTACTTATTTTTTTTATGGCTACTTGTATTCCTCCTCCTATAAACATCTTGAAATGGCCAAAACACATCTGCTAAATAAAAGTATTTTGTTAATTTAAGCCATTTTATTCCACAAAAGTACACAACTCTGCTCATAGACACAACCTTGAACATAAAATATTAGATACAAATACCACTCAATAGAAGTGTTAACCAGTAAAACAGGATGGAATCAAGATCAATACAATTGTGACGGTCTCAGTGTACTATCACAATGAATGCTCTTTACCCAAATTTTTTAAGAACTTTCTAGAAGGAACATCTTCTAAAGCCATTGACACATGACAACAGCTGTACAGAGATACACATAGAAGAATACAATTTTCAAAAGTTGGCACTTGTAATATAGTTTCAAAGAACAAGTTCCCCACTTTTGTTCCAGCAAACAAATAAAAGTTTGATATAGCGGATAGAGCTAACAAAGGTGCACAGAGCGCTGCAATAAGTCTTGTCTCCATAGCCTCTGTCTTCAACACGTTTTCCTTAAACCAAATATACTTGTTGTGCTTTGATATCGACTTCCCGAAATGCTCTAATGTGATTCCAATGTAGTTCAAGAACGACCACATAAATATATGCCACACGGTGCCATGCCACATAAAAATGAATAAAAACGTTCCTAGCGATGCCGCCAATTTATAGAAAATATTTGGCAATTTAATATAGCTACTTATTATACTAAAGCTTGGTTTGTAGATGTATCTGTAAAAAAATTACATGGTTACCCAATATATTACTAAAAAAATATTTAACTAAACACTGACTGTAGTTTACCTGAGTAGTACATATTTAAATAACAAAGTTAGAAGTAATTTTCAAAAAAGTTTTCCTAAAATATATCGCGTTTTGAACCGTTGAAGTGTTTTATTTGAATTCTTATAAACTGTGCAATAGTAAATGGCTTTTAGGCAAAAAAACTTACCTGACCAAAAACCTATATAAGCCAACATCAAAATGCCTCCACATTTGAGAATATACATGAATTCGAGCTATGCATCGAGGTGTTGGTGGGGCTTCAATGTTGTCTAGTCTAGCAAATGCTGCTGTAGTACCATATGAAATCACATATTTAAGGTGAAACTGTAGTCCCATCCAAAGACCTCCACCACATAATGCTATTGTCGGTAATTTCCTTACCAGCTAAAAATTAATCTTAGTTAATAAAACATTAATGCCTTCACTATGTTCAATTTAAAACAGTGTTTTTACCTCCATATTGTCCTGCATAGCATAAAAATAAATAAAATGCAGTAAAACATCTAAAAATACAGTGTAAAATAAAAATAATAAGATGTCTGGAACAAATCTTAGTAACCTACAACCAGCACCATCATTATGTACTTTATAGCTTCTATCAAATTCTTCATATAAAATTATTGGGCCCATATAGAGTACTGGTAAATATAATACATAACTTAAGAAGTCTATGAAATCTTGAATTTGCATTCTTCCTTTTTCTTTGTTCTCTACAAAGTCAATTGAATAACTGATGCATCGTAACTCAATCCATGCCATGCTAAACAGAATCAAATAAACTTCTTCATCCTGCATATTTTTGTGTTCCAAAAAGCTCCAAAAGAAATATTTATATTTGATAGAGTTATAGCTAAGTAATAAGAAAGTACTGATTAGCCATATAGTGATTTTCTTCGCTCCTAGATTTATTGCTGTAGAATATATAACGGGTTGAATTAAGATAATGATCATTTGCTTGTAGCCCAAACAAGTACAGACAAACATTGTGCTTGATAAAATGTACCATTGTTTCAGTATATTAGGAGAATATGTGCGAATAAATTCAGATATAATAAATTGAATAACTAAATAAAGCCAGACTATGTGGTAGTAAAATTTCCAACTACTCCATTCTATATCAGAAACATCTTTAAGTCTCGAAAAAAGTTTCCACCCTGGCTCTAAATCATTTAAGGACGATTTTAGATAATCATTTCTTCCTAGAATATCTGAAAACATTGTTGTAAAATTAGTACATTGTTTGAAATAACAAAAAAATTATAATAAAATACTTACCACTTTGTGAATTCACTAGTTTAAATAACGCGTATAAGTTAATAAATATCCAAATTGTAAAATATACACACAGTTCCGTAGTAGGTATTTTTATTATCATTTTGATTGTTTTTTTTCTACGATCACATTTTTAATTTTACCGGTTTTTGTATTGTTTATTTCCTTTAAATGTACCCAAACTCATGTTTGCGTTTATAATGTTGGCAGTTGAAATTTACTCTATGACAGCTGTCTTTGTCTAGTCTGTGGAAATCACATCCTTTTATAGATAATAATTTTAAATAGTTTAAATCTAATAAGACTCAAGAGACAAATATATTTACAAAATAATCGTATTATGATACAATGAACAGCCGTTCTGAAGATTAATACTTCAGTGTTTTGTTTTTGTCGAAGTCTTAGACATGACCAACTGACCAGCCAAAAAGGCTACTTTGAAACAGTGCGTAGCAAAAAGTCGTTCGTGAAAATTAATTAAATAGCATTTATAATTGGTTTTAATTAAGATAAAGACGTATATACTTCCCACACCTTATAAAATTTAACAACACATATGTGATATACGTTATGCATTTATGTATGTTCAATGTATCACCCAAGACAGCCTTGTTTGAGTTTTCTTAATAAATAAATAGAGTAATCGCAAAAAAGTTTCTATACTCTATTGTCGTCGCCACGTTTTTTTACTTGTTTTTGATATTATCTATTTACAACTATATTCAATTCTTACATTATTTTCATTACGCCTGACAGTTTATTTTAGCAAAATGTACGGCAGAATTAATTAGCAAAAACTGTTCCTGGATACGATTGAAATAATACAATTGATTTAACAATAGTCTAGCGAACATTGAGAAAGTATTTTTTAATATTATTATTTTTGAATTTACCCTCAATATTGCGTTGGAAGGCTTAAAAATGCAAAATAATTATAAGAAAAGTACCTTCTTACGTAACACGCGAATGAGATGCACAAACATATGTTTCAACTCAAGCCACATCCCACTCAGCTTTCAAAACAGTTAGTTCATAGTTGGTGTTTGATTTGTGTTGTGAGCGCAGTTTCTTAAATCAAGTTTACGTCATACTATTATTGTGGAAACTTTTAAATTACTTCCCAATGTTTATTTAAAACCTATTTTGCTCATATTGATTTTGCCAATAACTTAAATCGTGATTTATCTCGACCTCAGTAATAAGGATAAAGTATGAAATTCCTTACATATGCATTGTTTATACTGCACTTAAATCTATGTAAGTAAATTCTTAACTTACGTACTTAAGCTATTATAAAAAATTAAACATACCTAATTATGTACGTTGTTGTATGTTTCCGATTAGCCATAATTGTGTTATTTAGTTCTAATATATTAAAAGCATCTAACAGTACACAATCTTAAAGAAGCTGTATATTCTTATCAGAGGTTAATATGCCAAGTATACATAAAAACAATAATGTATAAGTATGAGTCCAAGTTTTTTAAGAATAATAGCCTAGATTGAAAATTATTCATCTGCTAACTTAAAATTCTAATTTGATGCAGCTCGTGATTCTTGACCTTGATTTATAAAGCCAAGTGAGGAGGTAGTTTTGTTGTCCCCAAGCTGGGGACATTGACCCTGTCATAATTCTCCTATTTTTTTGTATTCTTTAAATACTATTTCCTTTTAGGTCAGCCAAAGGAAAGATATAATCCTGTCAACGATTTCTTATTGCACGAAGCCGGCGGGCCTGTTTCGCCTTACAATAAGGATAGTAACTCTCAGTTCCCTAGTCTAAAGCCTGTTACGCCTTTACCAAATCTTTCAAGTGCAGTTATCACGCAGAAGCCACCAACATCCGTCCCTAATAACAAAAGGGATTATGTTGCACAGTTTCCTGCTCTCAAACCAGTTGCCCCAACTGCTGGGGTCACTCAGAAGCCCACAATCAGCACGCAGACGACAGCAAAAAGGGACTATGTAGCTCCTCAGTACCCCACTCTAAAACCAATCAGCAACCCGAGTTTCGGAACAACGCCAAAGGTCTCGACGCAACCAAAAAGAGATTACGTGAATCCCAACCGACAAAACAACCAGCCGGGAAAAGTTAAGGACTTAATAAATTTCTATGACAACAAAAATCAAGGGAGTCCCGATCTTCCTAAAGTACCGAGTTATAGTACGATTTTAAAAGGTTCGACGAATAACCCACAACCAATTACACCAGCACCATCGCGACCGAATACGCCAACTAAACCAACATACAGTACCGTGTCTGGCCCTAAATCTACTAAACTACCAAATGTTAATACTAATGGAAAACCCAATACATTGCCCAGTTCTATTTTAAATAATAAAAATGTAGGAAGTAGTGGAGGTGGTACAAGTGATTCAGAATTACAAGCGTTATCCGAGGAATTGCTCAAAAAGGACGTCAATAATGCAGCGAAATTTGTCACTGTGAATTACCAAGAAAAGACGACATCACAAGCAACAGACGACAAAGCTCCTAAACCGTAAGTATTAAAAAAACTTGAAAAAAATAAAATAAAAACGAAGTCTTTAAATACTATCTGCAGTTTACGCGAGTAGTTTGAATAAAACACCTTAACGGTTTAAAACGTGATATATATTAGTTAAACTTGTTTGAAAGTTATTCGTGACCTCGTGACCACGATTGCTACAAAACATCCGAAACGCTCTTAAAGTGTTTTATTTAAACGTCAAGACTTCATAGTTCTAAGTCTTGACGTGTTTTCTTTATCAAATTAATCACAAATCAATCAACAAAGACCATGTATTTGATGTCTAACGTAAATATTTACAGATTGCTTACTATATCACCTGAAGTATGGAATATACCGACGATTCAAAAATTTGTACCACTTTTGGACAATTACGAAAGAGACGCTACTATCAATGAATATGTCACTGCGCAGGTATATATTTTCTCCAATTTCAAATGGCGTTAATGTTTTATGAATAAATGCAAATGTAATAGTTTTGAGGATATTTTGTATGATGTAGGGGGGAGAGGGAAAACGTCTATAGACCCAGTTTCAATTGATTTTGCATAACTATCCTATCACAAATGGATGGAAAGTATCTGTTTTATTTTTTTATATTAAATAGTGCGTCTTATTTGGAGAAAGTTAATAAGGGACTTAGAATTAAATATTGGGTATTTTGCAGTCTTACTTCTCTCTTATAAGGATATATATTATGTATTTTAAAGATATTGCTGATTTCTATTATAGGAACGAAACGAAGAAAACGCATTCATGGATGCAGTTATGTCAACATCAGTTATTCGTCACTTGCTGAACTTTTTCAAAGACAAAGGTTAGAAAAAGATTTTGTATGTCATTTTGATCATCAACTAGAAGGCATATGAGGGTAGTTAGCCATAAATATTTATGAAAAATAAAACTTTTTTTTATCAGGATATGTTACTCAAGACCCACGTCAACAACGAGACTTTCTCAAGCAAATATGGTTCGGATTGTATTCTAGAGGTCGAGGGAAAATCAGCAGCTCTGGATTTGAACATATATTTGTTTCTGAGCTGAAAAATGAACAGATTTCAGGTAAAGTTCATTCATTAATTATCACATGAAATAAAATTATTTCTGTAGATTAATTAACTGTAATTCAAAATTCTGTGGTCACAAAAATGTCAGGCACAATTCTGAAACCGTTTCTTAAATTATCGTATTACTACTATTCCAGGATTGCACAACTGGATTTACTTTTCCAAAGAAGAAGCAGCCAATCGTGCTAATTATTTGGGATATTTGAAATACACCAACCTAGGAGATGTAAGTAGATATTTAGATAGCTACGTTTTATGGTGATACCAAAAACTAGACGTTGTTTTGTAGTTTGCAAGATTATTAAGTTGATACTACTTTAGTTACTAGTTCTAGATACTTAATATCGACCAAGATTGATTATCATAAACCGTTCTTGCTAGTTTATCTCATAATATATTGTCGTGGATTTTTTTTAGATCATCTAAAAAGGGATCATTCTTTTTCATTGATATATTTTGGTTTTTTTTAACGGCTTTTGAAGTGCCTTATCACAGTCGGCTTGTTTAATATTCCATACTTAATTTGACTATGAAAGAATGAAGACTATTTGATAAAGAAATGTTTTTTAACAGAAAGGAGCCGTTTTGAAATTGCACTTTAATCAACAAGGTGTGACGAAGCCAGTAGGAACCATGTTCATTGGGACATCTCCTGAGTTAGAGATGGCGCTGTATACTTTGTGTTATGTAACGCGGGTAGAAAAGGATTGTAAACTAAAACTCGGAGGAAGCGACGTAGACATTGTAACTTACAACTATCGGTACCGAAGTAAAAATTATATTGGAAGTGCGTATCCTCAGATTTAAAGTGTATATGGACCTCAAGGAGGATCAAAGTTCTGCTTAATATAAATAAAATAATGATGCTTTGCGAATAAAACAAGTTCTAATTAAATTAAAATCTACTTAAGTTGAAAAATTTGACGACACGAGCGGACTTGAACCAACATCCACAGCGATCCATGCTGCTGCTCTTACCAATTGAGCTATCGTGTCGTAATTTTGTTTCTATCATCCTGATATTGACATGTGTAAAATATCATTATTTTAATACAAAAATCAATTGTAATATATTTGTTAATTATTTTAAAGTAATATTTTTTTACAGTTATATAATTTCGATATATTTATGTATTCTATATTTTTTTCCATTTAAACAATAACTCAATATGGCTGTGATATATCAAAACAATCCTCATCTCAGCTATAGTCTATGTAAATACTCATGTTATAAAAGAAGTTGTGCTTATTGCCTTTTTAAAATTTTATAAAATAAAGGTTTAAATACAAATGTATTTTCTTTGTACTCATTACTAAACTTTTCGCTCTAGGTAACATCTCTATAATAAAATGGATAAAAGATTTTTAAAAGTAAACCTTGCCCTCCTTACGACTAACACAGACACGACACCACAAAAACTAGGCAGAATTAAAATAAATAACTTTCGTACTACATTCTAAATGACAGTTTTACCTGTGGTTTTTAAGCAATGCATGCAAAATGTATTAATATTCTGTGTCCAATGTTATACAATACAAATGTCAGAAAACTGTCATTTTCCAGAAAACAGCTGATAGTGTTGATAACGACAGCTCGCAGTTCGCTCGACATTCCAATTTTAAGTGTTTACTTGAACTGTAGTTTTTAGCTTTGATGAAGTGTGAAGAATGGAAATTATAAAATAGTAATCTATTATAATATAATCTTTCATGGAACAATTAAGATCTATGTAGCCCCAAAACAGTATTTTATAGTTTCGCTTATTTTATATTTTTGTCACAAAGCAGTCGTTATTTATTATTAGTATGTAATACCACGCGTTTTACGTAAGAAATTTGAATTGAAATTAGTGCTATTTTTAAACCGGTAAATATGAATAGCATACGTGTCAGTAGTTTTATCAAATTAAAGCGTAGTTTATCACATAAAGATGTTATTTGTTGTTTCCTTGTTACTAATAGAAGTTTTTCAACTAAAGAACTTTTAAATGAAGCGTATTCCCGTACGTTATTAAAATGTAAATGTAAGTATTTTTAACATTATTTATTGTTGATTATATCCTAATTAAAACTACTAGAAAATAGTTTTATTGTCTAGCATTGCGGTAAGCACGAGAAACTGGGTTTAAATCTTTGTAAAGCAATAAATTGTCTTGACCCAGCAGGGCTCTTAGATCTGTTAAACTACTGCCTCGAAGTAACATAGTTCTAATGTAAAAAGGACATAGATTGTTCTCTGCAGGGGCAATGGGTTTTCTTACCGTTTACATATTAATTATATAAATGTTTATTTTTAGCAAAAAAAATTGCCCCAAGACGTGAACCCTCAAGGTGTTTTCGCTTGTAATGAGCTTGATTTATCGGAGGTAAAAGTGTATGGGTTTGATTATGATTACACGCTAGCCCACTATAAGCCCAGTTTGGAGCACCTGCTGTACAATTTGGGTAGAGACATGCTACTTGAGAAGTATAAGGTAAATTATGAAAACTGTACCCCTTGCTTAAACACTTCCATGTTGAGCTAATGTTCTGAACTGCTAAAATAATTATAAGAAAAATTGATCTGACGGTTAGTGAATAAGTGAACTTCACTAAATAATCAAAATTTTCTTTTACCATCCGAAGGAGCTGGCGGTGAGTTCTAGAGATTTCCGGTAGATAGTTGCTTTGTCATTGTCATTTTAGTGTTAGTAGCAAGTGTTGTAGTAGTGATATTTCATTGTTTATACAGTATTTTATCTATAGTCTCACTTTACAGTACCCTGCAGGAATAGCAAAGTTAGAATATAAACCAGATTTTGCAGTCCGTGGATTACACTATGACATTGAAAAGGGGCTGCTTTTAAAGTTGGATTCATTCTTGCAAATACAATTTGGAGCAGTCTATAGAGGCTTGACTCCTGTCCCCACCGATGAAGTCCTTAAAATATATAAAAATAGGATTATACCTATTGCATATGTGGAAGGTGATACCAGGGCACATAAGGTATGACATATTCTACACACTATTCTATGTCTGGCAAATTAATTTAAAAGTTTTAAAATTCATCCACGTAAGAAATAATTAATGTTATATTGAGATCCATTATCTTAATAAAAAATGTATTACTTTTTTGAAGACATTAAAAAAAATAACTCAGAGTGAGTACTTAAAATAAATTCTTTTAATGGTCTAAAACGCGAATTGTTTTAGTTCACTTATTTACAATTTACTTTGACCCGACGATTCAAATCGTTACAGGCCGGTTAAAATAAATCGCAAATAAGTTAACTAATACATTTCAAGTTTTACACTGTTAAAAGTAAGCTGCTGTATCAAGGCAATTATCACTTGTATTTGTATTTATGTAACCAAAATTTGTTAATTGCGAATAATCTACTATACTAAAATGATACGATGCACGAGTATTGTTTATATCGATATTGATTCCAATTTATTCCAGCCTCCGTCGGGTGTAGCTATGGGTATCTATTATATAAATGATTACAGCACTTGTAGGCAATCATTCATTTGTCATCTCCCCTTCTGTAATTTATATGCCTATGTATGTACATAATATGTCGACCTAGTTAGCAACGTAAACAATGCCTTACGTTTGTAATAGAAGTCTGTGGTCTAAGATTATATATCTTAAAATAATGGCGGGAAACATGCGACATCTGTGACAGAGGAGACTAATGAATTAAAAAAAAAAGAATGAAAATAGAATACTTTATCTACTTTGTTATGCGTTCTTGATAGCTTTAACAAAGAAATTGTGCTGTGCACCAAACTCATATAAAACCTATTAAATTTCATAAGTTTGACGTGGGCGAAACTGGAAACTACGAAAAGCATTTCGTGTGGTTTTTACCAACTTATGTGCAAAATAATAATTTTTCAATTTTTCCGGACCCTTGTACGGATCCGGATGTTGTGTTCGTTCACCAGACCAAAAGGATATTTTTTTCACGTCTACCGTATTTTTACATTGCACATTTAGCACATTGAAATACGAACAAATTTTAAAATTTGTCGTAATGTTTCAGATTAAAAGTCCTAGGCATCCATTTCTCTACGTATCAAATATCTTTTGTTCTTATTCTCATAGTATGACGTGACAAAATATATGTTTATATACACTTAGATATAAAGTTATATACTATAGATGAGGTCATTTATTTTAAAGACAAACATGGCGAAGATGGTCCACCTAGCAGATCTGTTTTCGGTACCTGAAATGGGTTTACTCTGCAATGTCGCCGAGTACTTTAACAAGAACCACATCGATTATCACCCAGAAATATTATTCTTGGATGTCAAGGTCGGTGAATTATATTTTTGCTTTATGTATTTTTTTTTTATATTTACAGTTCTTCTAATAAAGGTGTGTATTTCTTAAAATCTATTAAGATAAGTGTCTCAAAGAACTAAATAATAAAAAGCACCCCACTACCACCTTTTTGGATGAGACAGATCTACTATCTAGGGAACCATATACTTGATATGGTTCACTAGATACACCCCAGTCTTACAACAATTAAACCGGAAATTCACTAAAATCGAAACGCGATAGAACTTGAAGGGTTTTTTTATCTGTGGCGGCTGGTTCGCGGCCCGGACGGAACATAGGTACCTCAAAACCCATTAAATATTTAGATTTCCACTCGATGTCCAACATGTTCCAGAAAACTTATAAATTGTTTAGAAACATGATGGACTCGGTGGAGATCGAACCCACGACCCATTTTTTAGTAGCTACACATTATCATTACACCAAGGAGCCTGTTAAATCATTTATCTGAAACTCAGTTTTTGCTTTTATGGGCCATGGAGTTGAACATATTATTGTTATATTGACACACAGCCATACAGTTCTAAGTAGTTGTTTAGATATTTTCTCTGCGTAAAACAGTTTTTGATTTCCTGGAATTCGAACCCAGGTTTACACGCGTTATACACAATGCCAAGTCACGTTCAACCCATTCGCTGCGGTGATAAAAACAACGCTTATTACCCAAGGGTGTGACGTTTCCCTCGCGATCGCCGACGGGCGTCCTTCGCACCTCCTTAGGGATAATATCCCCCTGGAGAACGTCAATTAGTATTGTTTAAAATAACTAATCATTCTTACGCTAACAGTATTCGTATTTGGAGTCAAACAATATTTAATTCATGTAAATTAAGGAATCTCTTTGTATGATTTTGTTTTTTAATAGCTGAGTTGGTGGCCATCTGAAAAACGCCGTTAGGCACCGCACATGTGGTATTATGACAATTTTTCAAAAAGTTGCAATAATAATGACAAAAAAAAACAATAAAAGATTACTTAAAATAATAGAAACACATCCCCCAACAATATGTCAAAAAGAAATATGTATATATCCGAGAAGGCTTGAGCTATTAGGTATTATCTCAAGACAATCTTAAAATATTTCAGCATATGTTCATTTGTTCTATTATGACTGTAGTTTAATTAGTTTTATTTTATTTCGCCATTATTCTTCTTGGCTGTAATCAAACAAATGTGCATATATAACAAGTATATTTTTTGTTTCTCGTTTTTGTTAAAATTTATTAAATAAAACGTCAATGGGCGTCTATTGCATCTAAATATTATGCCAAAAAAACCGCAAGGCTTCCGCAACGTATGGGTTAACTATTAACCAATATAAGAAGGTATTATTAATAAAACAAAATATATTCCCTTCCAGAATTCTGTCCAAAGCTGCCATCCAATAATGCACAAAATAGTTGCTCAAAACGTAGAAGAATATATAAGACCGAATACGGGTTTGAAGAAATACTTTCAGCTCCTTCAAGATTGTGGAAAAAAGTTGTTTCTCGTCACCAATAGTCCATTTCACTTTGTGTAAGTAGCTAAGTACTTATTCGGCATAACATTGTTTTGACTCGAAGAATTAAAGCAATAGAGATCTCCTGATGATGTCGTCCGCTCGGGATGATGAAACGTCGACAACAATGATATGCTAAAAGCCTTACACAATTTATTAACAAATTATTATTACGATCAGGGCTTTAAAGATTTCTAGTTCTAGTAGATTCTTATTTGTATATACCACCTGAGAATTGTATAGCCAAGGCATATTGGATACATTTGTTTGTTTATAAAAGGTATGTGATACTGTTTTAATTAAGAAAGTGGCTTAGTTCTAAAAGACAAAGAAAACAAAACCACATTTGTATACTATTCGCGCCACTGCTGTGCTCTATATCTTCGAATATTTGTAGGAGAAGGCTAAACCCACCACGCTGTTCAAATGCGGGTTGGTGGGTTATTAATAACTACCTTAATTACTAAATTAGCGATGACTACCGGGACCGCGTAATGTGCTCTGTGTTGATTGCAACTATTTGCAAATCGAAAAATTCTAATTTTCGATAACTGAGATTCGAATTCAAGACCCTGTTCTGCAGACGAAAGTCGAATCGAGAGACTAACAAGTCTGTACCTAACAGACGAACAGTAGGGTTTTCCTGAAAATCAATGTTGAATCGTAACTGAGCTGCAACTTATGATGACGGAAGACCCTTTTGTCATCAGTTTTCTTCAAATTAAATGTAATCTTTTTGTATGAATTATTTCATTGTAATTTGCATTTATTTCTTTCTAACATTGTACTATATGAATGCCAAATAAAGAGATTCATTATTTCTATGATTCCCAGAAATGCTGGCATGGAGATGCTCGTCGGCCACGACTGGAGGGATTTCTTCGACGTGGTCATCGTGAATGCGAACAAACCGAAGTTCTTTACGGAAGTTTCACGGCCGATCAGGGTGTTCGATAAGAACGCGAACACACACATATGGGAGAAAGTGTCGTCATTGGAGAAGGGAATCATTTATTATGAGGTATGTAAAAGAGTAACCGCGCTATGTTAAACGCCTTGCATGCGAGCGGTTCTAGGTTCAAATCCTGATGTGGTCTCCTCTTTTATCAATATTAAAACGCAGTGAATTAAATCTGTACTAATATTAGAAATCTGAAGAATTGTTTGTTTGTGCGCGCTAATCTCTGAAACTACTGTTTTTCGTGTTGGGTAGACCATTTATTGAGGAAGAAAACAGTGGGAAAGGGGAATATTCTTCATAATCTAAATAAATGCCCAAACCACTATATATCTATTTTCTAAGATTAACTTACGAGGGCCGTTTGCATGGTACCTAGTCAAATTTTGGTTGAAGTAAATAATACGCTAGGCAGTGAAATATTAGTTTAATCTTATACCCTCGATATAACTTATTAAATTTGCTAATCATAGGTAATTCATATAAGCTGTATAAAACTAGCTGGATATGTTATCTGCGTGGTATCAAATCCTTAGCGGTTTGCAATTGGATCCGCCTTTATGCCTATAATACTGTAGGCATAATTATATTGTTAACGTTATTTGATACCGCTAGTCATTTTACCCATGCAAAATTTCTCAATTAGGTAATTTTTTATTACTAATCTTAGCGATGACAAAGTTTTTTTTTTTCAATTTATTTTCGCTTTTAAAATTATGTAGTGCCTTCATGTGCACTACATAATTTAAAAACGTTTTTCCCGGTGACCACGAGCTGCTGCAAAGCATTCGAAACGTCGAGCCGAAGTTAAAAATCATTCTCAATAAGTTTAACTAATATATCGCGTTTTAAACCGTTAAAGTGTTTATTTAAATGTGTACTACTCGCGTAAACTATAGGCAGTATTTAAAAATATTTTAGTTTCGTCCTAGTTTATTCTCAAAGTAACACATTCCTGGTTGTATTTTAAGGGTACAGTGAAACAGCTGCAGGATCTCACAGGGTGGAGTGGGCATCAGGTTTTGTACTTCGGAGACCATCCTTACAGTGACCTGGCTGACGTCACGCTGGAGCACGGCTGGCGAACGGGCGCCATCATCAACGAACTTACGGTGAGTGCTTTTTCATACGTAAAGGTTCAAGAAATAACTTTCTGTTTTCAAATTATCTCCCATGTAGATTTCTTTCGTAATCAGAAAACACTACCTTGAGTGAGTATCTAGTAAAAATGTAGGTTTGATATTTTTTATATGTAGATATAGCTTTTCGTTTTAAAAAGTAAAAATAAAGAAAATTTTATTGAAATGAACTATTTTTAGTATAAGAAATATGTCTAATTTCACAGGCGTGTTGGTTTAATGTTAGCAATTATTACAAACATGTTTGTTTGTGATAAATTTATGATGATTCTGAAACATGTTGGATTTCGTCAGAATATCTGGATGTGAAATGGGTGACAGGAATGTCTAAAATTCCACATACAATTGGTTATGAACCACCATGCACTAATGATAAAAGCCCTAAAGCGTTTCGGTTTGTGGATTTCCGAATATACCAAGCCAAAATAAGTTGGCAGCTCACCTTGTTTAGATGTTATACGGCTGGAGTACTTCCCTTTTCTCTGTTCTCTTTTATTTATAAAAACAAAATAATTTCGTTGCAAAATACATATCAAGACTACATCGCACATAAATATATACGTACAAATTAAAAGAAAGCTCAGACAGTTGAAAAATTACTCACACCTACGATATAATCAAGGCAAACTTTCATTTTCCTTAATTATTGTTCCAGCACGAGATAAACACATTAAACACAAACACATTCAAAGAGAACGCCAACTGGCTGCAAATGCTTACGCAGCTGATCGAGGACCACCAAGATTATAAGGAGCCCGAGGCGCTTGAAGTCATCGAGAAATGGATGGCGGAGAGAGACTACCTCAGGTAATTACAAGTTATGACTATTAACAAAAAAAATGCGCACGTGCAACAGAGACATAGACTAGTTATTACGTCACGTTAAGTCTCGTGACCATATTCACTCACAAGAATAAAATGGAACATTTCGTTTCGAAGTCACAAACAAATGAATTGTAAATTTACATAAACTAATAATTTATTTGTCAGACCATAGATCCATACATTAATTTTAAATAATTAATAATTAATTAATTCTAATAACAAACATACAGACTCTTAAAACACAAAATGCATATAATAAAGACTGGCAAGTAAATTATGAGCTTTGTAGTAGACATAACTGGTTCTGGGTTTGAATCCCGGGATAGAATAAGTTTCAGCAAGGCAGAGCAGAGTAATCTGATCAAATATCTGCTTGTAAATAAAATTTTATTTGCTAACCGAACTCGGAAATGTATTCCAACTATAATTGACAAAATTACTAAGTAACAGAATTTTGAGTTAAGTTTCTCTACCGTTTCTTAACACCTATGCTAATATTATAAAGCTGAAAAGTTTGTTTGTTCGAACGCGCTAATCTTAGGAACTACCACTTTGTATCAAAAAATATTCATTCATGCTGATTAGAGCATTAATTAATTTAAAAATCGAAAATAAATTAAACATTTTCTTTTTCTTAATACGCAAGTGTTAAGGTTGAAATTACATTGCGCGAGAGGTGCATGTATCAATAAGTTGAAAAAATGAGACTCGGTAGCTCAATTGGTAGAGCAACAGCACGGAACGCTGACGATGCCGGTTCAGGTCCTGCCCGAGTGGAAATTTTTTTCAATTTATTTTCGATTTTTACATTATACAGTGCCTTCATGTGCAATAACATGTAAAAAATAATCGAGTTTTTAGAGCATTAATTGCTAAAGATGAAGAAGAGGTTCGCAAAAACTAATTTGGACGCCCCAAATAACTATACTACGTTACTGACACACGCATAAAATTTAAGCATTTATCGATGATTTGATAAATACATAATTAATATTTTTTTTACAGAAACGCGACCAAATCCGTGTTCAATCCACAGTTCGGGAGCGTGTTTCGTACATATCACAACCCGACGTACTTCTCGCGTCGTCTATTCCGTTTCGCCGATATATACACGTCAAATATAAGGAATCTTCTCAACTACTCCTTAACCCACACCTTCTATCCTCGCCGTGGTGTAATGCCACACGAATATGGCTCTTATTTCGTGTGAAATAAGCGCTATAAATTCAACGAACAGTATATTTTCCATTAAACGCACAGTATTCTTGTACTCGTCTAAGTTTAAACTTTTATATGTTTTTGTGTGTTATTCTGTTAGTTAGTTTGTTGTCATTATATATTTTATGTACATAAAATGATTAATTTGTACATATTTTTTAATCGTAGTTTAAAATATTTTTATTAAATCAAATATTTTGATATTATTATTACAATGTGTTTTTGGCCATAGGTAAACAGTCAAATTATATATAATCTAGTACATGGATGTAACTGTCAATTAAGACTAAGCTATCTATTTAAGACCTGTCATTTTACAAACAAATACTCAAGAACTATATTAAAATAAAACATTTAACGGTTTAAAAAGCGAAGTATAGTAGTAGTAGTCAGTTAACTTATTTACAATTAATTTTAACTATGCCCCCTTTGCAACAGTTACGGCATATATTACGCGTTTTAAACCGTTATTATTTAAATACTACTCGCGTAAACTATAGGCAATATATAAGAGTTATATTGTTTTAAGCTACGTTCCTACTTATTGTTTTATATTGTTCCTATAAGAACCAATGTTGGATTCAGTCATCATAGTAACGAAAGGAAAAATATGAGAAATAAATTATTACATAACTGGTCATAATATGTAGTACTCTAGTCAATATATTTCCTGTATACACAAACATATCAATCTTTATCCCTTCAAACTGTCACAGTTAGTATTTATTTGTCCGCGTTTGTATAGCTGTTAGTAAAAGATCTTGCCATGTAGATTATATTCTCAATTATAAGAAATTATAGTTTTTGTTGTAGGCGTTTGTTGTTTTAGAGACTAGTCGTAAATACTTAACTAAAAATATAAGATGTCGCCTGATGGTACCATACAAAATTGTTATTAGGAAATTGATTGTTTGATATTCTAACTGAGTTTATCCAGCTTTGGCTAAAAATTTCTTATGTACAATTCAAATGATTTAAACAAGATAATTTTACATTAAAAAATATTAATATATATGTAGACTTGTACAAAATTGTGCCCCTGATAGATATTATTGTGCCATCAAATTAGACAATAAATTGTTATCTGTGTCTTTGTCGTTTTTTTATCATGATAAGAGAATATTTAACTTTGCCAGAGACTTCATCCGCGTGGATTAGTTATTTTGGGCAGAATATTATTTACTTTTGCAAACAACCTCGTTAGCTTTATAACTTATACCTGTTTCTACGATCCACTACTGCGTCCCATCGTAGTCGTATTTGATTTTTTTTATGAAGAGTTATTATTTTTCATCTCAAATCTATTCAAATCTCAAATCATTTTCGCAGCGCACACAACTGAAGTCATGAAAGATAAATATTATTTTATGTTTTCCCTTCCTATTGGTCGCAGCCTGAAGTTATATTATACTCTAAAATATTTCTTTCTTTCTCGATAAATAGTCAAATCAACACAAATAGATTTTTTTCAATTCGAATCAATAGTTCCTGAAATTAGCGCGAAGCACAAGGAAACAAACAAACTCTTCAGCTTTATAATATTAGTTTAGATATATAATCTCTTATCTGAAAGGGCGCTGAAAATTTAAGGCGTTACATATATCGTAAGCTTTTATTGTCCTTGCAAATGTAGTAAATAGTGCAGTGAATTAAATAATATAAAGGTTGAATAAAAAGAAAATATAATCGAATCACTAAAGTTTTCGACATGACAGGTCATAAGAAGCTCAACTGACAAGAAGTCAGTGTCACAACTAACTCCAGTAAGGTTATAAAAAATCTAAAAATTTATACAAATGAACAATACCTTTTTAGACACAAGTTTATTTCAATAAGAAATAAGTATTTTAAAAGACGAGTAGTTACTATAAATATATGTAGATCAAACCTCTACATCTCTACAATATTTAGGGAGTATTAAAATTACTTAGAACACTGGGTATGCAGTGTCGATAAGTGGAACATTGTCTGCCCTCAAAGTCTTGGTCTGGATTGTGAAGGGGACGTTGTTCGCGCGAAGCTTGCAAGGACGGTCTGGGCGCGCCATAAAGCATAAAGTATACAAGGCCGTTTCTAGTTCCGGTGATGTTCCCACGAACATCGTTATTTCTGGGGCGTCTTTCGTTTCACTGAGGATGGAGTGCTGCTTCAGAATCAACCCTTTCTGGAAACAAATTGGTCAAATTGATATATGCACCTCTCGTGCAATCAATTTATAATCGATTTTTAATTTATATAGTGCCCATCATGTGAAAAATATTAAAATTTTCAAACAAATTGTCAATGTTGACAAATCGAACCGCTACATAAAGGACGTTGCATGTTTTGAAAAAGCAACACTGATTTTTCTACTACTAAAATAGCTTATGGCCCAGCTTGTAACAAGAACGGGGATGAATTTATACATCCTAGAGGTTTCACACACTACGTTTAAGTGTTGAAAAAAATTTAAAATATGGGTCATGATAAAAATAAAGCTAAATAAGATTTATTTTGACTTCGAATGTTCGGAAATCCCCAGACTGAGAGAGAGATACTCTATTAAACTTTATAAATTGTGTAAGGCTTCCACGTGTTGTGTCAAAACGTCGAGAACCTCATCTCGCTCACGTCGGCCGAACAGCCCGAAAGACAATGATATCTATTAAACTTGACGGATTGGATATTCATTTATACGAGAAATAATCATTGCTTATATACATATGTATTTTATAATATAAATAAATCATTTTTGCAAAACAATGACACAAAATATAGTAAGACGTCATCACAATATCGTATACCACAGGCAATTTTGAGATTATCACAATTAGAGGCTGTAGACGTCGCCATATAGTAATCTCGTTAAAGTTTAAAAACATTGCTTTGTGCGTTTATATAATTTTTACAACACCAGTACAGATATTGATTCTTCCTTGTACATATTATTATAAAGATAGTATTACTTCAAAAATCGTACTGTCATTTAGAATCATTGTTATATTTAATGATTATTTTTTGTATAAATAAGCATGGTTGTCCTATTTTTTTGTCTGCATCTAGTGCCTTTGTCGTTAAAGGTTCGACCTATTGTGGCTTGGATAGTCCATGGACTGATTCATAAACACGAAAATAGATTTTTATTCTTAATTCAAAATCTATAATTTACGAGAATTTTGTGAATAAATTGGTTGTTTATGTCGTCTAGACACAGATAGAGATGAAACCGGAAATTCGTAAAGATAAACTAAGTGTACTTACGCCGCCCAAGTCTAGTTTATCGATGTATCCTAAGTAGTTCGCTTTGCGGTCCATTTCTCTTTTAGCGAAGAATAACCAGCTGTGGAGACCTGCAACACAGGTTACGATGCACTTTATAGACCTTTCTTTCTTTACATTCGTTGTTTTAATAAGAAAACGTGAATTAAAATCTTTTGTGTAATTGAAGTGTAAAATGTACTGAAGTATTTTTATGTAAAAGCATTAAAACAAATAAACTCAAGTAATATAATCTTAAGTACTTATTTTGTTACACTATTGTTTATTATATAAATTCTTAATAAATGTGTGTAAATCTTATGAAAGATACCTAATGAAAGAAATGTCAAACTGTATTCGGTGGCCTCCGAAGGGGCCACCGAATATCAGTGTTGGGACATTGGTTCCAACGTACTAGCTGACTTCCTTTTCAGAGGAAACTGTACTATTTAATTTTAACTGTATTTAGTCGTAAAACATTATACTTCTATAGTATGTTTGTAATATTAGAATGTATATTATCGTAAATTTATGTTGTTTTCTGCATAAACGTATTTCTATTCTAATCTTCTATTCTATTCTATTTCATTAGACAAAAAATTACCCAATAAAACGTGATATTAACTGTGACCTGATGTGTTGTGATTCGAGGCTACATGGTTAACTAGTATTGCTTTAAGCACAAGAGATCCTGGATTCGAATACCGAAAATACGTGACGTTTAGTTTGGATTGAACAAGTTAGAGAAATCTTATCGATAACTGAAATGTAGATAAAATAGATATATCTTATATGATAGATAGCTCTACAAGCTTCCCCCTCACAGGGTAATGGTTCCAGCCGAGGCTTATGCCCCCCCTGGCTGCCGTGGTCTAGCCGTAAACACGGGGGAGCAAGGGGCATCATAAATATATATCTTACCTAAAACTTGATCTGATTTCAGTTCAGCCATAAAGATGTTTTCAAAAGCACAGCTGCATTTACAAAGTCCAGTCCAATGTCTTGCGTACTTAGTGAACCAAATTTTCTTTAACAACTCCACTTGTTCGTTGTACTCGTTCATTTGCGTTAGACCTGTATATGACTTTATTAGCAAAAATTCTAGTTTATGTGAGTATAACATACTAAGCGTTAGCTGCTATATGATCTTAAATTAACTGTTGAAGGAACTAGAAGAACTGGCAAGAAACTCGCAGATATTTTCATAACCAAGTCATTATGAAAATGTATAACTTAATGCCCCACTTGAAGAATTAAAGCTGTAACGCCCGATAAAGCAATCGGAAATCGCTGTTACTTGGCATCATGGTTTATACGTTCCTCGTAACTTTTTTATCATAGAGCAGAACAAACAAACCTAGGTCTAACGTGATGAAGGGTAAAACATCTCATGCTAATATGCTATCGACCTATTTCGGCTTGGCCTCATACTGACACGTCTCAGTGATTGAATATAAATTTATTATTTATTTAAGATTAACACTAAAACTTTTTATCTCTGGACGGTGGTTTGCGACCCAGAAGATAATCCTACCATCTATCATATCCTTTCATATTCATTTCCAGACGAAGTTCGACATGTTATAAATTAATTAGAAAAATTTTGGACCTGGTGTAGGTCGAACTCACAGCCATGATTAGCCATACAGTCCTACCATGAGACGAACAAACCTGTCAATAGTGTCATAGGTTATAGATACCTTTGCTTGCGAGGAAGGACATTAAACTTCTCATCGGACCCGTGGCTAGGATTGTGTTTATGTATGTTACTTGCTCAGTTTCTTCCTGTGACAGAAAATTGTTTGAAATCAAAGTAACCAAAACAATTAAATAATATCAGGAGTGTTCACTTAAGTTTTATGCTCGTGGTCGTAAGTTCGAATTCTGTTTGTGTGCAATATTAATCCATAAATATCAATTAAAGTCAATTCGCTCCTATTGGTCACAGCGTGACACTTTATAGCCTTAAGCCTTCCTCCATAAATGGTCTAACCAACACAATTTCTTTCAAATCGAACCAGTGGTTCCTAAGATTAACACGTCCAAACAAACAAATAAACTCTTCAGCTTTATAATATTAGTGTAGATTATAAGTTTGTTCGTGTTATGTTACTATACAATTATTAAAGGCATATTGCATTTTGTTTTACTGGTTTGTGGGCTGACTATACTAGATTCGCACACGGCGTATTTCATACAATGACGCATTGAAGGCTCTACTGTGGTTGATTCGTTTCTGCAGCGTACCAAAAAAGTTTGCAGACATACAAGAACATAGCTTTTTCGACAATCACTTGTCTAGCGAGTACACGGCAGTCCCAACATTGTTTTGGACCTAATAGCTAGTCATTTTGACTGTCCATATTATGGCATTGCAACGACGTATGCTCAGATCTCCGGCGCTATTTACTTTTAGTATATGAATCTTAACCATAACTAACACATTTGACTTTTTGGCTGAATAAATGTTTTATTATTTTATCATTGTGTAAGTAGGTCTTCAAAATTATCTCGCCGTTCAAAACATATTATGAGTACTCACATTCGGTGTTACGAACTCTGGCCTAATCACGTTCTTGTGATAATTATCGAACAGCGCGGCAAAAGGTCTTATCGTCGGGCCGTTCCATACATTCTCGGGTACGGATAGAAGGCTAAAAATAGAATAATAAAAAAAAATAAAAAAAAAAACACTCAGAAAATACTGCGTTAGTAAAGTGAATTAAAATATACCGAGGACTTTTTTCATGACAGAGGATAGACAAGCTTGTCATATAATATCTGAGATGCGCTAGCGCCCTATTTTGGTTTTGGATATTCTGAAATCCACAGACTCATTTTTCACCTGAGGACGATGGTTGACCCGGACGAAATTTCGATATTCCTACCACCCATTTCCACCAGAGACCAACATGTTTTAGAAAAATTATAAATTGTTTGGTAGACTTGTTGGATCGAGTAGGGATCGAATCCACGACCCGTTGATTATTCGCCATACATTACTACCATATAAGTAAAAAGGCCGTTATAGTCTGTAAATCGCAAATCTGTGAATAAATAAATATTCCAATGTTTTTCCCCTTCTTGAGGTCACACACATTGACAAACAGACACACACATCTTTAAAACTAATAGCGCATAGTCATCCGTTTAGGATTCTAAGTATACATGCATAGACTGACAAAATAATTACCCTGTTACGTGTTTCGTTAGGTAAAAACCAACGCCTACAACTAATGTAAAATTTTACATGTATAACTTAATTTAAATACAACTGTTTAACGGTTTGAAACGCGATAAATATTAGTTAAGTACTTATTTCTAAAAAAACTACGGACGTTATGGATGCCACAGGGAAACCCACTCATAATTTACAAATCAGTTTAACTAATATATATCGCGTTTTAAACAGATAAAGTGTTTTATTTAAGTGTGTACTTCTCGCTTAAACTACAGACAGTATGTAAATGTTAAATTAAAAACAGGAACTCACTTTGTTTGGGCTTCATCACTTTTCGACATAGGACTAGTCTTTCCTTGAAGATTGACTTGAATATAATTGAACGCATTATTAACATCTGCATTAAACATTTCTTCGCTCACACGAATCAGATCCTCATCTGTAGTGGTGTCCTGGACTTGCTTCAGCATTTCTTCATAGCTCTTCTTCTTGGCGTAATCAACTACCCCACCGACCACTGTACCGATTTGCTGGAGGGTATTCTGTGCTGAGTTGCCTTGCTGCCCGGTCACCGAGTTGCTGATTAAATTCGGAAGGATGCTGTTGAAGATTTGGCCAGCTGCCGATGCTATATCATCAGCCAGGGTAATCCCCACAAGGAGAAGGAGAACGAAGGCGATCTTCATTTCGACACGTTGTTTGGAGCAAGATTACACCGTACGAGTGATTCGTGCCGAGGAGGCGATACTGCGACCTTTGGGTGACGTCATCTTCAACTGTGTGTCTGATATGACACGATATTGAGATTCAACGCGCGGATTTCCAGTTTAGCGTTTGTAAATTGCTTATGCGAGACACTAGTTACCTCGTAAACAACTTCGGCCTTCGCCTTCCATTAACGATGCGGCCTAAGCATGTGTAACATACAAGTACGTGCAGGTTCGCAATGGGAATGTTTAATAACTATGAAGCAGCCACATTTTTTCCATTATATTTATAACTAGCTTTGCCCACGACATCGGCCGCGTGGAATGGTTAGTTTGGACACCAAAATTTGTTTTTAAAACCTCGTATCTTAATATATTATAGATGTTACCCACGACGTCGCCCGGATGCCGTCGCGTCATTCTTACGAGCTAATCTTAAAAGATAGACATATATTTATAAATCATTTAAGATGAAGCATTATTTCATACGGCTTTTTGGTTCTTTAATTATTTTCCCCGTTTGTATCATATTTCCCTCTGTTTTATCGCTCCTATTAACCACAGCCTAAAGTCTAAAACCTTCCTCGATAAATGCACTAAGACAAACATATTTTTTTCATTCAAACCTGAGATTCAAACAAATGAACTCTTCAGCTTTGTAATATATGTTTGGACTAGGGATTTGAACCCTCGACCATAGCGGCAGCAGACCACGGTAGCTCAGTTGGTAATAGCTGTGGCGATGAGTTCGAATGTCGCTCATTTGATCTATGTATTTATTAATAGAATTTTCTTTATCATCATTCAGCTATGTAAGGCAAAATATGTAAAAAATATTGTTCTTGTTGTAAATGTGTATTTAGTTTTCCTTCAATTCTAACCTTTGTATATTAAAAATAACCTTATTTATTGCATTTTAAGAAAATATAAGAAATAGTTCTATAATATGGTTTTAGTTGTAACATATTATTCAACGTTACGGAGGTACCAAAAATGTTTTCTTTAACTCCTAAGCTAAATTTCTCTTTTTGTCAAAGAATCTGTGAGATTTTCAATCATTACCGAAATGATTGATAACAGATTAATGAGACAGCAAGTAGTAATAAAATAAATAGCTGTAATTATTAAATTAAGACACCAATTAGTTATCTAACTCACTAATATCCGCGAGCAATTACAAATTAATGTAGAAAGTCGTCAAATAAGAGTGAGTTTTTGAAAATCAAACTCGAGAGTGTAAAAGAAAGTCAGTTCGTAAGATACATAGATCCAGCGTCGCAGGCGAGCGCGTGCTCGAAATGCATCTTGCGTGATGCGCGCGCGCACGGTAGGAAAATCTTATTTTACTTTATGTATTATGCATTATGGCCCATCTCCGCTTCTGATGCTGTTAAAGAACTGTACTAACAACCGTTAATACTAATAATTTTTGTGTCGTAACTGGTTATATGTTACTTTTATAATTACATAGCGTTTTAAATTATACGGATTATATTTGATTGTTCTTATATATTTTTCGTTATGGTGTTGCCATTTAACATTGAACTTATTGTAAACAGGACATGAATATTTATTACAATTAAAGTTATACATAGAATATGTATATTGTCTCTCTTTTAATAATATAGTTATAAATTGTATTGAAGCTGTCTCCTTGCAGCGTTACTTTAAAAGAATCACATATTAATTAATTTTCCTCATATGTAAAGATAGTTAGGTATACATTTCCGTGTATGTTTATTTATGTATGTGTGTGGAAATGTATGTTTGTCATATAATGTTTTTAATAACGATTTTAACTAAGGAAAATAACTAGCAGCTTACTAATAAGTATAATAGCAAAGTGTGATCTTGTTACTTGCAATATTTCAATTTCTATACATTTAATAAATCTTATATATCCTATGTGTTAACATATCGTTAAAACTGTTATATAAAACAAATATATTTAAGATTTGGGAATTGGTAGTAAATCTACATTTGCGTTTTTAATTTTTAACTGCATTGACGTTTATGAATGCAACCAGCTATCCGCACGAGTGAATGATTTTTAATTTTCATTTAACATTTAGTAATAATAATTCACTAAGATCGTTATACCTTATTCTTAACATCTATAACATATGTATTTACAGAGAACGTATCGTAAGGTCATCGCTTAAAGGTCAATCGTGTATCACAAAGTTCCAGTGATTCGAAGAGGCTGACTCGACCCCGACACATCGCGAAGAACAACACTCGTATCGAAATAAAAAACAAATTCCAGCCAGTTTAAAACAGTTGAAAGGTTGTGAGAAAATGAAGTGCGCGTTTGTTTTGCTTCTAGCTCTTTGTTACGTGCAATGTGAGTACTTGAATACCAACTTTCTTAAATACGCAAGATATTATCTCAGACGACGAAATAGTTGAATGGTTAGAAATTTTCGCATCCCATGGACTCTTGTCTCGGATTACGGATTTGTATACAATATTCAAATTAGCGTTTATCTCGCGTTTCGAACGAAAACAATTTTCGTAATTAATTGTGTGAAAATACAACTTGTGTCTTGTTTCAGGTCGGAAAACGTACGCGCCTATAGACAAAAATGCAAACATCGCATTCATTAATATGGAAGCTGGTGGACTTGGTGGGAAAGTACAACCTACTGTACCTTCTAAGGCACCGATTCCTAACCCCCCACAGCCCGTGACACCCAAACCAGTGGCCACAACACCAAAACAGGCACCGGTCGTCCCAGTGCCAGCAACCAATCCTCCTAACCAGATTCGTCCGAAACCAGTTAATCCCAGTCCCGTTGCCAATCCCATCACAACACCCGGACCGGGGAGTGTTAAACAGCTAGTCAATTTCTATGACAGCCAAGGAAAAGCGAGCCCCATTCGTCCGTACTCCTACAGTCAAGCTGTTAAGCAGGGTTAATCGCGTTTTGAACGAAAGAGCTTATTATAATAATATATATTGTAATAAATAAAACTATTATTGTTGATAGATATTGTTTTTATTCATATTTTCCTTACATAAAAAGTGCAGTTTTATTGACTACTATGTGTTCGAATCCTGGGAAATCGCAACAGATACAATAGTAACACTTACCAAATAATAGCTGTATAAAATAGATTAGTGACACGGTCCCATACGTAGAGGGATTGGGACGAATAATTACGTAGAATGGATTTCGCGATGTAGTGTTTTATTATCTGTGGTTAATTCAGAGTTAATTTGATGTTCTGAGATTATCAGCCGGATGTATGACGTAAAAGGCACAGTAATTGTCGTAGAACCTATTCTAAGTGAAAGTAAGCTTGTTCCGCTACGAGGAATGTGAGGGTGTACCCACATTTTCTTGCCTAGCAAATGCAAATTGAGTAAAGATGAAATATCGTTTCAACCTGAATGTGTGATTTCGAATAAGAACCTCCTATGTAAGAGTTTAGACCCAATTCTCCTTCTGCAGTGTGGGTTGGCGAGCCAGCCAAATGTATGTAAAATGTAAAATTTGTATAGCGCCATCTGTTGTTTAATTGCCTAACTAAAACCAGAATATATAGGTACTATGACATATAATATACTAGTGTGAAAGCGAACACATTTTTGTGACCATTTCAGTGATCCGTTCTTTTTAACGGTCCAGTAGTTGATCCGACTTCTGTGCCCTGCCCGACCGAAACAATTTTTTGTTTCCCCGCGATTCAAACCCAGAACCTCTCGCGCTTAACGCAATAATAGGCAATACGTTTAACCATTTGGCTACAGAGGCGGTCATATGGCATATTTACCAAACCGAAATATCTATTCACTATTTAATATATATAAAATATTTTTTTTAACCTTGGATTTTGAAATTTTAGGCAAAATTATTGGATTTGCTATTGACTTGTTAAATAGTAGAAAATCAGCACTAGATGGCTCTTTACATTTTCACAGCAGTTACACAAGTGTATTATGATTAAGCAAATAACATTAATTGCTTATAAACGATAATATGCTTAATTGCTTAATAAGCACAAACGTTTAAACAAAACAGCATTTAAGCAGTGTTAAAAAGTACGTAGTAGTAAAGCACTTAACCTTAGCCTTAGTTCAAACGGAAAGGGTCGCGTTAATGCGCCACTTTCACTCTCAATCGTGACTCACTCGCAGCTGTTACGTCAACAGGACCTTTTGCAGTCCACAATATATGCGCATGGGCACATTGTGTAACAAATCCGCTTTTAGACTGCATAATCGTTACACTTAGTTGAATCACTGGGCCTTTTGGAGTTACGAAAAATTATGGCGTTTGTTAAAAGATATTTTAATTGCATACACCAGCATTTGACATGTTTTAAGACATTTTTAAACAGGTTTACATGATAAACTATATCTATCTATAGTTTGCGCAGTACATTAAATAAAACACTTTAACGGTTTAAAACGCGATATATTAGTTGAACTTATTTGAAAATGATTTTTTAAAAATGCAATTTAAAATAACTTCGGCCCGACGTTTCGGATGATTTGCAGCAGCCGTGGTCACGGGGAGACATTTTCAAATAAGTTAATATATCGCGTTTTCTGTTTTCGCGCGCGCGGTCTAATATATCGTTTTTGAAAGAAAACACACGAATTAAAGTGTTTTCTTTAAAAAACGTTTAAATGATGTAAGACAAGCGCATCGGTGTATTAGCAGTGAATGGCTGCGAGGGTTTGTATCTGTGCACATGTTTTTAAAATCAAACGATAATTTTACTGAAACATGTACTTCGTCTAAAAATCTGGATATTAAATTGATGGTAGGAAAATCTAAAATCCGCCCGGGTATTGATACCAGTAGATAGTCAGTCGGTTAGGCAGGGCACAGTCTGATTATCACCTAATAATATTTAATACGCACATTGCAAAGTTGTTCAATTGCACAAATTAAGAATCGAATTAGTTTAAATTGTCTGTCTGTACACAATTAAATAAAACACTATAAACGGTTTAAAACAAAATATTAGATAACTTGTTTGAAAGTGTTTTATTTAAAAGTTTAAATTAAACTTTTCAAGCCATATTAGCATTTACTCTTTATATAAATAGTTTGTCGTGTATTTTAATTTCACGCTTTCTAATAGGCTCGTCCGGTACATACTTTGAGTCGGACTTTGCCCAAATATATAATTATAAGAAATGCTACAACATTTTTGTTTAATACAACGAAATCTTGATTTTAATTCAAGATATAGCATAGACATTATTATTATATAAGAATTATTTGTATTAAAAGAGTCTTTAGTGAGTGGAGTAGACCAATTTATAACTTTATTTTGTTAAAAAAAGGCCTTCGAAGTTTTTATTATCATATACGTTCGTCTAGTGGTACCAACGCAGGTAACTAACGAACCGACGTGATTCTTATTTTCTCGAAATGCTAGACATTAAATGTAGAATAGAAAAATCAATAGAAGAAAAAGAAAACTCCTCAATATTTCGGTAGCCCATTTTTCACCTACCAAACTCATACTATTTAAATAAAACACTTTAACGTTTTAAAACTCGACACATTTTAGTTAAAATTATTTGGAAATTAAATTACTAAATGTTCTATCCATCTTTAGCTCCTTATCTTACCCATGACCACGGCTACTGTAAAGTGTCCTTAAAGTGTCGGTATGTCTTTATTACTATTTATGGCGTTTTAAACCGTTAAAGAGTTTTATTGAAATATGTACTACTCGCTTAACGAGCTTCAGTTACTAGCTCTTGTTTTGTCATTTAAAATACTCCTTTATCCTTTTCTTCAATGTTTATAAAATAAAAGAGAAAGTTCAAACACAGTTGACAGTTGTGTTAACAGGTCCATATTTTCAAATATGTAAATACTTATTGTTTTTATTTAAATTGAGAATAACAAAGCCTTCTCTTAGTTGAACAAGTCTAACAAACAATATCAATTGATTATAACATTAACATTTACTTCGCAGCGAAAGTTGTTACGTTACGATCATATTATTGCCGTCAATAACACTTAAACGATATAAAACTACATTTAAATGCAATAATTATTATTAATTATTAGGTATATTACAAACTAGCTGTGTCAGCGACTTCGTCCGCGTAGATTAGTTATTTAAGGCATCCAAATGTGTTTTTGCAAACCTCCTCGACATCTTTATACATTTAAACTGTTGCCCACGTCGGTCGCGTCCCGTCGTTCTTACTTAGTTTATCTAATAAGATAGACATAAACTGTCGCGGATTTTTTTTAGATTAACCTTCAAGAACGACAGGACGCGGACAAAAATCCGGGTAACAGTAAAAATTCATAGAGAATGTTTGCAAAAACAAAAATTGATACTCAAAATAACTATTCTACGCGGACGAAGTCGCTGGCACAGCTGTATGCTATATTGCTAAGCTATTTCAAATTCCATCAACAAATTTCACCTACACTACCTACCCACCTAGAAACGTGAACTAAACCGCCACCGGCAGTTTGGACCGATTAAAGAGACGTCGCCAGTGCTCGTGCAAGAGAAGTACGCGCGACAGGATACACAGCAGCGGCAGCAGGTCAAGGTCGACTAACTCCTCCCACCCGCATCTGTCATGTCTAACGGGCCCTTGGAGGTTAAGCAGCAAGCAGAACACCCCGCACCCCCCACCACTGTATTCGGACAATCGGGCGGTGTCGGTGGATTGGATGGTGAGACTGGATTCCTCCAAGTAATAAAAATAGGACAACATGCTTGTTTGATTGACTGAAACTGCAAATCTGATTTAAAACAGAAATAATAATATCTTCCTAGTATCTTACAAGATAAACCAACACTACTGTTACATAGCGTTATTGTTTAAACATCTCAAAGGACTCTAAGTATAACATAAATGCTAGCGACGGTAACTTTCACTTTCCTCAAGCCGTCTCCGGACCTAAGTTACGAAATCGGATCCGCCCTCATTCCATCCGTGTCCCCATTCACCAAACTAAACCCAGCTCGTCATTACAATCGTCTGACGCACCAATTGCGTAATATTTGGCGACAAGGGTCAACGATATTAAGTTCATTAGACATCAACGCACGTACGGCCTACTTATTTGTTATGTGTTCAATAGGTTATTGAATTCGTACCTAATTACATACTTACTTTAATACGTATTATCATATTTAGTTCAAATACATCACTTGTAACGGTTTAAAACGCGAAATATATTAATTAACTTGTTTACGATTTATTTTAACTACGGGCAGATGTTTCATATGCTTTGCAAAAGCTGTCGTAACAGGGATTCATATTTATTGTAAATAAAATAACTAATAAGTTTCGCGTTTTAAACTGTTAAAAGTAATTTATTTAACAGTGTACTAAACGTGTAAACAGACATAGATATATGTAGGCATAGTTGTTGCTTATGCCTAAAGTCCACTTTTTAAAGTTCCTTTGAACATTTTTTTTTTTGAAACATTAATATAAAATATTTATTTAATGTAATATATCCAGATTTCCAGACGAACTACAACTGTTGTTGAAAAATTAGGCATTCATTAGGAACATGTTTGACTTGATGGAGATCGTACCCACTACCCGTTGATCCATACCTAATTACCATTAGATTAAATCCCGTCAAACGTAGTTTAGAAATTGTAGCGTTTTTTTTTAATTTAGTAATGTATTTTTGCATTGTATGCAACAAACTGTTAACTCAAATAATAAATATTAAATAGCTATTTGTACACGAAAGTGCGCAAAAGCATATCTTGTGATCATCAAAGTACAGGGGATATAGGTTCGTGTCTCGCGGAAACATGCAACTGCTGCTCTAACATGGCATGGAGGTGACATCTTGCGTAAAATTAGTAGAAATATCTCTAAAATGTATAAAACTGGTATGCCCCATAAAAATAATGTAACTTTCCTTGTTTCGTTCTTCTTTATGGAACTATATAAATAAAAAGTCGAGCAACAGCACGGAACGCTGTGGATTCCGGTTCAAGTCCGGCCAGAGTTATATTTTTTTCAGTTTATAATCGATTCGTTCTTCTTTGTTTACATTTAAGTTGTGTTAAAGCTATTATCTATTCTTATTACAATAAGCACACATAATATTATGCAAATGAAGACATTTTGTTGATCAATAATGACTAACATGACCTGATTTAAAAGTGTTTCACTGTTAGTGACACACTATTGTTATGCAAAGCGGATCCGCGAGTCCGGAGCGCGGTTGATACAATAATTTAAGTGAAAACTGATAATCCACATTTTTCCGTACATCCGCTTTCATGCCGGCTGTACTTTCCAGTTTCAGTTATCGCTTAACATTCATCAAAGTCTACTCGTGAAGTCGTGGTAAATTTGCATACATTCTAATACCAAAGATAAATGCAAAAATATTGATCAAACGTGCTAAAGATTCGATTTTATAAACAAACGATAGCATACTGTATCGGATATTTAATATAGAAAATTTTATGTCATGTTAGGGTAACTTGAAGGAGGTTTACGTCAGGAGGAGTTACAAATTGATTAGAAAATTTTTCGGATAAAACCAGTTCCCATTGATTATTAACCATGGATTGTTATCGTTACAGCAAGGACCCGTCAAGTTAAGATAAATTGAATTTTTATATCATTGTTTTTCGGACTCTTCGATTGCTCGAAGAATTATCGAGGAGTTAACATCGAGAATCTCTTCTCGCTTACGTCGGCTGAACAGCCCGAAAAATAATGATTATTTATTTTCATTATAAACATATTCTAACATAAAGATATGCTGAACGATGGCTGTGAAAGCTTTACACAATTTTTATAAATTGAAAAATCTATGTCATAGAAATATTGGAAAAAAGCACCATCGTCATCAAGTACATTGCGCAATAAAGTTAACTAAGCGTCGAAACGATTAAAGGCACACGAAGTGCTCGGGTTCGTTAAAAATATGAAATTGACGGAAAGAGTGAAATCGAACAAATTGTCCATTGTGAGGCGCGATTTTGGCATGCATTACTTTCTGTTTTGATCTCGACATGCGCCGGCGCTTGGCGTCTGAATGGTCCGAGATTATACGCACCTGTTATTAGTGTCGTAGTTACGCTTTTACATTTCCTGTGTTACAAACATAGGTACATCATATTAATTTATATTCGACACGGTCTCACGAGCTTTTTGTCGGGTCAAGATTCAATTTCTATCGGGTTCGTAAATGATTTTTAAGGACATAGGTGTAATGTTAGTTTGAAAAAGCATGAAATTAAATTTGAATCACCTCTAAAGTGTTAAATCCGTAAAGTATTAATTCGTATTTCGATTATTTTTTTTTATTTTCGAACATCATTTTTTTAAAATGATGAAACGAATTAAAGCTGTCTATCGCATGTAAGAGACAATTCAAAGAAATATTATACATCTTTATGTACAATATTCCTATATTATATATTTATATAATATTATAAACAATGAATAAATGAGTATTTTAAAAAAGGACTACGCAGTGTTCCCTTGTATAACTATATAAATGTTACGCGAGAGGTGCTGGGTTCGAATCCCAGAGAAACAGAAAATTGGTTCGGTCGAGCAGGGCACAGAAGTCTGATCAACAACTTGCCTGTTAAAGAACGGACCAGTGATACGAACACAAAAATATGTTCGCCCCATGACCCACGAGGCGGAAACGGGCTGCCACTTACAAATATGTACTTAAAGGGATATTTTTAGCAACATCTATAAAACTTCTTCATCAAGTTTTATGAAAAATTGTCTCATAGTTCAATGTGACCAATGACATGCAAACGAAAATTACTATGACACATACTGGATATTTAAATATTCTAACAACATACATAGGTCTTTTTCTGAAAGTAACAATAAAATTATTTAAAGCCTTGTATATTATGTAAGAACGAGACAAAAAATGGTTTCAGACCGGTCTAATTATAACTATAATTATAGTGTAACTAAGTGTTCATGTTGGATTAAGTTGATAAAAAAAACTTAACTGGCAATTCTTACTTTAATCGCAGCGATACAAAAACCTCGTGCTTATCTTTTGTGTAAGAAAATATTAGAAAATTCTCATGTCAATGAATTTACAACAATGACAGAAACGTCATTACTTATGTACCAATTTCTAGGCGATTTTCTCTAAACGTTTGATGAGTTTCTTTCGTCATATTATATGAAGAACGAGTTAGTGTTGTTATTGTTCGAGTCGCAAAGCTTAGAAAACAGTTTTTTTAATAATTCTTAATTTAAATTATCGTAACTCAGTTGAGATTTTACGTAAAGTGAAACAAGACATGCAATCAACTTTATTTTTGGGTATCAACCAAATTTACCATCAATTACAAGTAGAAATAATTAATTCCCATTTCCCCTCGTGGGGCATGGGGCGAACACATTTGTGTGTGTGCAAGTAGTTGATCAGACTTCTGTACCCTGCCCGACAGAAACAATATATTGTTTCTCCGGGATGTGAACCTAGGATCTCTCGCGCAGCACGTTCAACCATTTACCCACAGAGGCGTTTAATTAAAGGATGATTTCTTTATATTAAGTACGGTCTCTAAAAAACAAATGCTGTATGCCTACATATAAACAAAAAATGGATATTCTGCAATACGAGTAGTCCGCGATTATTAAATTTATTTTAACGGTTTAAAAAACGAAACATAACATATTTTTAATTTAACTACGACCGAGGTTTTGGATGCTTCTCCATCAGCGTTAAAAGTGTTAAGGCTAAATATTACAAAAAGCGACGGTGCCAGAGTCTGCCCGCGTACGTCATAGCTAGCGTTTCCACACGCGGATTCATTCATGGCTCGTGACGTCACAGTTTCCAAATTCGCGCCAGAACTGCTGGATCCGGGATATCTGAGTGGCACAGGTGCGGACGCGACTTTCACGCGTATAAAACGAAGCCGGCGCCATCGGGCACGACCAGTCCGCTACACGTCTGAGGTCCCGCGCGCGCATCTATTCTCTCTCGCGAAAACGAAAGTGCCGATACGAACATTCCGAGACTGTGCATTGATCTGTGAGTGTGTGACTGGAACAGTGGTCGCTGTGTTATCCTGAATTTCAGAAGGACTCTTTACTCGCTGAAAGCTCAACTGAAAAGGTACGGAGTTCTTTGAAAATAGTTTATATAGTCTCCCCGTGACCACGGCTGCTGCAGAGCATCCGAACCGTCGGGCCGAAGTTAAAAATCATTTTCAAATAAGTTTAACTAATATATCGCGTTTTAAACCGTTAAAGTGTTTTATTTAAATGTGTACTACTTGCGTAAACTATAGACAGTATTTAATAATGCATTTTCTTTTATGCATTTAGCTCTCAGATAATATATAGCTTACAAGTACTATTCACTATTTTAAGTAGTGTCTGTAGTTATCGCAAATAGTACACATTTAAATAAAACACTATTAACGGTTTAAAACGCGTCCCTTTACAACTGTAGTGGCGTAAAGCACTCGAAAGTTTGGACCGCAATTAGGTTAAAAAATATCTTGACTATTATATGTCACGTTTTAAACCGTTAAATATTTACCTATACAAAAATGCAAGTGTCTAATGCTAAATTGTATTTTATTGTTATCTTTTACCAGTTAGTTAAATTCTATAGTCGCATAATTAAGTAAATCATATTAAAACTTAAGCTTATAGTTTCTATCAGGACATCGAACTCGGATCAACCCTTCTAGCATGACTCGATCCTCATCCAATATAGAAAGTTGCATAATTTCACTTTCACTTATGTCATCCGAACCTCTTATCTTTCGCGTATCCGCGAACGTTTGAAAAGCGTTCTGCATATTTAAAAATACCGGCTGTTACATTTTTCACCGCGCTACACATTCACACGAATATATGCCATATTTGTATGCTCTTAAGAGTTATCAGATCGTAAGAAGATTCTCTAGAAACGATATGTGGAAGGCCTTTGGAAAGTGGGCCAGGCGTCACAGAGTGCGCATTTTATAGGTGTACGGTGATATTTCTCGTTTTAGTTAATAATATGTGAAATGCCTGCATAATATTGCGTTTAAAATTCTATTGCCTTAGTTCTTTGCTTACTCGCAGTTCGTAATAGATAACATAGAAGAATTATTAAGTATACCCAAAAATAGCGAGCAAGGTGGATAAATTAAATTATCCACCTTGCTGATATGTTTGTAACATTTAGTTAAAATTGTGTCTATTTTCTTGTATATCTATTACTCGAGTAATACTTAATTAGTAAATACTTTTGACACGGTAGCTCAATTGGTTAGCACAGCTGCAGCTATTGTAGATGCCGGTTCAAGTCCTGCCCGTGTCGTTATTTTTTTCAATCTAAATAGATTTCTTATTTAGACAATGTGCTAACATTAAAGTTCTTAAAATCATATTATGTCATTTGAAAAGTTGTTGTTAAAAAATAATATTGAAGTAAATTCGCTGACAGGCGAGTCTCGAACGTACGTACCCTTAACTGACTAGATATCGTGTCGTTACTTTACCTAATAAGTTGATAGAGATTTTTTAAAATTATATAACCTCTCATTGACACGTAAAAATTATAAATACTTATTATAATTTCTATTAATAAGTTATATTTTTATATACGATTTAATACTACCGCACCGCCTCTATACCTAAATGGTTGAACTTGTTACCTAGCATTGCGCATAAGGTCCTGCATACAAATCCAGAAACAATAGATTTCGTACGGACTGGGCACACAATTCTATTACTACATGTCGGCAAATAAAACCATTGAAACGGACATAAATATGTTCGCCTTATGCGCCACGGAGGAAAACGGAATTTCATTTCTTTTAATCCTACACATGCCTATATTAAACATTCTAGGCAGAATTTTAAATACCTCCACTTAACTTTTACGGCCATTGTCGTTGTTAACGTAACATTTTCTCTAAACATAAGTGTCGTTGTGAAATTTCTTACAGTGTCGGATTTTCCGTTCTTTGTTCAAATGCGTTGTGCAATTTCGTAAGTTGAAACTTTTGAATCATCCTCGCGACATTTGGACATCTTAAAACGCAATTGTAGTGGAGCTTATTACAGTCGCACGACACACATATTATATAGTAAATCATAACGCAGTAGGTATATATAAATCGTTTCACAACATTCACAGGTTGTACATATTTGTATTTACAACTTTAAAATGTAGATCTTACGCCGCGTATAAAAGACATCAACGCGTTTACAGTTCGTTAGTGTTATATTTAGTTAGTTCACATATTTCAAATTGTGTTAAATTGGTAATTTTAAAATAAGGTAAATTAAAAAGCACCAAGTATTTTGAAGTATTCCCGTTAACGCGTTATTAAAAAATAATCAAAACAAGTTATGCAAAGGAAGTTATATATCTACTTGTTGTTTCCAAAATGCCATGAACATCTTAATGTCATCGTTAATTGTATTAAATTAAAAATGAGCAGTAATCGTCACTTTCTCTCCGCTTTATAGATTTCATATTTGCGAGTAAAATTTTCGAGTGTAATGGAAGCGAAAAGGTGAAAGCCTTAATGAGCGTGTTGAGATTTAATTTCCGTCAAAGCCTCATGTATTTATTAATTAGTGCGTAATTAGATGTGCCGTAGTACAATCTACGCATATTAAGTTCTATGCGTCATTTATAGTTTTATCGTGTCTCGGAAGTCGTTAAATAATAGTTCTAGTATTCCTGTGCCATGACTATAGTGTTTAAAACGTACTTATTAATTGGGAATTGGACTACTTAGACATTATTTTATTTCTTTCTTTGACGTTTAATGAAACAACTAATTAAAATATAGTGTAATCGTTTACCTTACACAGTAAATGATTTAAAAACTTTTCTTTCTATTCAAATTATGTACATGAGGTTTTTTTTTATCGTAGCCGAGTTCTTTATGTTGGTGCCCATGAAGATTTAAAAAGCTTTACTTAATTTTAAAACATTTGATAAAGGCCAACCGCATATGATCTCGTGTGTGTGGGTGCGTGAGTATGAATTATGGTAGCTCTAATAAAAAAGTGACTGCATCGCAAACTGTCAGTTGTGGGTTCGAATCCAATATCATCAATGTAAAAATACTCTAAAATGTAAAATTTGTCGTCTGTTTTAAACTTCAAAATAAACTACTCCACCCAATCTCAAAAGAGAAAATTCTCAATAACCGTAGGTATTCTTTTTTTTTGTAATTAATCATGATCACGCGCTATATACACTAGAAAATCCATAGTTATTATTCAGTTTCTTTGCGGTCACCTGCTAACCGCATTGGCGCTCTGTTCCAGCGAATTATAAATAACAGACAGCACCTTCGAAAAACACTTCCTAACAAGGAGAAGCCTGTAATAAGTACAATTTCTTAAAAGAGACCTAAATCACGGAAACATTTAATAAACATTTCGATTCCTCTATATTGGGCATTTCGAAAACTAAAAAAAAAAAAAAATGTTTAAATCTCTTCGAAAGTAAAATACGACACGGTATCTTAATTGGTTAGAGCAGCAGCACGAAACGCTATGCATGCCGGTTCCAGTCCCACCCGTGCTAACATTTTAATGTATATTTATTTATTTATGTAAATTACCGTACTAAGATTCAGTAGCAGTGAAACATTGTACAAGTACATTTAATAACGTTTAAATCTTATCTTAAATATTCAAACGATCTCATTAATTAATTAGTACCTCACTTTCACTAGATTAGATGTCGAATTACTTTCTTGTACAAAATAACAGAGTTTGTTATACGATAAAAGTTTAATTAGTAGTGCTCGAAGTTGTAATATTATATATTTTGTATATATAAAGATATACATTATTCAACTCATGTATACTGTTGCAAAGCTTTTGAAACTGTCAGTCATAATAAAATATAAGTTTATATATTTCGTGTTTTAAACCGTTTAAAGTGTTTTATTAAAAACATGGGTAAAATTTAAACAAGACAATTTACAATTAAAAACAAGAAACTTTCCTTTAATTACTAAAGATAAATATTTCTGAGTTTTATAATGTCGCTCATTGTAAGTAAGTTACAATGTGTCTTATTGTTTCTTAGTTTCAATATATTAAACACTTTGTATCACAAATCTCACAGTTCAAACATATATGCCAAATGACATTAACATTTGACAAGAATTCACTTTTTGCGTTTCTGAACATATTAGCGGAGATGATGTACTTATAGAAGAATGGGGCACGTGTTATCGGCGCGTGGCTCTGATGCAAAGGAAAGCGAGTCAGTGTGTCAGAAGGCACAACTCCTCATACTGTATTAGGCTATGGTCTTATATAAATGCTATAAATAGCGTACAACATAACGTACCTTATCCTTTACTAGATATATCAGACAATAGCAATAGATAAATCCCTTCAAAGATTGAAGATTGGAGTTTATTATGTGTTTTTCCATTTGGTGTTTATTTTACAACACCAAGGTCAATGATTTAATCAACGGGTCGTGGCCTCATCTTTCCGGCTGGTCTGACATCAAATCTAAACATTAAATGGGTGGTCGAAATATCAAAATTTATGACAAGTGAAAATCAATCAATTTGCGTGTACGTTGTTATTATCTGTGAGTTTCTGAATAACTTAAGCTATAGGGCAGGATCTACTTTTCTAATAAACCACATAAACCACACGTTTGTCGGTCCTCCTCTTACGAAGAAACGACGCTAGCGTCTCACGCGATCTAAAGCGTTTGTAGTAGACCACAGCCTAACACATCACTTGTTCTAGTCGTTTAATTAAAACTTTATTGCTACGAGCGATTGCATTTGCGTCTCATTATTAGTGCATAAGTTAACTCTCAACAATTCTCGGCTTTCACGTTACATCGATACACACTTAGCATATAATAGCATTTTCAATGTATTTGCGTATAGATCGCGAATCAAATTAAAGATTTTGTTAGACATAGTAAAGATTTTCAAATTCTTTATTTAAATAACTACTTAAAAAATATTTTATTTATTAATAAATTTTTTAAAAATGAAAATTGAAAAAATTTTAATGTAGTCATGTAGGAAAAATAATGTTCAGTTCAGTCGAAAATTTTTTCAATTTATTTT